TGGACACTCCTTACACACCAGTGGTACTGCTTTTCAAGTTCCACCAACAAACTTGTTCTCAGGTATCCAAATAATTTCTTCATCCAATGCCAACTTTTAACTTCCATTTATACATATAGTTTGAGTAACACATTTCTCTCAGGTCCCCACAATGCCTCCTTTCATGGAGGTGAAGGAGTAATGGTGGATGCCACCACCCACCAAATGACCCCTTTAATGGATGCAGCCGAGGAGGCGCAATACCCACACCCTACTGGCCTCATGGGTAATCCTTCAACACTTGAACGAGTAGAGACCCCCCTGGGCATGGTAAGCATCACGTCCAAACCAAAGCCTCCTCTCTATTTTTTTTATGATGAAGACACCAATATCTCACATATATACAACTTGCAGGGTGTCACCACTCTTAATGATGACCTCCAATTCCTACGAGACTTGGAGAGCCAATATCAGGTGGCTGCCACCAACCCTGTTGCCAACCCGCCTTCTTCATCCATTCATGAAGCCCTGGATGCCGTTGACAACTTCCTATCTTACACTTTGGACGAAGTCATAGGGGCTTTTGACTCTGCCTGGCATGAACAATCACTTGCTCTTTTGTCCAAGCTCGAGCTTCACATCCCACTACCAGGTTTGAGCATGGATCACATGCTATCTATGCACACTGCTTCAGACACCATCAAATCATGTCTTGGGGCTATCGAGCAGGCTACAAAGTTGAAGGATACCATGCTTCACAAAGAAAATGCTAGAGCCACCACTTCCACCTCCTTGCAAGGGAAGGTATCACAAGGCAAGGCCATGTCAAGTCAGGTTACCACTCTTGAAGCCAGGAAAAATGCTCGCTCTTCTAGGATAGCTGAGTTGGAGGCCGAACTCAGTAGGCTTCGTGCAGAGGAGGCACAAGAGCAAACCCAGTCAGAGTCTCAAATTCAAAACTTCAACGTGTTGATGGGTGAAATTCGTGCTCTTGCTGACCAGGAGAAGACTCTTACTCCCATGAAGGAAATAGCCTTTCACCGAAGCCGACCAAGAGGAGCGTGAAAACAAGGCCAAGCTCGTTAAACTGAGGGCCACCTTTGATGAGATCAAGAAGATCCTCCATCCTTGAAACTCGATTTTCATTTACGCCCCATGTTTGTTTTTCTTTTCCTTTCCATTATGAACAGTCGGCTTAGCCACTTTGTTGGCCTTTGTTTGATTTCCTTTCTTTCGATCGAATGAGTATGGTTTGATTTTTTTTTCATTCCCCTATGCATACATGCCTTCTCATGTCTTTTTCCATCTCACATAAAGATCATGCCCCCCATGCCAACAAGACCACCAACACTCATGGTCAATCTTAAATCACGTGGCATGGTATGTTTTGAAACTATTGGGGCCAGAACAACACCATGCCCCCCATGCCAATAACCATCCCCCCATGTCTTGTCGTGGGGTATGGTTCGCATCTTAGCACCATTTTAAGGTTTGGCATGGGGTTAGGCCACCTTAGTGGCCTAGCAGTCTCAAAACTTACAACAACCCACGTCCCAAAGAGAAGGGACGTAAGGTTTCAAGTATTTTCCGTTGATTAAACGTTCATGGAACACTCCATCGAGATCCTTTAGCAAATAAGCTCCATTGGGACGAGTAGAATGAACAATGAAGGGTCCACGCCAATTAGGAGACCATTTACCAAACTTGGGATCCTTATCTCCAATGGGCAAATGAAGCTTCCATACCAACTCACCTTCCTCAAATGACTTGTGCTTGACTCTCTTATTGTAAGCACGAGCCACCTTGTCCTTTTGCACCCGGATATTATCGAGAGCTTTGAGTTGGAGTTCATCAAGATCACACAATTCCAACATCATGGACTCATAGTACTCAGATGGTGCTAGCTCATGTTGGCGCATGTATCTTAATGACTTAACAGTCACCTCCACCGGCAAGAATGCTTCATGGCCATAAGTTAGCATAAAAGGGGTCACCTTTGTACTACTACGTGGAGACATCCGATAAGCCCATAAAGCTTCCGATAAGACTTCATGCCACTTCCTCGGGTTATCCTCTATCATTTTAGATAGAATACCCTTCACCACTTTGTTAGAAGCTTCAGCTTGACCATTGGCTTGAGCATAGTAAGGAGTGGAGTGTATGATTTTGATGCCGTGTTCTTTGGCGAAAGCCATCACTTCCCCTCCCGTGAACACGGTACCCTGGTCAGCTGTTATGGTGGCTGGCAAGCCGAACCTATGTATTATATTCTCTTTGATGAACTTGATGATTTCTCCTTGATTGACCACTGTCATTGGCTTGGCCTCCACCCACTTGGTGAAGTAATCAGTTGCCAAGATGACAAATGTATGTCTATCAGAAGATGGTGGATAAATCTTTCCAATCAAGTCCATGGCCCATCCCATGAAAGGTCGAGGCTTGATGATAGACTTCAAGTCGATGGCCGGAGCTCTTTGCACCGAGCCATGTCGTTGACAAGCCTCACACCCCTTAGCAAAAGCAGCACAATCTTCCTCGATGGATGGCCAGTAGTACCCATACCGGTGGAGTACCCATCTCATAGAAGGGCCTGCTTGATGAGCACCACATATCCCTTCATGAACCTCCCCCATGGCTTGTAGGGCCTCCTTGCCCCCCAAGCACTTCAATAGTAAACCGTCTGGTCTCCTTTTGAATAAAACCTCATCCAACAAGACATAGTTCCTTGCCTTGAATTTGATGGCCCGATCCACATCCCCTGTTGGATTCTTCAGGTATGCTACCAAGGGGGTACGCCAGTCACTGGCCTCCTCTTCAATTGTAAACACGTCTACCTTTTGCTTAAGTCTCGCATGTAGGGGGTTGAGCGTTCGCACAAAAATTTGCTCTCCCCCTTCATGAGCAAACTCTTTGAACCCCGAAGCCAATTGTGCTAAGTAGTTGGCCTTCCCATTGTCCTGGCGAGGAACATACTTGATGGAGACATTATCAAAGTGGGTAATTAATATTTGGACATAGTCAAGATATGTCTCTAGTATGCAATTGATGCATCGAAATTCACCAAGTACTTGGTAGACTACCAGTTGGGAATCCCCTTGGATATTAACACTTTTGACTTTCAAGTCAACAAGCATCTCTAGCCCCACCACTAAAGCCTCATACTCGGCTTGATTGTTAGTACATGGGAGATCAAGTGTAAAGGCAAAATGCATGGCATGCCCTGATGGGGAAGTGAGGACCACGCCAGCACCCGCTCCAGACCGTGTCTTTGATCCGTCAAAGTATAAGGTCCAAGGGGCCTCCTCCACCACGTCTATTCTTCTACCAACTCAGCTGGCACATCCACACATGGGTGATCAGCTAAGAAGTCAGCCAATGCTTGGCCCTTTATGGCCTTTTGAGGCACATACTGCAAGTTGAACTCAGATAGTGCAAGTGTCCACTTACCAATTCTCCCATGGATGATTGGCCGGGACAACATGTACTTTATTATATCAGTCTTACATATGAGTTGCACTTGAACAGGCATCAAGTAGTACCTTAGCTTCATACAAGAAAAATATAAGGCTAAACATAACTTCTCTACAGGGGAGTACTTTTGTTCTGCCTCGTTCAATAGTCTACTTAAGTAGTACACGGCCTGTTCATGGCCAGAGTCATTATCTTGAGCCAACAGACACGCTACAGAGGTGTTAGTGGCTGAAAGGTACAACTTCAATGGCCGATATGGGATTGGAGAGTTCAGTACCAGCGGGGTTGCCAGGTACTTCTTGATGTCATCAAAGGCTTGTTGATGCTCTTGACGCCATACAAACTCATCTTCCTGCTTCAACTTCAACAAAGGAGAGAAGACTTGGGTTCGGCCAGCACAGTTCGAGATGAAACGTCGAATGTAGTTAACTTGGCCGAGGAACCTTTGAAGCTCTTTCTTATTACTTGGTGGCATGGCCTCAATGATGGCCTTGGTTTTACTCTTATCAACCTCAATGCCACGTTGGCTCACAAGGAACCCTAAGAAGTCACCTGCAGACACACCAAATGCACACTTAAGTGAATTTAGCTTCAAGTTATGGCCTCTCATACGTAAGAAAGCCATGCGAAGATGAGATAAGTGTTGACTTGTTACCTTAGACTTGACAACAATGTCATCCACATAGACTTCAACCAACTCACCAATCAAGTCATGAAAGATAGCATTCATGGCTCGTTGGTAAGTGGCACCAGCATTCTTCAACCCGAAGGGCATGACGAGCCACTCATAGCACCCTATGGCTCCAGGACATCTGAATGCGGTCTTGTGGATGTCTTCCTCGGCTAAGTAGATCTGATTATAGCCTGAGTAACAATCCATGAAAGAAAAGATATTATGCCTAGTTACTGCATCAAGCAACATGTCCGCAATTGGCATGGGATATTCATCCTTAGGAGTGGCTAAGTTTAAATTTCTAAAATCTACACATACACGTATCTTGCCATTCTTCTTTCTGACTGGCACTACATTTGATAACCACTCCACATACCTGGCTGTCCTAATGAAGCCAGCCTTCAACAATCTTTCAATTTCTTTCTTAATCTCTGGTAAGACCTCATAAGCAAAACGTCTAGGCGGCTGTTTAAAGGGTTTGAAACCATCACTAATGGGTAATCTATGCTCTACTAACTTTCTATCTAGACCAGGCATCTCGTGATAATCCCATGCAAAACAATCCTTAAATTCTTTTAACAAATTAATTAACTCATACCTCTCGGCTTCGGGGAGCATGGCACTGATGAACGTAGGACGTGGGTCGTCCTCAGTGCCAAGATTGATCTCCTCCAACACATCACGTGATGTCATAGGCCTTTGGTCTTCTCTAGCTATACTCGGTACCTCGCCTTCTTCAGGCAGGTCATCCTCGGGAACACAGTCAGCCATCAACACCGCTTCCTCACAAGCTAACCTCTGCTCACATTGATAGATGGCTAACTTCTCCAACAAGGCTGTCACTTCGGCCTTGCCCACCACCTCGTCTCGAAGTGGTCTACTCATCATTGATGCTCGTTTCAGCTTTAGGTGGACCATCCAAAGCAATCATAGATGGTCTCACAATGTCGGCAAGGGGGTCGAGGCATGCCATGCTCAATATCTTAGCACTTGACATCACCACTATGCACGAACCTCCATCCATACTCCTCACTTGTAGAGGCCCGAAGTCTCCATGATAGAGTGGAGCCTCGGCCACGTTAGCACCAACTGCAAAGGGGTTGGTGTCTGCTTGTACTACCTCCACCATTCCTTCTTTATTCCAAAACATCAAACACTGATGAAGTGAGGATGGGACACACTTGTTGGCATGGATCCAATCCCTTCCCAACAAGGCATTGTAGCTTATCGCTCCATCCACCACAAAGAAAGCAGACATTTTCTCTTGACTACCAACTCCAATTAAGACCGGTAGTATCCCTCTTGCTGATGTTGATCCCCCATTGAAGCTAGTAACGAAGATATCCGTGGGAATCAAATCGCTTGTAGTCTTTCCCAATTTTCTTAACAGCCTAGTGGGAATCACATTGACAGCAGCTCCATTGTCAACAAGGATTCTTGACATCGGCATACCATCCAACCTAGCCTTGATATAGAGGGGCCTCAAATGCCTTAGCATACTTGGCTCTGGTTCCTTGAAAACCACTAAGTGACTTAACTCATCACTTGTGTTTTCCTCCTTCATGACCTCTTTCCCTTTCAAGGTGGCTAATTGCAAGACTTCCTCTTCTCTGGTCGAACTTTCTTCCTTTGCTGCCGAACCCTCGACCTCACCATCAAACTCCCAACCCCAAGAAGGGTTCTGGATGGGTGAGGACGATGAAGCTTCAGGACCCTGGTATAACACATAAAACGGGTATCTTCCATCATCTTCACCAAGCAAACCAACACTCTTATGGCCTGCCTCATGAAGTTCCTTCAAGAGTTGCTGGGAACTCTTGCCTTGTCTTGCCACCTCAGCAGCTAGATCAATCCTACTCCCCAATCGAGCCATCCTAACACCCCATGGCTCATCACTTGCTTCCAAACGAGCAAATGCCTTGGTTAACTCAGCAACAGACCCATTTGTATCTTCAGCCTCTTCTACTACCTCTTCTTCCTCCACATACCTATCTCGGTCTTCCTCATTGAATTGGAAGACCATAGGTAGTATGTAGTTCGTGACCACCACTGGCGGCAAACTTCCAAACTGGATTGTCAGAGGAGGTCCTTGGTCATCCCCTTCATCATCCTTGTTGCCTCTATCGAATTTGGGATTGGGATGCTCATCTTCTAGCATGTCATCGTCAGCATACTCATCTTCATATTCACCTCCTCCTTCTTGGAAGTCATCCTCGACCCCTTCACGAACTTTGACATCACCCTGTACTTGGACCTGCTTCCCTTTGTCAGTCATTGTCACCTTGAGCCCGGTAGTCACTGAGCTGTCCACCTCGATATTTGGTGGAACAACATTATTGGGTTGTGATGGTCTGATCCTCGCACCAAGTATTATTGGATACCTTCCCTGCCGTGCTGCAGCATTCTTACGTAGGAATATCCTCCTTTGAGTCCTTGTCATCCCCCCAATGGCTACTGGTTGTTGACGACGCATGTCATAAGTATGCCACCCTCCTTGTGGCACATTGGGAATCTTAAAAGTTCTCATCACGGGAGGACCCCTAACAGGAGGACTTCGCATGGAAGGAATGCCATGTGCTATCCACTGCCTTCGTTGCCCCCAAGCCGGCTGGATGACCCCCTCCACTTGTCTTTGATAAGAAGGGTATCTCGGCCTGTTGGGTGGGCCAAGTCTTTGGTGGGCGGAAGGCCTCGCCTCATCAAGTTTGAGGCTCTTCTTGCACTGAGCACACAACTTCTCAATTTCATCCGTCATTATTGCGGCCGGGCTAGCCTGCTTTGTACCTGACGAGCTCCCTTGTTCCTGAGTTGCATTTGAGCTCCCATGTTGAGGCGGCGTTGTATCCAGCACCAACTTGAAATGGGGCAACTCAATTTTGGAGAGGTCTGGATTAACCATGTTGATGCCTACCACGTTGGGAAATGGGTCAGTATCCACCAACATGGCATCCTTCTTTGGTTCCGGAAACTTGATACGCCCCTTCTCAATAGCATCCTGCAAGATATTACGGAAAACCACACATGAGTCAGTGGCATGTGACATGCTGTTATGCCACTTACAATACTTCTTTCCTTTTAATTTCTCGGGTGGTGGGATGTTATGCCCCCTTGTCAACTTGATTTGACCATCCTTGTAGAGTTGGTCAAAAATCAAGTCAGCTTTGGAGATATCGAAGGAATACCTCCGTGGCTGGATAGGGGCACGATTAGGTCTACCCCCTTGTGGTTCATTGTCCATCTTAGCCAAAGGAGCACATACATATGACTTCCCTGGAGTTAATTCAGCCAGGTCCACCTCCACCTCATTGGCCTCTTGGCCAATATGGTTAAGAGGGTAGCCAATGTTGGGGAAGTATTGCCCCCTTGAGGCACTCCTCCTATTCTCCTCTTCTTGAAGAAGAGATTCATATCTCACCGCACAAGACATGAGTTGGAACAAGTCAGAGAATTCTCTATCTTGGAATTTCTTCCTTAACTCAAAACTCAACCCCCCTTGTGCTAACTTGACAAACTCTCTCTCTGTCAAGTTGACAAAACAACGGTTACGAGCATTCTTGAAGTTTGTCAAGAAGTGCTCTACTGACTCCCCTGGCTCTTGGCGCATTCGTGCCAAATCAGCCATGGAAACCTCACGCTCAGACCTATAGAACTGAGCATGGAAGATTTGCTCCATCTGCTGCCATGTTTGGATGGAGTTGGATGGCAAATTGACATACCAGGCAAAAGCAGGTCCTGTCAATGAGTTTCCAAATACTCTTAACTTAATAAAATCTCCCACATCCCCACACTGGACAGTAAAACGTCCAATGTGCTCCACAGTAGACTGGTCCCCTGTCCCAGTGAATGTGGCAAACTCGGGCACCCTAAACCCCCTTGGGAATGGGTAGAGTCTATCCACCCACTCAGGGTATGGTTTTCGATAAACAGGTGGCATGGTGGGTCTCACTCCCATGCCAAATTGCTCGGCAAGAAGTTGAGCCACCTGATCCCTTAGAGTGTTGGGATCACGCCCCCCTGGTTGCCCCCCTTGGGGTACGAAACCCATGGGGTCCATGCCATGCCCATTGAAATGGGGTGGCATGGGTGTTGGGTATGCCCTCGGAGGAACTTGATCCCCCCCACCTAAGCCTACTCCCCCTCCCATGTGAGCAGGCACCGTATAGGGCCTTGCCATTGGTATGGGTATGGGTGGCGGTTCCACTGGAGCAGAATGTGTAACTCCCAAATTCTCACCACGTGGGGGAATTTCTCCAACTCCCACATTGGGTATCCCTTCCACTTGAGTAGTGGCAGGAATCTCGTCGCGATTCATGCGGTGAGGAGTTGGTTGGTTTGTCATCGGCGGAAAGAGGTTATCTTGTCGTGGCTGACCATTTCCGCCGTCGGCGGGAGATGAACTTAAATTTCTGGAATTGCTATTGGGGTTTGAATTCCCACCATCTAATGGCAGAGCTCTAGATTGGATTATTGGTGTGGTTAAAAATCTTCTAAACTCATCAAAATCACTTTTGTTCTTATTAACCACTTCAAATAATTGACTTAGACGTCTATCAACTCTAGAATTAAGACAGTCCATTTGAGAATTTACCTGATGAGAAGCTGCTCTAGCCTCCACCATCATTTGGCGGTTCTCCTCTGTGGCTTGACGGTTCTCTGCCACCAGTTTGCGGTTCTCCTCCATCATTTGACGAAGGACCCCCACTGCTTCACCAATATCTCCACTTGGCGTCGCCGTTGGTAGTAGGGGTGGGCATTGGGTGGGTCGGGTGGATTTTGACCAATAAATGCATCCACCCGCGCTTAAATGGATTGATAATTTTTAACCCACCACCCACCCACATTTAGTCTCGGGTTGGGTCGGGCGGATGATGGATGATGCGGGTGGGTTTGTGGGTTCACCCACATCACAATGTATATAATATAAAGGAGTCAACTTGACATGATAATAGGTGAAGAGAATCATCGAGGGATACAAGAAGTTGAAATAGGGCGAAAAATGTCGAATTAGTTCTTAAATTGGATAGAAATTCTATTATGAAAGAGTTTTCTACAGATTGAGACGAGTATTAGGTGCAAGGAACTAAGGAAAATAATTCCACAAAGGAAACATCGGTGATTTAGGATTCTAGGCACAAGAATTAGAGGAAAAAGTAAAGGGAAGAAGAGGGGATCTCTATTTGGAAGGTTGGCTCTCCAGGAGCAGTCCGAGTTTATATCTAACGTCTCCACTCTCCTCTCTCTAGCGCCAACGACTTTGATCTTTTTGCTGTTGGGTTGAGCGGGTCACCCGCTTACTCACCCACAACCCACCCACCACCCGGCGGATGGCTCCCAGCGCAACCCGTCACCCACCCACAGACCCATCCACTTAACGAAATTCTGGTCAAATGCGGGTGGGTCGGCCCAAACCCGCGGATGATCCGCCCGCATGCCCAGCCCTAGTTGGTAGGATCTCCGCCCCACCATTGTTTCCGGCCACCGCCTCTGACACTTGGCCATGTTCAATGTTGGCCGCCTGCTCCTCCACAAAACCAGCCGGAGCGTCACCTTCTTGATTCCTCCGCCTCGGAGCCATCAAATCGAACACACGTGTCCCACCAGGTGTGCCAATTTGTTTTCCCGGCGAGAAAAATGAAGGAAAGAGAATTGGATTTTGCACCTTTGACTTCCAAACAAACGATCAAACAACACAGTTCACACCTCTTTGAACAAAGTTCAAACAAGGGTGTTCAATGTTTTGATGAACTACGAGGCAAATCTACATTAAATTAGCCCTACTCCTATGGAGGTTCAGTGAGAGCTCCAAAAACTACGACTATGGCTAAAATCTGCAGAGGAAAAGATAAAAAGATAAAACTTGACAAGTGGTGTCGAGTTGTGATTTTTGCGAACCCCTTCTCTGTCATCTTCACCTCCTATTTATAGCCACCAGAAGTAACTGCTCCAAGAAACTGTTCTGCTGACGTGGAGTGACGGTTACCCACTCAACTGCTATGACGGTTACCCTAATGTTGGATGTGGGATTCTCTTCAGCCTTGACCCCTCCTCTTGAGACCTCACTTCATGCTCTTGGCATCTCCTTCGTAGTTTTGCTTATCCATAGAGTAAAAATGGCTAAGACATAAAGAAATACCACTTACCACATATGGGTGGGTATTTGAATAACAGTAGTTAAAAATGGCAAAAAGTACTTCACCATTAGTAGAGTAAAGAGACCACCTCACACATGACCCCCCTGCCTTGGCCCTACCATGGGGGTGTACGTTGGTGACCCCCTCACCATACCATTGGGGCATCCTCCATGGAGGTCATATAGATCACCCCGCCACTATATCCTTCTCATGGGAGCCGCCACATATAGGGTCATGGGGGTGCTCCTTCCACCCTCATCATCTTCCATGTCATGGTGGTGGCATGACACCCACCCCCCTTGGTACCCTCCTGGGGGTGGTGGTATGATGCCCACCCCCCTTGGTACCTCCTGGGGGTGGTGGTATGATGCCCACCCCCCTTGATACGTCCTGGGGGTGGTACGATGGTGGCCACCCCCCTCGCCACGTCCTGGGGTGGTATGATGGTCACCCCCCTCTATGTGTCATGGGGGTGGCTCCCATACTTAGCCAAATTTGGGGATGCATTGCACGCGTGGTGGCACGGAGTAATGGGCCCAAAAACCAAATCCTCACGGCCCACTCAACTGATTTAAACTGATATGATTAAGTTGGCCTTATAAAGCCATTTAATTCCTTGTTTTCAACCGATGTGGTACAAGGTTAATTTTTAGTGTAAAGTGTAAACACTCACAAAATATAGGACAGGTAACCACACTCACCCCAATTTCCACTCCTAACTGTAATGTAATCCATCAAAGACGGAAATCAGACACAAAAGAAATCCGAAAGCGAAACGAAGCCCAAACTGGGGAATTGTCCGGCTCAATCTCGGCCCAGTAGAAAAGTCGCCCCGTCAACATATTAACAAACTGCGAAATTCCTTTTTCCGATTTCTTTCATATCAGCCCATCGGAGAGTCTCCCCTCCTTCCCTGTCGTCTCGTCTCTCCGCGGAGAAAGAAGAAAATCCGGAGCCGAAAGATCGCTCGTCTTCCTCGTGTGCTGCAGAAGAGTCGGAGAAACCGCTTCCGCCGCCGGCTCGATCTCAACTGAACCCTAGATCCATGGTAATGTCGATTCCTCCCAGTTTAATTTGGTCGCTTTCTTCTTCTCCTGGCTGTCATCGTCGGTCCCTCTCCTTTTTCTCGCCCGCGGTTTCTCTCCTGATCAGAGGGATGCACGCAGCCATATCCTCGATTGATAGTGTACCTACATGAGGTTCTTCGACTGGCTTGTGGAATTAAGTTTAGTTAAGTTCCAAAGAATTGATCTCAGCTCGATAATGTGTGTCATCGAGTTTGGTCTGCTGATGCTGAATTGTGCTGCAACATTGTGGCTTGTTATTTACCGAGCTCCTGAAGCGCTTTGCAGATGTCGATGCAGCTTTCGCAAAGCGTTGATGGGGTCTGGTTACCGATTGATTAACCTCTGCCTTTTGATTGTTGGTGTAGGTTCTCCTACAGCCCGACCCTTTTCTTAATGAGCTCACCAGCATGTTTGAGCACAGCACGGAGAAAGGCTCGGTTTGGGTCACTCTCAAACGCTGTAAGTATCATCCGCGCTAGCTTATGGCGGCGTAATGTCTTCTGTTTGTTGATTGTTTTGGAACCCATGAAGGGTGTTGAACTGGTGTGCTTCTTGTTTCTCGTGATTTGAAGCATCCTTGAAGTCTAAGGTGCAAAGGAATAAGATGAAAACTGCTGGTGAACCTCTTGACTACCGGTGCCTCATCCGTGCAACCAATGGCAAGAAGACAATCTCTACTTCGGTAACAGACTTCCTTCCATGAGACATGAGTTAAAACTTGTGCAGTAATCATTGCAAGTATTTATAGCTTGGATGAACTGGCAATCAACTGTTGCCTGTTGAAACAGCATTGGTGAATTGGTCCATCACAATCTAAATCTTGATGCTTTATGTGGAAGCAAATGGATTCATAGTAACTTCGGCACTACAGCCGAATTTCATCTTGATTTGCTTCTATACTGTGTTGTTTTTCGGTTTGTGTAACTTCAGCCGAGTAAAATGCTCATCAGCATAAGAGATTCGGCACTTAGATTTCTGGACACTGTGTCTGGTTAGTTTGCTCAGGAAGGAGCTATAACAAGCTTGGGTCTATTGTCTGTTCACCCCTTCCCTGAAATATGGTACCATGGTGAACTATCCTGCTGACAAGGTTTAGTCCAAAAGTCTTCTGCACATAGGTCAGATGATATTGTCTATGAATGTATTTACAATAGATTCTTGAGCCTACCTAACAACTGGTTCCAGCTGAAGGTTTTTTCTGTTTTAGAATGGATTAGAGAGATAATGAGGGCGTCTGTCCCAGGTGCCACAACTTAATCGAAAATATCTGCTGAGAACTAGCCAGGGGAGCATGAGTTTAGTTAGCTAGTGAATGTGCACCTCGTGTTGATGTAACCATGTTCTGTCTTTGGTTATATTGGTCCCCGGGGCTTTTCGCCTTTATAAACTGTTGTGTTGTGCAGGTTGGGGCAAAGGATCACCAGAAGTTCCAAGCATCTTATGCAACAATCCTCAAGGCACACATGACAGCTCTTAAGAAGAGAGAAAGGAAGGACAAGAAGAAGGCTGCAGATGCAACTACGAACAAGAAAGACGGCGAGAGCTCGAAGAACAAAAAACCTAAGAAGGTCTGATTGATGCTCTTCCCAGTAAACTTGAGGAAAGAAAACATACACAGTTTGCTTCTAACTTTCTTTGTTTTACAAAGAGCAGAGTGGTTAATTGGACTTTGCGGGAACAAGTAGAGAATTGTTCATTTTGTTCTGCGCAATGCAGATTTCTTGGCAGGTTTTGGATTGAATACCCTTAGGACTTGTCCATTTTGTTCTCACGGCCAGTCCAATTCCTAACCGGAGACTGAATCCACTCCGGCCACTGAAAATCCTTTCTCTTTTATGAACTTCCCTTCCCCCCAAATTTTCCGATCCCACTCCACACCTTCCAAGCGTCGGTTTTCGCCCAGCTGTTTCTCAATGTCTCAATCCGCCGCCATCGCCATCCCCGCCGCCGCCGACGGATACGAATTCCAGAAACCGCACAATGCCAAACCACGACGCCGCCGCGACTGCTGCAAATCCACCTTCTTCATCATCTTCGCCGTCGTCCTAATCTGCGCCGTCCCTGCCGTCACCCGCTCCCTGATTTACCTCCAGCCCTCCCTCCCCGCCGTCGCCGTGATCTCCTCCGACGTCACCGTCAAAAACGTCTCCGCCAACAGCCTCGCCACCGTCAAAAACGTCTCCTCCGCCAACAGCCTCGTTACCGCCAGCTGGGACGTCAGCTTCTCCATCACCAACCCAAACGACGATGCCTTCCTCTACCACCGCTTCGTCGCCTACGCCGCCGCCGCGGACGACGGCGTCCGCATAGCCAACGTCACACTCCGTCCGTTTCGCCAGGCCGGGCGCGGCGCTGTCACGCTGTCCGCCTCATTCCCGTCGCTGAACTTTGTGGTGGACGACGACTGCGCCGCGACCAACCGGACGATCCTGAAGCCGTGTGGGCCCGTGCCGCTGATGCTGGAGGTGGAGGCCTCGGCGGTTTACGAGCGGCGGATGACGTGGCCGAGGAAGGGGAACGTGGTCGAGGTGGTGTGCGACCCAACGGAGGTGACGTTCCGACCGAATGTGACGAGACTGGAGCTGGGTCCGTCGAGCTGCCGCGCCGACGGGGAGTGGCGGCGGTTGGTGGTGAAGTGCTGGGCTGTATTCCGGACCTACATCTTCTTCGTCGTCGTGTGTGTTGTGATTTTGGGATGTGTTCATTAGGCGCGCGGTTTGGGTTTCTCTTTTTCTAAAGGGGAGTTTTTTTCTTTGATATTTTCCCCCCTAATAATTTTGTTTTGAGGCTAATTTTGATAGTAGCAACTAGCATGCACTAGTAGGGAGTAGAGCATAAATTCGTCTGTAGATGTGAAAGAATTGTAAAAACGTATTGAAAAAGTGTTTTATACTGAAATTGTGATTTAATTATTGTTCGATCATATCATATTATTAAATCGTGGTTTAATTATGGAGAAATTTCGTCAAATAGTAAGCATCTCTACAATAATCTAGGGGTAGAAGGGACCTTTTTTTTTTTTACCAAAACGATCGCTCGTATTACCGAGAAAACAGTCAGATACAAAGGAGTTCAAATGACCGAAAACAGCCACGCAACAAAATCGAACCCAACTAAAGAAGGGAACAAAGAAAGGGCTTTTCGTGCCACCAAATGGGCAACCCTATTACAACGCCAATCAACAAAGAAGGGACCTTACATGCTAATCAACAATAATCCAGAATTGTACTCTTCATTATTATAAATTTTTCCTAGTGTGAGAACCAAATTGTAATTTTTTTATATTGTTAATTCGCACAAAATACAGAGATTTTTTTTAATTATAAACGAGAAATATATCAATCGAGAGAGAATAAGGGAGATATATAGGAATTTAGCTATTATCCTCATATTGGATTATCAGCGAGTGTCAATGTCGTTGGATTAGTGTTTTCCAAATTTGTGAACACATGAGAACAATCCAGTAGTGATAACTTAAGTTAAAAACCACGATCTGATTAACATAACTAGGTATTTATATGACTCATTTGTCGGATTAATTTCATTTTACTTGTTTTTATTTTATATTAATCAATTCATTTATTAATTATTTGGAATTAATCTCTGTGCTAATTATTGGTTGTAATATTAATGATAATTAGTTCATAAGTATTTTTTAGCGACGGAAGCATAATGCGTCGCTAAAGGCGAACTTTTGGCGACGGAAAATGAACTTCGTCGCAGAGTTTGTCCTTTTGTCTTTAGCCACCACCCACATAAGGCTTTGGGCGCAACTCGCAAGGAAGGAGGAAAGATGAGAGTGTATTTGGAGAAACTACTCGATGAAGACAAGCTAAACTAGGCACGGTTGATCACGGCATATATAAGGTTTACGAATCAATCAACTATGATACTGCAATTGTAATTAAAAATTTGTTACCATGATGATGGCTAATAGCATCCCTCACACACATTCATTGTTCATTTCTTGTGTGTCCGTTTATTCATACAGTATACGTAATTGATCGCGGTGCAAATTCGTTCGTGAACCACACTACGATACGATCGAATGTTGATATATAGGCCATAGGAGTACATTCTCATTTGTCGATTTCATTTATTAAAACTATGTCTCCGAAAGATGTATTGGAAAGTAATATTGTTTGTGAAAAATGGCTTGAGATTGCATTGAGATATCGGAGCCTAATTATACACATACAGAGGAGAGTTTGTAGCAACTAACACACACGAATTCCACAAAGATAGGAACGGTAGAGAGTGGGTAAAAAAATATAAGAATAAAGGAAAAGAAAATTCTTTTATACACTATCTCTAACAGTCTCATCATTAACATTAGGAACTTCGGCTCAACCTCAATTATAAGACAATTAATAATTTATAAATTGAATACCATAATATTTATATGTTATATACATATCGTTTGGTATAAATGAATTCCATAAGTTTTGAGGAATTCATTTTGAAATGAAACATTTTTGTGTTTGGTATTTAAAATAATTTATTTTCAATTCTAAATTTTGAATTCTATGGAATTGGAACTAGTTATAGTAATTCCGAGGAATTGAGATTGAATTTGCAAATGAATTCCACAAGTATTTACTAATTATAATAGAATGATATAGTTATCTTCTTTTATTAACTATATTGCTTATACATATGACATACCAAACACAGGAATTCATTTGACAATGAATTGTACACGACAATTCATTTTATTTCTAAAGATTTGAATATGACATACCAAACACAAAATTTCATTTCATAATGAAATTTATACGGTAATTCATTTTACAATAAAATGAATTCTCGATTCATTTGGTACCAAAGGGTTTGTTATATATGATCAATACATGTGATTAACTGATCTCATGAGACATGTTTGCTCATCTAGTCAAATTCTTTAAACATCATAATTCATATGAGTGAGATATACGATTTAATAAACCTATGAATGACCAACAAGGCATGCAACTCATAATATAAAGACAAATTTTCTCATTAGCCGGCACTCGATCGAGTTGGTGTGCTAGTTACAATTAACGTTGAGACATTTCATGAGCTCAAAACGATGATAGTTCACGCGATTTGATCAACTCAACAAGCCACATAATCAAGCTGGCTCACGAATCTCACTCGAGCTGAATACAGGACTCGGCTTCAAACTCTCGGCTCGTTAGTAAACGAGTCGCGAGCTTTTTTCCCGAATCGAACGAGGTTTTCTCGAGTCGTGAGTTGTACGTTCCATCTCTTCATGACTTGTGCATTAATTCATGATTAGGTTGTCGGATAGGTGAGCAAGATCAATACGTAAAACCAAACCAAAACTCTGGACACTCCTCCAATGCATACATCGGCGAATTAAGAGGCATCCCCATATGGGAATTCTTATTACATGTCTTGAGCTGCAAAGAATTCTGATTACAGGCATAGTATCCCCTACTCTAAACCACATACACTCTTAGCTCTTATACCTAAGACAAAAAGAAGTCAGCTTCCCCTACAGAGTTTAGACCAATTGCTCTGTGTAAGGTGCTTTATAAAATCTTATTAAGGTGTTAGCCAATAGGCTAAAGGGAGTTCTGGATGAGGTGACTGCGAAGACATAGAGTGCATTTGTATTAGGGAGAAACATTACAGACAACATAATGGTTGCATTCGAGTGTTTTCATGTGATGAAGAATAAAAAAGAGGGGGAAAAGGGTTATGTTGTTGCTAAACTGGATATTTCAAAAGCATACGACAGGGTAGAGTGGAATTTTTTGTTGTTAACTCAATTCTTTTATGCTTTCATGAACTTGGATTAAGAGTATGTCGATTTGACAAGAGCACCATTCTGGAAATCATTGTTCAGCTCTTTGAAACTTAGAATACAGATGTCATTATGGGATGTAGATGATGTTACCTATATATGACTAATTTATTGACTTAACTATACATTGTCAAATTTGAACGAGGGAATGCAATCGACATGAGGGCTAAAGTGGCAATGGCAAGGAGATATATTGGAGGTCCCTTATAAGAACATTTTTCCTGAAGCATGTTGGAGTTGAGGAGAGTTAACGAAGGCTTACTGCTCATCAGCAACAAGTGAAGCTTTATGGAGAAATCGAAAAAAGTATTGAAACTTGGATTTTTTTGTTGTTGCAAACTTGGATTGTGTTTCTCATGCTACGAGAGAAATTTTATAAGATGGATTCTTGGGCCTCTTATGATTGGAGTTATAGGACATATTGGTTCTCGGAACTTTGCAAATTTTCCATATTATATTGAAGAGAGGACAACTAAAGTATGTTATATGATGATGGTGTGTGCATTAGTGAGCCATGAGTTTGGACCAATCTAGAGATGATGACTGAAGGGACGAAGAGCATAAACTCAGAATTGCAGTCTAACATGTTGATTTATGTTGAACTTCCTGCCAACATTCTGAATATTAGACTGCTAAGTTACGAAAAAGATGGGGAAGAAGCATAGGAAAAGGAACAAATGTTTATGAGAATATTTTCTTTATGCGATTGAATGTATTGAAAGTATGAATGTTGTTTAACTTCTTACCCCTCCTTTTTAGTTCGACCTTGATTCTAAATCCACTTATAGTAACTTTCGAATATCGTTTTACTTTTGTTGAGTGAACGACCTATTGTCCGAATGAATGTTGTATTAGTTGTTCAACAAAAGTGGGAGGAACTTGATGATGTTGTTCCACAGGTATTATAGTATTATTGACAAATTCATGTACAAGAAATAATATAGATACAACTTATAGTTATGACGACAAAATTTAATTTCCTATTAACACGATATTTTTATAAACATAATTAGAACTTTTCATTCGCCGCGAAGCGCAAGCGAGCCGGTCCTTGCCCGTAATAATAACGGTTCATTCCGTTCCGACTTCCTGCCTACTCTCTCTCTCCCCCTTCCCGCTTCTACCGGATTCCTCTCTTTACTTCCCCGCTCCCCACCGCAGCCGGCAAGCCACCTCCCCCAATTTCCACCTCACCGCCGGCGATTCACAGCCATGGAACCCGCAACCGGCTATCCTCCTCCTCCTCCAACCAGCACCTCATACCCCTACCAACCTCCGCCGCAGCAGCCTTCCAATCCCTATTACTACAACCCTAGCAACGGCCAGGGCCCCGTCTACACCCCGGCCCGGCCCATCCTCTACCGCCGATTAATCACAATCTTCATCGCCGTCACCGTCGTCTTCTTCGCCGCGCTCTTCATCAGCTGGATCCTGATCCGCCCCCGCATCCCCGAGTTCCGCCTCACCTCCTTCACCCTCTCCGGATTCAATTCCTCCAGCCACCAGCTCTCCGGCACCTGGGCCGCGCGACTCGAGGTCTACAACCCGAACAAGAAGATGGACATCGAGTAAGAAGCGATTCAGGCCTCCGTTTTCTACCAGCAGGCGCTCCTGGCCGAGAATCGGCTCCAGCCGTTCCTCCAGGTGCGCAGGAATCTGACGGCGATGGAGACGCGGTTCTCGATCGTCAACACTTTCGTCGATCAGTCGGTGACCGACGCGGTCGACGAGGAGAGGAGGAAGCACGGCTCCGTGGGTTTCGATTTGGAGGTGGCGGCTGGTGTAGGGTTTAAGGTTGGCGAGCTGAGGGCCAGGCGGCGTCTGCTTAAGGTGAGCTGCGACGATCTCGATGTGCGTCTCGACGGCAATGGTGGTGGCTCGGGGAACTTGACCGGAGTTCCCAAGCGCTGCGACGTTTACTCTTAAGAGTAAGAATTTGCGGGGGATTTGGATCTCTATCTGCTTGTTTTCTTGCTATGCTGCTTATCTAGTGTGTAGTAATCTTCATGAAGAGAAGATTTGAGGATGGGGTAGATGTACATGAAATCTGGTATAGGGGTTTTGGGTATTGTTTTGAGTAGATTTCATTAGTTGTGATGCGATTATCATTTGGGTTTCTTTCATTGAAACAATGGCGGGGTTGATGTTCGGTGAAATGTTCAATTATTTTTGCCTGGTTCATCTTTTTTCCTGCCTGGCTTATGTGCTCTGAAGATAAATGTCAAAGACCTTGTTCATGAGGCATTTCAGAGTAAAAGATTCGCTGCTCCTTCGATTGTTAATGATTTACTGTTTTTTGGTCAATGATTATGCAATCCTATCATCCTAATTCCTATGGTTCAATGGCGTTGATGTGCGGTTTATCAATAGTCCGAAGCTTGTAGTGTATCCACATGCTTGAGTTATATTTGCTTGGCAGTTGATGGGTGCACCCATTTTCTCAGCAATCATATGGTTTCAGGTTGATGCGTTATGAAGTCTGCGTTAACGGAACTAGTGATTGAGTGGATTGGTACAAGCCTTTGGCGCTAATGGTCAGAAGTAGGGGTGTACATGGGTCGGGTGGTCCGGGTTGAGGCATTTTAATCACCCGACCCATGCACTACGGTTTGGGAAATGTAAAACCCAAACTCACCCAAAAAAAATCGAAACCCTACGGTTTGTTTATTATTGGGTTGGGTTGGGTTGGCTATATTTTTAAGTAAAAACCCAACCCAACACAAAATATGTAATTATTCTACATCATAAAAATATTTTATAACAAATTAAAAATTCAAAAGAATAAACCGAGGTGAAAGGTATCAAAATTCACAAATATTGTTTGAATTTTAATAAAACTTGATTTACTTCAACTTATGTCTAGTTTTTTTCACGACATTTGTTGAAATAGGCTAAATACGCATCCATAATATGATATTCTTTTAAAATTGTACACAAGAAAAATACGTGAATCATAGCTATATTAAATATATGTATAAACTTTAAGTCGAAGAATGCATTAGATTAGTGAGACTTTAAGAGAAAAACATGACGAAATATCTTAATTTTCTCATAAGTATGACTATATACGACATAAATATTTTTTTGGATATGAACTCATATCAATAATTGGAACACGGGTTGGGTCGGGTTCTACGGGTTGTGTAATCCAAAATCCAAACCCAACCCAAAAGAGGCGGGTTGTACAAATGAAAACCCTTACCCAACCCAAAACCTTCAATTTAGCGATAAATACGGGTGGGTTGGGTCGGGTTGGACGGGTGGGTCGGTTTGCGGGTGTGTTTGTTCACCCCTAGTCAGAAGTGTAGAATCAGGGTTTGTGCTAAATTAGGGAGTTCGTGCGCAGCAGAAGTAGTCAGAGGTTCATTCTGATAGTCAAATCTTGTTAGATATATTGAAAGTAACTAATATGGAGAAAGGGGAGCTGTACTTGTGTGTAGGGGGTGTTAATCGGTCGCCGGTTATTCGGTAAAATCGAACCGAAATACGCGGTTAGTCGGTTTAACCGAAACCGATTATTTGTGTTCGGTGTCGGCGTCGGTTGTCATTTTCAGGCAATATCCATAACCGGAAACCGACGGTGGCTAACCGAGAAAACTCGGTGCACTGATAAGTAACCGTCGAATGAAATAGAAGGCTAAAGACACCCTCTGCTCCGCCCCATCCAGAAGCTTCTCGACCTCTACCAGATCTGGCCTCCCCACCTCGTCCTTCAATCTCGACATCGTCGTCCCAATCTCCCCAATCCCAACCTCGGCACCCAAACCAGACATGCACCACTACACTCTCATTCTCCGCCGAAGTTGTCGCCTCCTCCGATTAGAAGGCGGCGACAGTCGAGACTCATCAAAGGAAGGAAAAGAGGGTCGATTCCCGTGAAGATTGAGTGCAGGTCGCCGTCGTCCCTGCCTTCTTCAACCTTGGAGGTGGACGAGAACTGGAAAGATTCGAAACCTCCAACCTTCGACGGCTCTTTCTCTTCGTCCTCTACCGCCGACTCTAGATTCGCCGCTGCTGTGCCCTTCTTCCCCTTCCTAGGTCGCCGTCAGCTGTCTCCCTGCCTTCCAAATCGTAGATTGAGGGGCTTTAGATGGTCAGAGAGAGAGGAGGAGGAGGAGGAGGAGAGAGAGAGAGAGAGATTTGGGGAAGGCAGATCGGAGATTGAAAAGGGGGGGAGAGAGAAAGATTTGAGGAAGACGGGAGAGGAATAATAATAGGTCCCCAATCCCCCAAAATTGACAATTCTATTAATTTTTGCGGTTTCACGGTTTGAGGACTAATCGCACCGACGATTGCGGTTTCGGTGTTGGATAACTGACCATGTGTATCTGCTTCGGTTGGGAGTTTGGGCATGTAATCGGCTGCGGTTAACCGACTATCACCCCTACTTGTGTGGTAGAGAATGAAAGCATTTGTGTAGGATAATCTTGTTATGAGCTATGCAGGTTGTAGTTTTGATTAACTTGGCCTAGTATCGATTTGCTGGATTGATTCAGCTATTCACGAGCCACCTGATTCCCATTAGGAAAACACGCTCTGTCACATTGAGAAAAGTTATGGACATAGCTGATGGGTAATGGTGATTGGGGCATCTAGTTTTTAGGTTCATCCAGCTGATACCAGACAGATGGGTATTCCAGTCTTTCAATTGTGTTCTTTCATGTCCCTACTAACCTCGAGGACTTCAAAGTTGGTCAATCGTACAAGGCACGATGCGATCTGGCTTTCGAGTTGGTGTGGTCAAATGCATGTTCCTTAGCAAAAAGGTTAGCATACTCTTGCCTGTTCTTTGCATCCTGGTTGCTGATGTCATAGCTATTGATTTTTCTTGTTTCCCATAGTTGAATGAATAACCAATCGAACTGATAGGTAAGGCTACTTTTTGTAGTTCAATGGAGTATATTGCGCGCCTTAAGTTCTGATTCTGGGATCTGTATGACACCAATTAGAGGGTGTCTGCAGCCTGGATATGTTAAGTTCATGTGTTTTTGGCAGAGAAAGGAAAGAAGTGGGAATTGCATTTCTGAAAGGTGGTGAAAATCTCGGTCACAATTGAGCCAAGTGCACGTTTGACTTGCCAGCCTACCATTTAAATGGAGACCAAGATACAGAAACTCAGAAGCTACTGCCTGCTGCTGCTGCTGCTGCTGCCTGTGAATCGGCAGCCATGTACTGTGCATCACCTCCAGCTACTCGTCCACAGAAGAGCAGAGATTGGCCAACGTCGTGATGGTCGTTGATGCAATCGACGTTGGAGTTGATCCCCAGCAGAAACTTGCAGGAGTGAGAGGATGTTTCCCGTCCTCGAATGCACATAAGCATGGTTGTTCACGAGAAATCTCTGTTTGCATGTGGCCATGCTATGTATCATCCCCGCCATTAGTGTTTTCTCTGTTCCATTGCTTCATTAGCGTATGATCAATCGGAGACGAGCAGCTTAGAGGAGGCAGATCTCCGAGTCCCCGGCAAAATCATGAAGTTGACTCTTGAATGTGTTGATACCTCGGGTTTTGTTGCCATCCCTGTTTGAACTAGACTAGGCTGATACGGGTTAATCATACATGTTTTACCTGGTTTATGAGTTATTTGATATGAAAACACTATATTTGTCATATATGCATGGTCCTTGTTTATTGGAATTTAAACTTTAGGGCAAAATAATATACTTTACCTAAGAATGTGCAACGATTTGGTTCGATCTGGTCCGGACCAAACTAATGAGAACTATGGTCTAATAGTGAAAAAAATTACTAAGACCAGACCAACATTGTATTTTGTCCGCTTTGGTCGAATCCAAATGTCACTTCGGTCTATTTTTTTCAATATTTATAATATTCATATGACCACAAACCTGACTATGTTGTATTTGGTTCAGCAGGATCCGATCCAAATATCAATTTGGCCCGATACGATTCGGTACGAACCAATCCGTTGCACACTCCTAGCATTACCCGCACATGCTACAATTCATTTATAAATTCGAAATGCTTGTAAACATATTTTGGTTCAACTTAAGATCAAGTCGAAAATGTACACAAACATCACTTGCATAATTACTGATTAGAGATTTTCCCTCCTCCACATATTGTTTTTTCATGTATGCTTTCAAAAGGTCCCGCTACACTGTACAGAAAAAAAGAACAAAAATTATCAAGTTTCAAAAACTAAATAATAGAATGTTGTGTAAATTATATATATATATCCATATAGGTGACGTATTCAGTGCACCCACTTTTTTGGGTGCACTCAGTGCACCCGCCTCATAATTGTCATTCTGAGCATGTGATTCATGTCAAAACGGTATCAATTGTTGCTTACGATATTATGAACAAGAAGCACATGAATTTGAAAAAAAAGTATTCAAAATTTACTTTAATTTGAAGGATTTATGATTTAGGGATTTAGGGTTAGGGATTAGGTTTAAAATTTGGGGTTTTGGATTGGGATTCAAAATTGAAGGTTAAGGGGTTAGTGTAATAGATTGATTTGTTATGATTCTATGTCATATCATCATATTAGATTGAGAGTACTAATTAAAGTTCAAAATTTGATGTAATATGGACACTTTTAGAGTGAGTGCACTGAGTGCACCCAAAAAAGTGAGTGCGCCGAAGTAGCCACCATATATATATATATATATATTTTTTTTCGCAAAGTCAGTTGTTATAAATTCAGACATACAAAGAAAATAAAAAGAGCGCGGGAGTCGACCAATAGTCGAACTCCCGATGAGAGGGCCTTTTGAATCATTGTAATTCTATCTTCTTAATCCCGTTTCAAGTGTAATAAACAGATAAACTTCACCCCCCCAAAAAAACCACATAATATCTTCTCAAAGCATGCTGATTGTAGGCTGTAGACTAGGCCACTCGAAGGCCTCTAGCAAGCTTACCCAAGCTTTGGAACTCGTAGTTGCCAGTTGCCACCGCCATTAACCTTCCGGAGCTCTGTCTCCCCTCTCTCTCTCTTTCCATATATCCCTTTTTCCTTATCACTCTGTCTTCCAGTGTCTTTCCATCTTCCCACTCTCAATCTTTCTTCGCAAGAAGATTCAGCCGTTTAAAGAGAGAGATCATGAGGTAGAGAGCAGCAAGCCAACTAAGAACCAAGAAGGGAGAGCAGAACTCCTGACAGAGAAATGGGCGTCCCTTCGTTTTACAGATGGCTAGTGGGAAGATACCCAAACATAGTCGTCAAAGCCCTGCCGCCACCAGATCAAGAAAACGCATCCACCAGCAATCTGCTCCTCCCAAACCCAAATTGGTTCGAGTTTGACAACCTCTATCTGGACATGAATGGAATCATCCACCCTTGCTTCCACCCAGAAGACCCTTCCAACGTGAGCAATCCTTGTTTCATCCGGATTTCTTAAAACAGAGTGCTCTGTTTTTTTCCCCTCCTCTGTTTTTGGCTTCATTTTCTCATATCCTCTGTTTTTTTTTATGTAGCCGATTCAGCCGACAACGTTTGATCAAGTCTACAACGCGGTGTTCGACTACATCGATCACTTGTTCAGCATCGTGCGGCCGAGGAAGCTCCTGTTCATGGCTGTGGATGGAGTCGGCCCGCGTGCCAAGATGAATCAGCAGCGGGCCAGACGGTATCGATCAGCCAAAGATAACGAGATTGCGGTTCGTAGTAATTGTAAAGTTTGAATCTTTTTTTTCCCCTGGTTAATGATTCAATGTAGCATAACATAATGGTTGCAGGAAGAGGAGGAAGAGTGTTTGAGGAAGCAATTCGAGACGGAAGGCAAACAGATTCTTCCGAAAATGGAGTCCGAATTGTCGGACTCCAACATCATAACCCCTGGGACGGAGTTCATGTTCGAGCTGTCGAAGAAGCTGCAGCATTACGTGAATTTGAGAATGGAGACTAGTCCTGGATGGAAGGATATCAAAGTTGTGCTTTCCGACGCAAGTGTTCCGGGGGAAGGAGAACATAAGATCATGTCGTTCATTCGGGAGCAGCGTTGCCTGCCTGATTACAACCCGAATACCCGCCATTGCCTCTATGGACTGGTATTGAAACTCGAAAGACTAATAATCGTAATTACATTTTTTCATGTTGCTATGCTACCTTGTGATTTGATGATGATTATGATGAAAACAGGATGCTGACTTGATCATTCTGGCTCTGGCGACACACGAAGTCCACTTCTCGATACTACGAGAGGTGATTCTTCGATTCATCGCCTTGTTGATGTTTCGGTTTGTTTGTTGTTATTATATGTCTTGCTAGAAGACCGATTTCTTGTGCAGGATGTGGCTTTCCAAGAAGAGCAACGGGTGTGTTTCTCTGCTTTGATGAGTAGCCTTTCGACAGTTGAGGCGAAAGCTTTCAAGTCGAGAGGATGGTTCAAGGATGTGAAAGTTGAACAAGAGAAACCATTAGCTAAAAAGCCTGCATCTTCTGTCAGGAAGACATATCAGGTTATGATTCTTATATTGTTTGACGTGTTTAGCAAGCTACCACGTGCTTATGGTCCTACTGGACTTTAATTAGGTTTCTATCTGCTAACTCTCTTCAGTTTCTCATTCTTGCAGTTCCTCCATGTTTGGATTCTGAGAGAGTACCTGGAGATTGACATGAGAATCTCTGATCCTCCGGAGAAGTTTGAGTTCGATGTAGATCGGGCCATTGATGATTTCTTGTTCATATGCTCCTTCGGGGGGAATGATTTTCTTCCCCGCATGCCTACCCTGGAGATTCATGAGGTATTGATCCATTCATAACATAAGAGAGTACTGTTTTAAAGTTTAAAACCCTATCGTATAAAATGTTAAGATTATCTTCTGATGACATTTTCCAGGGTGCACTTGATCTTTTGATGACTGTTTATAAGGAGCATTTCAAAAGTCTTGGTGGCTACCTGGTGGATATGGAAAAGGTAACTCTGAGACTGTAATTCTGTAAAGCATTGAAGTAAGCTTTATTACATTGTGGCCAAGGATGTCTCAACTTTTTGGCAAACAGGTGCAAGAGACCAAAAATGTGTTTATCAAGCTTAAGAGAGTGGAGAAGTTCATCTTGGAGGTTGGGAAGTATGAGGACAGAATTTTCAAGAAAAGATCAGAACTTCGAGATAAAAAAATTAGGCAGGTTGCTGCTTATGTAGCTGCTGTGAGTTCCTACCAAACCTTCTTGATGAGAAACTTGTTAGCCAAGTAATTTACCTTTTTGTATTAAGTCGCTTCTATTTGTATATTCTCCGTCTGTAACTTGTGATTTCCAGGAAAACGAGGACGGGAATACAGACTCGTCACTGGAGATAGCGAAGGATCCAAGCTCGGCTTCTATTGGAAGTTCGTCGGTTTCTGAAGATCAAGTAACCTATTTCCAAAAAAATTGAAATGTCTTGTTGATGGTTTGTGGAGTACTGTAGTTTGACTTTATACTTGCTAAGCTGTCCAACTTTGTGGGCAGATACTGAAGAACACAAGGGAGTTTAAGGAAAGATTAAGGTCTTGTCTTAGGAAGAAAGCTGATCATTTCAGAGACGGTGATTTGGTGATCGACAAGGTACCTACAATTGATAATAAGGTTTCCAGACTTGTCTTGTGCATGAAATAAGTGACCATACTTAGTCCTGGAAACACTCTTGTAGGTGAATCTTGGTACTGATGGATGGAATAAGAGATACTATCAAGAGAAGTTCTCTGCTGAAACTCCAAGTGAGATTGAAGTTAAAAGGAAAGAAGTTGTATGTATTATCTATAAGCATGCTTCATATCAATTAATATCCTTACTTCGTCATACAAATATAATCTTAACTTCAGCCTAACTGCTTTGTTCTACTTCTATAGGTCCAGAAGTATACAGAAGGACTGCTGTGGGTTCTGCAATACTACTATTGTGGAGTCCCTTCGTGGAATTGGTAATGCTCGTTTCATCGACATGTATTCTGCCTCTGAAATGAAAAATAAGCCAAAGGGGAAGCTGAAACCAAAACTTGAAAACTTCATTTCAGGTACTATCCATACCATTATGGACCGTTTGCATCTGACCTCAAGGGACTGTCACAAGTAAAGGTGAAGTTCCACAAGGGTTCACCATTCAAACCCTTTGAGCAGCTCATGGCTGTCTTACCACCACGAAGGTATATTGAATTGATACTCGTATAGTTTCTTAAGACTTACGGAAACTAACTAAAATGAGATTTCATATGTAGTTCAACTGCACTTCCCAAAGCATATCGGAAGCTGATGACGGATGAGAAGTCCGACATCATCAGCTTATTCCCAACTGATTTTGAAGTAGACATACAGGGAAAGCGGTTTTCCTGGCAGGTTTGTTAGTGTCTATTTGCTTGTTACAATTATTTTGCAAAGAATCTAATTTGTGAATGCTGAAAATGTGTTGATTATTATTCTTTGGAAGGGGATATGCAAGCTTCCTTTTGTCGATGAACGACTGCTATTAGCAGAGCTCCATAAAGTTGACAAGGATCTCCAAGGTCATGAAACCGAAAGAAACAAACAGAAAACTGATAGATTGTTCATTAGAAGAAGCAGTTTGCCTGAAGATCAGCTGGCCTCATTTGTTTCGACCATGGAGAAAGGAATCTTCAGCAAGATGGACATTGCATCATGGTCAGTCCACTTAGTTTTGATCCACATATGATGCAAGTCTTAATTAGTTAGTTAACGTTTGTCAGTTCCTCTCATTGTCTTTTGACTTCTGCTGCAGTGGAATTGGTGGATTTGTTTGCCTGGACCAAGAGTTTTGGTGCAGCATTATGGATAGGACTGTCTTGTAAGCACCTTTTATCCATAAACAGCAGCGAAATAGACGGCTTAAAGATACCTTCGCATGACAGCATCTTCATCTGTTGTTCTTTGTAGATGTCTTCTGCTCGAGTCGACCAAGGAAATAAAACACATTCCTCGCCCTCTCGCAGGAACAACATTTCCCGACAAGGTACTCAGAAAACTGTTTCCAGTGTAAAAATGAGAAAAGGTATAATACCCTCTTGCTGTCTGCATAATTCAAGCAAGATGTTCTTTTTTTCTGGCAATGTGCAGACCATAACTGAAGCTGACATCGTAGCCGAGCAGTTATGGCATGAAATCCCTGTCTCCAGATACACTACCAACCACAGGTTCATCTCTTTCTGCCATGTCAATTGTCATAAGCCATAACCGGTACTTCACTGATCTGACGAGTTCATTTTTTTCTCCCACAGAAACAGAGATTGGAGCAGAAGAAGCAACAGAGGAGAACCACACAATGACAATGCACTGAGCTCAAAAACATCCTTTAGGAGTAATGCCAATGCAGTTCGATTTACGGCTAACCCTTCTCCAAGACCGATCCTCAAGCCAGCTGGACCATCCAGCACAGGTTTCAGCAATGGCAGAGGAAGAGGGAGGATCAGCTCTCTTCATCCAGATCAGGTTTCAGCACAACCAAAGTTGCAAGAGGGTGAAAGCAGCAGCTATAGCTTCAGGCCACAGAAGAACTACAATCCGACCAACCCATGGAAGCAGCAGCCATGGCAGTTGAATAGCAATAATAATGATCATTTAAGGTATCAACAGGAGACTGGAAGTCAGGTTTCAGCACAACCAAAGTTGCAAGAGGGTGAAGGCAGCAGCTACAGATTCAGGCCACAGAACTACAACCCGACCAACCCATGGAAGCAGCAGCCATGGCAGTTGAATAGCAATAGTAAAGATCATTTAAGGTATCAACAGGTGACTGGAAGAGGGCAATGGAGCTCCACATCATCATCATCAGCTGGCAATGATCACTACCCATCTCTTGCACAAAGGTATGGAAGAGTTGTTGGCAATAGTAACAATGGCCCACGTGGGTCTTCTTCTGCAACTAGCTGGAGGGCAAGAGAGCAGTCCTCATAACTAGCTGGGGGAATCACCTTCTGCAGGGAAAAAAAAGGTGTCAGTACCGTTGGGGCAGTGTTCTGATATATAATTGCTCCCTTTTTTTGCAAACAAGTTATGAATATTTTGATGGAGCAATGAGCTCTTGCGTCCCTTTTGGCCCCAACCTTGATACAACGGTGGGAAAGTGAAAAAATATTAAGACTGAATATGTGTCTAGTATGGATACTTGGTGCAAGTGAAATAGAATGAAGGGTTAATGATGCCAATGTAGAGCAAGCAAAAAAGCATATAATTTTGATGAATATGGTAGATCAAACATAAGTAACTCAGTTTTAAATTGTGCTCCAAATCCTATCTAGGGGTGGCTATACGGTCCGGTTAAATTGGGCCAAATTGATCCAGTCCAGTCCGGTTTTTTTGGAAATATAAGGACCAAACATTGGATTGGATCCGGTCCGGTCTTGATCCGATCCGGTCCCAATTCGGTCTTGATTTTATATTGAGCTTGTGGAGATTTGAGTGGCCTAAGGCCTGAAAGGGTGAGGAGTTGGTTAAGTTTTGTACTAAGTGCAAAGGTTTATGAACGTTTATGCAAATTACCCTTAAGTTTTGGATGTTGAGCTCTCTTATCCGGCCTTTATCCAATTTTCGATCCGGTCCCGAACGATTTTTTTACCTCAAATCTAAGCCCAAAGATTGGATTGGATTGTTTACTATCCGGTCCCGGTCCTGTCTCGATCCGGGTTATATGGTCCGGTTTCGGGTAAAACCAAAAAACCCAAACCAAATAGCCAGCCCTAATCCTATCTCAAAAGAACGACTCTTTAAAAATCTTGAATTCTTCTATGATACAAAAAAATTTGAATTTTCTGATAGTTAAGCATGGTTGTCATGTCGACTTCCTGCCGGTCTGTTCAATCGAGAACAATCGGTATCGATCATAAAACTGGATGAAAAAGATTTTCAGTAATTTGCACACATGACCTCCGAAAATAAGCACCCTTTATTGCTTAACCGTCCGCTAGGTTACAATTCGCCTCCAACAGCGGTAGTAAAGATAAGGGTGGGATCTCCTCCCGCTCCGCACTGAGTCCCCCTTCTTCCGTCAACGAGTCCACGTCACACTTGAGCTTTGAGATGGCCTCCAAGCAGTCTAATTCGATTTCCACCACCGAAAATCCCTTCATTTCGACCACTTCCAGAGCGAAATCGATGGCCTGGAGCTCGGCAATTTCCAGTCGCCACTGCCGCCAATCTCGACGAACCGCCGCGAGCAGGCAAAATCCATTCCAATCCCGCACAACAATCCCAGCTCCAGTCCCTTCTCCCTCAAAAACGGCCGCATCGACATTTATTTTCACCGTTCCCGCCGATGGCTTCTTCTAGTTAGGGGTGTAAGTTTGACCCGTCTCGATCCGTCCCGTCCCTGAGGGTCGGGACGGGTCAGTTTGTCTATAGGGTCAGTTTAGGGACGGGTCAACTTTTGACTCTATAAGGGTAGGGACGGGTCGGGACAATTTAGGGATGGCTCACTTTTGACCCTGTGACCCTTAGCAACAACAAATATCTCATACCACATCGGACCTCTTCGTAAAAGTTTTAAAAGTTTAGGTACTAAAATGCAAAAATTAAAAAGTTTGGGTACCAAAATATAATTTTACCATAAAAATTTAAGGACTTATTTGTAAAAAAATAGGTACTAAATTGTAAGAAAACATAATTTTGGGTACCAAAACGTAATTTGTACAAAGGTTGTGTGTAGATTAGGGTCGACCCACTGACCCGACCCGTCCCATCCCTTGAGGGTCAGACAGAGTCAAGAAGGAGCCAGGGACGGGACGTAGGGGTGGGCATTGGGTGGGTCGGGTGGATTTTGACCATAAAATGCACCCACCCGCGCTTAAACGGATTGCTAATTTTTAACCCACCACCCACCCACATTTAGTCTCGGGTTGGGTCGGGCGGATGGTGGATGATGCGGGTGGGTTTGTGGGTTTACCCACATCACAATGTATACAATATAAAGGAGTCAACTTGACATGATAATAGGTGAAGAGAGTTCTCGGGGGAAACAAGAAGATGAAATAGGGCTGCAAAAAATTTCGAATTAGTTCTTAAATTGGATAGAAATTCTATTATGAAAGAGTTTTCTACATATTAAGATGATTACCAGGTGCAAGAAACTAAGGAAAATAATTCCACAAAGGAAAGAGCAGTGATCGAGGCACAAGAATTAGAGGAAAAAATAAAGGGAAGAAGAAGGGATCGCTATTTGGAAGGTTGGCTTTGAGGTTCAAACTCGAGGAGCAGTCCTAATTTATTTCTAACGTCTCCACTCTCCCCTCTCTAGCGCCAACGACTTTGATCTTTTGGCTGTTGGGTTGAGCGGGTCACCCGCGCACCCACCCACAACCCACCCACCACCCGGCGGATGGCTCCCTGAGCAACCCGTCACCCACCCACAGACCCACCCACTTAACGAAATTCGGGTCAAATGCGGGTGGGTCGGCCCAAACCCGCGGATGATCCGCCCGCATGCCCAGCCCTAACGGGACGGGTCAGTTATACATCTTGACCCTTCAGGGATGGGACAGGGATGGGTCAGGGCAATTTTCAGCCCTACTTCCAGTGCACAGGTACGACTGCTCTTCTCTCCTCCTTCTGTCTGGCCTATAGGAATTCCTCATGATAGGATAGAGCCTTCCCCACAATTTCCCACTCTTCCGCCTTCTTCTTATTGAACAAATGATTGTTTCGTTCATTCCAAAGATTCCATAGAATCATCGTGAATTTAGCTAGATGTTCCTCTTCAATTTCCTCTAATACCTCGCAGAACCATGATGTGCACGAGAGATTTCCCCGGTTTTCAAAGATTAGCCTAAATTCAGTAGGATCCCAAACTCGTCTTGCCCACGCACACTCCACAAAGATATGTTCCTGGGTTTCTTCCAGATTGCAGAACGGGCATTCCACCGCCGCATCCTTCTTCATCTTTTCTATATTCTTCCCCGTCGGTAGAATGTTCTATAGAAATCGCCAAAGAAACATTCTTACCTTTGGTGGAACCGGTAGTTTCCAAACTTTTCTCCAATTCACTGGGGTCATAAATTTTCCCTTGAGCTGATTCTATTCCCTCTAGCTTCAGCCTTTGCCTCCAAGGCCAATACCCAGACTTTGTTGTATAGTGACCTCTTCTCTCAAAGCTCCATAACTGCTTATCGAGTTGAGGTGTTCTTGGGAGAGGAATTGCCTTGATTCTTGCCCTATCAGTTGGGTTAAAGTGTTGTTGCATCACATTTTCTCGCCATTGTTGGGTTGTATGATCAATGAGGGATGAAACTCGAGCTTGGGCTCCTAGACTAGTTACCGGTGAGACTATCAGATAGCCATCTTCCTCAACATCTGGTACCCATCTGGTATATAAATTGATTGTAAACCTTAATGAAATTCATTTTATACACATTTATATTTATTTATCTAACTATAAACTATTTACTATTAGTTACCAATTTCTAACTCTAAATTATTTTATGTGAATTAACTTTTTTTAATTGTTTCTTTCTAACTAATTTATTTAGTATTTGATAATTTTAAATTTTTCGTGTATTTTATTAAAATCGATATTAGCACAGATTGTATCACGATAAAAACCATTCCACTTGTAAAATCGGTCCACCATGCCAGCACCAACCGGAAGAAGTTGGATTCCAAACAATGGCTACTTGTTTGCTTGTTAGATTTGAAAATGAAGGTTTTGAGTTTTAAAAACCTTTGGATTTATGATGGATTTGTTGCATCATGGATTTGGAAGAGTACATTGTTTGTTTAGTTGATTTTTTATCATGGATTTATGATGGATTTGTCTCACATTTTTTTCCTTCTATTGTCAAATCCCAAATAAAATGTGGGATTTACAAATTCATGGGGTCCACGGATTCGGATCTAAAAAAAAGGTCAAAATCCGTGGATCTCACAGATTTGTGTCCCTCAACAATGCTTGTGATTTGGGTTCCAAATCCATCACCCAAATCCCACAAACAAACGACTCCAAAGTGTTTTACTTCGGGGCAGACGCAGTCGGATCCAAGTCAACCCGCCAAGAAACCCTACCGTCCAAACAGCTCATTTCGCGGCATTTTTGCTTCTACCGATTCATCGGAGAAGAAAGCAGCAAAGCACAGACAATACACAGCAAGCATCAATCTCCCAACCGTCGGCGGCTTCCTCGTGCCATAAATACATTCCCAGTTTCTACGGGTCTGGAAACCCGGTCCCCCTATCTAATCCCGTCCCCGATTTTGGGAGGGAATCGCATTTCAAAAACTGGACTTTCGCCGGCACTTCTCCAGTGCCAAAAACAACACTTCCACACTCTGGCGGCGGCGCTATCGGTCTCAGCTAGTGATCAGTATCTCTAGCGGAAGTGTGAAATTCGGGAAATGGCGGCGGCTGGCGCGTTTGGAGTGACGCCGCACAAAGTCTCGGTCTGCGTTCTGCTCCAGATGTACGCACCGCCGGCTCAGGCCGAGCCTCTTTTCTCGGTGTCTCAGCACAATCACCTTGGCCTCTACTTGTTAGCCATCACTAAGGTCTCTCTCTCTCTCTCTCTCTCAATCACTCCCTGAGGCTTCCGCTCGGTTCTTTCTCTGTATTTCCCTGTTGGTCTATTGAGCTTGGAGCGAGTTGTTCATTGAAATTTCTGAGAATCAATTTGCAGTCCCATGGCGATTTTCTGGAGCCGAAACTGGCCGATCTTCTGACTCAATTGAAGGACATTAGCGGTTCCTTGGGTGATTGGTTGATTGAACATTTAACGAATAGGCTCTCTTCTCTGTCTTCACCGGATGATTTGGCTGTTCTCTTCAGTGAATTTCGAGGTTTGATTCTCATTTGCCTTGTTTTCTTTGGTTTCTTCGGTCACTACTGTGAATTGATCGATTCTCTTTCTGCCGGACACTACTCCTGGACTTACTTGGAAAGACTGTCTTCATTCAGGGACACTTGGGGGAACTGAATCTGCTGTTATTGAAGATAATCAAGTTGTTTTGGACCCAAACAGCTACCTCGGGATGTTTGTGCGTCGTTGTGTACTTGCTTTTAACCTCTTATCGTTCGAGGTATCCTGCGTATTGTCCTATTATGTCAATCACTCTTTTCATCATATGCCTCGACTTAGCAAGCTTTGTTCTTCTCATTGCAATGCGAGCTCCTGGCAGTGTATAATCTTCAAATTTTCTAGCCATCTATGTTGTTGGTCACAAGTGGTGCTGCAAGTCCCAGCATACTTTTTTGCTTGGCTTTTACTTGGGAAATGTAGAATGAGAAATAAAATAGTGAAGACAAGAGGCTGCAATTGTTTGAACATATATGATTTCCTATGTCATTGAAGTTGTATTTGCTTGTTGCTAGTGGTTCTGATCCATTCTCTGTTACTTGGGTCCGAATGTTGACATGAAGTGTCTCCTATATCTTACAACGCATCAAGTTATTATTTGTGGAAACTGCTTCATTGCAACTGCTCGATCGGGAATTCGGTTATTAAGCATTTTGTTATCATGTTAGAGAACATGGTGACTAGGAATACTTATATTTTTTACTAGTGATAGTCAGCATGTTAATAATACTATCAGTCAGGATTGTATTTATTGAATTAATAATACGTGGAAACGGTAATGCAAAGATTAGATAGTGAAACCAATCCTGGGTGCTGCTGCTATTATGTTAGCTAAACTCGAATGCATTTTACTTCCTTTTAATCTTTCTTTGATCTAGAGTTTCAAGGAAATTGAATCCTGTGATGCTGCTAAATAGTACATCTCTGTCATTTCTGAATGCAATTCAGGGCGTCTGCCACCTTTTGACAAATATAGGAAATTACTGCAAAGAAGCCCTCTCAAGTTGCCTCCCCTATGAGTTGCATGGTTTAGATGATTCTGTTAATGACTTGGAGACATCATCGGCATACGAGAACATGGACTTGGAAAATTTTGTCTTTCAGAAAGTAACAGAAGAAATTGTAGCAAACAAGCAGGCCAGTCAACGGAACTCTTTTCACCTGCATACATCCAAAGCACTTTCTGGACTGGTTGAAGGTATGCCCAGTTTTTAGAAATTGCATCTGGATGAATTCGTGAGTTGTTACTCCACAGTCTCTGCCGTCAAAAGAAGGATATCCATTAGTGTTATTGATACTCGACGCTGCGTAGTGTATTAGTTTTTTGGCAGAGCGTGTTTTCCTTGTGCTTGGATAAAAGACTATTGTAAAGAATTGTGTTTCTGATGCAACATGGTAAAGTTTCAGCCTTATGGTGATTGTTTAAGCTTTCTAAATTAATAAGCAGGATTAATGAATGCACAGATGTTGAGATTGTTGCTGGTTCACTATACAATCACGCTGGCAATAGTGGAGAAACATGTTCCAGCTCAGATACCATCGCAAGTGGAACAAGAGGTGCTGATACTTCTGGGAACATGTTCCTGAGAACAACAAGCCAACTGCAAGGCTTCTTCATGGAACAGGCAGATGCAATTGAGAAGTAACTTCATGTTTGTTTGTTTTCACTTGTGTTTCCTGTAGTTTTTTTTACGTCACGTGTCTTCTTCAAATGAGCATATGCACCTTGTTGCAGGCATGGTTGTTCGTTCCCATTAAATGGCTTTGAAGTTATCTTAAACCGCATTAAAAATTTGGCTCCTGAGCTACACCGTGTAAGTCAACCAGAACTCAGATTCAATTCTACGGCATTGATTATTTGTAAATTAAAGTTATTTGAGGTTCTGATGCACTGCAAATGATGGTGGTGGTTGGGGGGTGGTATAAACAAATATCTTGTTTTAGTACCCAAGTAGTTGCTTCTTGCATTTTCAACGGTTTTGGTCTTTCTGTTTCCACTGTCATTCCTTCAGCTGCTATGTTTTCGTCCAGGTGCACTTCTTACATTACTTGACTTGCCTTTATCATGATGATTATTTTGGTGCTCTGGAGAACCTCCAACGCTTTTTTGATTACAGGTAACTGATAGCTTCATCCCTATCATTATGCTTGTCATGTAAAATTTTGATTGGCATTACCCCTGTGCCATAGGAGCTTGCAGTTAGTTTTCTTTTACTGCATGTTTAAAATTGGTAATTGATTTGCTTCTCGATGGTATTTTTTTTCTGTAAGGTAATGGTATGACTGGATGGTTGGTCACACTGAGAACCACCGGAGGTTCTTGGCTTGTTAAAAGGGAAACGTAGAAAAGGAAAATGACAAGGGATTAGAGGATAGAGTGGATGGGGAACATAAAAGTTTGATGAATGGTGGTATTATGGAGTCGGATATATTAGTACTTATAACTGGATACTAGTTAGTATACAGAAGTCAACACCTGGCTTATTGTTGAAGATGAACATTTACTTCATGCTGAACTCAATGGCAACTTCTCTTTGATAATCTTATATCTAAGCTTAGATATTTTTCTCCTGGCTTTGGTGGAAAAATTGAGTTTTCTGCTTGTGTCACAAAGTGTAGGAATTGGTGGATTTGATATCACACCTGTACCATCACAATCCAAAGGATTTGAGAGATACGAGACAGGACTGTTGTGTTTGGGAATGCTGCAGTTCCACTTTGGGCATCCAAAACAAGCTTTGGAGGTATGCATGGAAATAGTACTTGTCTGATTTGGCATTTATTTGTTCTGTTAATTTCTGCACAAAACTATAGAATTTGGCAGATACATGTGCCCAGCTGGCCAGTGGTTTTGGCTAGAGCTTTATGATTCACAGTTGTATAGTTGTATGACAAACTGACTTGGTGGTACAAGCAGTGGAGGCTTGCTTTTGTTTAAAGTATTATTTGTGTAATCCTAGTCCTCAACTGTTCTTAAATCCTGGAAACCCATATTCGGAAAAATAGTTATCGAAATTATTTGCGGCAAAATAGTATGTCTCAACCTGTTCTTAGTCCCTGTGGATTAAATGGTAATTTGATCTTGGGACTTACCTTGGTCAGTCAGTCGAACTAAGTCCATGTTTTTTTCTTTCTTGTATTTATGTTGCCCTCTTGTTTTTTTTACAGTAATTGTTCTGAATCACACATTTACTTTCAGGTTCTGACTGAAGCAGTCCGTGTTTCTCAACAGGTAAGATGCTTCTATTTTATTTTATGTTGAAACGAAATGGAAAATATCATGGCAGGGAAGTTTTGAATATGTCAATGAGCATATAACTACTAGGTTGATGGTGATTTGTTTTAGAACTGGTGGACAGCTTAATACACAATTACACAACGCCAGTTCTTCGAGTTTTTGCATTAAAGGACTGTTTAAAGCAACTCATCGTTATTGTCACAAAAGTTACTGGAATGCATGTATTTGAAAGAAGATGAATGCTTAGAGTACATGGAATTAATGTATTTTCAAATTCTAACTCTGTAGAAATTTGATCTATTGGTTCCCCCCACCCATTTTTATTAAACAACACCCCCACCTTCCCAAAAAAAGAAATCCAGAAAGTGGTAGTTTACCCAAAACATGAGTATCACCCAAAAGATTTCAAACCCGCTTTCAATCAGACTCTGCATCCTTCCAATCAGGTCATTATGTATGCTCATTACATTCTTTCATGTATTATTAAAGTGCATGCATTATTAGAATTTCAGGTTCCAGGTAAGCCCTCAACTCCTGCTGCTTGTTACCCTTCCACTGCATATTAAATATTTGTGCTGATGCTTGATAATCCTCTTCCTGTGCAGCAAAGTAATGATAGTTGTCTTGCATACACTTTGGCCACTATCTGTACCTTATCTTCTGAAATGGGTAGCTCCAGTACCAGTGGGCTACTTGGAACATCATATTCACATACAGCTACCATTGGCACATCATTGTATTTCAAGCAACAATTATTTGTTCTCTTGAGAGAGGCTCTTAAAAGAGCGGAAAGTTTGAGCTTGAAAAGGCTGATCGCTTCTAATCATCTGGCAATGGCCAAGTTTGACTTAATGGTAAGAATATTTAATCTCTCTTCCATGCCTTGGTCTCTTTTGTTGGACCTCATTTTCAGGCTAGGGTCATATGCATCTACTTCTCTGTACATTGTCAATTATCTTATTAGTTGTTTAATTAGTGCATTTATACAATTATGTGCAGAATGTTCAACGACCCCTACTATCATTTGGTCCCAAAGCATCCATAAAGCTTCGAACATGTCCAATCACGGTATGTAAGGTATGTGGTTGTAGTTACTGCTGTTTCACCAAATGAAAAGCATCCTGTTTCTATCGATCCTATATTTTCTTGTCTTGCAGGAATTGAGATCATGCTTGCATTTGGTTAGTGAATATGCCTCTGAAAGCCCTACAATGACAATTGAAGGTGCTTTTAGCACAGCATGGCTTAACAATTTAAGAAGTCCAATGGGTGCATCAGTGCTGTCCCTAGACAATGGAGTTGTGGAGAGTTCTAATGCCTTTCAGTTCTGTGCTCAACCAAGCTCAATTCCCAGATCTGTTTTGCAATTAGTAGGTTCTTCATACTTGGTTCGTGCGACAGCTTGGGAGATATATGGAAGGTGATTCTTTTCGAAGGATTTTGATAGAATTTGCTTTCTTTTTTCTACTGTCAGAGCCAAGTGCGGCTGGCCTCCCTTAACTATTGAAAGTCATGCTGCTCCTACCCCCCATTTTCTTTTTCTTAACTTCAGAGGCTCTGCCCTGTTGGCTTTAATCTAGCCTTACACAGTTTTACAAGAAAATACTATATGGTTTATATGTTCAGTTTTTTTTGTACATCCTGCTGTGAACTTTGAAGTCTTGGATTTATCTTGCTTGATCACTCTAAACTTGTATCTCTGTGAACAGTGCCACCCTTGCTCGAGTGAACTCGTTTGTTTTTGCAACATGTTATCTTGATGCTTCAAGGTAACTGTTATGGTAAAATTATATAGCCTCCTTAATTTATGCATTCATCTCATGGCTGTATTTTGATCCTTTGTTGAACTTGGTTTGCTGCAAAGTTCGTCAGATGCAGCATTGGTGCATGCAAAGCTGATCCAGCACTTAGCAACATTTCAAGGATATAAAGGTTGGAATTCTGGAATCTCTCATTTGCAGTGCTCTATTATTTGTAAGATCATTACCATTTAATCTCAATTCACGGAATTGTAACATGAATTTTCTTAATCCAGATGCTTTCTCTGCTCTCAAAGTAGCCGAGGAGAAGTTCTTATCCATCTCAAGGCCAGTAATTTTGCTTCTTAAACTGCAGCTGCTCCATGAACGTGCTTTGCATAGGTGATGCTACTGATAGGCTCTACCTTTTGTTCGTATTTATAAGCTTCGAGACTTGTTGTAAACTTCAAGCTGTTTAACTAACTGTACAGAGGAAATCTGAAGCTAGCATTACAACTGTGTAATGAGCTTGGAGTATTAGCATCACCTTTCAACGGTGTTGATAATCAGCTGAAAATTGAAGCAAGCATGCGCCATGCACGGACATTGCTTGCGGCCAAACAGTATAGACAGGTTAGCATGCTATGTTCAACAAAACTTCAAGTCAAATGGCAATCAAAATGATGTCCATCGACTCAGAATATATCCTCCCACCTTTATCTGTCCTGAAGCTGCTGAACTTGATTGGCTGTGAGCTCTAATGTTAAACATTAACATGATTCGTTGGTTGCATGTGCGTGAAAACTCGGATTGTTTGCTCCTCATTGTCTGAACCAAGACGGAATCATATGCCTATCCTGTACTGGTCTGTCTTATATGTTTGATGTAATTTCATGCAGGCATCAGAAGTTGCTCAGTCTCTCTTCTGCTTGTGCTACCAATTCAACATGCAGGTGGAGAATGCTAGTGTTCTTCTTCTGCTAGCGGAGATTCACAAGGTACAATCATAGTTCACCAAATGTATATTGACTAATGCGACTGGCTTGGAACCAAGTAAAGAGCGTGTGCTCCCCAAAAATGTTCCGCATTTGATTATAACATTTGCTTGCTGTTAAGTGCAAATTGCTGTGTTTTAGAAAAATGGCGGCCAGTTTATAAAACATCCTTCAAAAAGTCCATTTTGAGACATGACAATGATTTTTCAGTTGATCTCCCCAGCCATCTTATGAGCTCTGATTCGATGTGATTTGACATCAAGCCTTTACTTTTGTTGTTGGCAGAAATCAGGAAATGCTGTTTTAGGCCTTCCATATGCACTTGCAAGCCTCTCATTTTGTCAGTCATTTAACTTGGATCTCCTGGAAGCATCAGCCAAAGTAACATTGGCAGAGTTATGGCTATCACTGGGAACAAACCATGCAAAAAGGGCTTTAACTCTGCTACATGGAGCCTTTCCAATGGTCCTTGGTCATGGCGGCCTGGAGCTCCGTGCTAGGGCTCGCCTTATCGAAGCACAATGCTATTTATGTGACCCAAGCTATTCAGGTTTCCTCCCCTATCCCTCTTGGAGTTGTGACCTGATCTCTGTTTTTCACAAATTTGGCGGGAGAATTAGCGGACAAAGATTATGATTTATGAGTGTGTTTGAACTTAAAATGAGCTAAAACAACCCACCCTATTGCAAGTTGTTGATATGCTGTGAGTTTCCCTGATCTAAATAGCTCGCTAAATTACTCTTTCAGTGGTCGAGGACTCTGAGATCGTGCTGGATGCTCTGAAGCAGGCTTCCGATGAATTCGAAGTCTTGGAGGTAGGTGGTTTTCGTAGCACCAATCTATCAACGATTATTCGAATTTACTAGTTGGTCTATACGAGTCATGTTGTGGAGGTTTTATCCGTATCCAAAGAATCCTTGTCTGCGACGGATTAGGTTGTTCAAACTGTACATTCCTAATTTCAATTTTGACTAATGGCCACCATTTGTTTAAACACAGTACCCACGAAATGGCAGCGGAAGCTTTCTACTTGATGGCTCTGGTTTACGACAAGCTGGGACAGGCGGAGGAAAGAGAAGAAGCTTCAGTTTCATTCAAGAAACACATACTGGCTCTTGAGAATCCTCGGGAGCAGGAGGAAGAAGATGAACATGTATCGGAAATGCTGCGTAGAGTAGAGAACAACCAACTGTTGAAGCTCTCGACTGCTTCGGAGTTTAGATTAGATCTCCATGAATGTGGTGCACTACTAAAACGACCCATGTAAGTACCAACTTTTCAACCATCTATTTTTCTTTCTGGTTACGAATTCTCACCATCAATCTAATTACACATTTGGTAAGAGACTAAGAGATCAACAACTGCTCTGAAACAAAGACAGCAGAGATGGTAACTACAACAACACGAGGAGAAGAAAAATACGAAACAAAAGAATTTCCAGAAAATCTAGTTGGTCTTCAAGAAAGCATCAACCCTGGTGTTCACTCCCCCCTTCAAGAACTTCATACAGATCGGCGGCTTCACACCGACCAACGCCAGTATCGAGCTCGGCAGCGTCCATATCCCATCCCCACAGATCAACCCCGACGCAACAGCCGGCCCGAACGCATCCGCCTTCGCCTTGTCAACCTTCCCCCACACGAACAAGATCAAGCTCCCCACACACATGTCGATGGCGAAGTACCCGCCGAGGTAGAACGGTATCGCCATCGCCATGGGCAGCGGTATGAACTTGGCCCACCTCGGCCCGACCAAGTCCCTAACTCCATTGACGAGAATTGCAGCAGAGAAGAAGATGCAGCAGAGCATCAGGCAGTTCTTCGGCAGAGCAGAGAAGCCTTCCACCCCAAGCAACGACATGTTGCGGTAGACCAAAGCGTATGGGGCCGGGTACTCGGACCCGGGCTGGCCCAAATCGTCGAAGGCCTTGTAGAACAGCCAGAAGACGCATGGGCCGATCACGCAGCCCATCGCGGTCCCGATCACCTGGCTGATGAACATGGAGCGAGGAGAGGCGAGAGTCATGTAGCCGGTCTTGAAGTCCTGCATCAGGTCAGAAGCTGTGGAGACGATGTTCATCATGACGCCGCAGGCGGCCAGACCGGCGAGGACGCCGCCGTGGGACGCGCCGACCCACGCGCCGATGGTGAAGATGGCGAGCTTGCCGTAGGTGGAGGCTAGAGACCAGTCGGTCAGCCCGGTGCCGTACGCGTTGCAGAATGCGAGGACCGGGGCGATGATGTAGATGACGACGATGTGGTACCAATGGAGCTGGTGGAAGATGTGGGGGACGAGGACGGCGGAGACTACGGCGATGGAGATGTAGCCGCCGGCTGCGATCCAGGTTGGGATTTGGTCCTTGAGGAAGAGCTCGGTGCGTCTCTGTTCGTCGTAGGTGAGTGGTGGGGGAAGGGTGGTCGGGGATGTAGAGTTGGCGCCGCCGCCGCCGCCGGCGACTGGGAGGACGGTGGTGATGGATGGGTCTTTGCGAGAGAACTGGTTGTATAAGCCTTGTATGGTTCGGCCGAAGACTTTGATGAAGTTGTAGACGCCGTCGCCGAGGATCATGGCTATGGCGATGAATATCTGAGGGGGAAAGAGTGAAAAATTTTCGGGTTAGATGGGATTATGTTATAGGATGAACATTCAATTGAGGATTATTAGTTACCTTGTAACCTTGGAGGCCGGAAAGACTGCTTGGTGGGAGGTCAGCAGGGTACCAGTTACCTCTCTGGTTGTTAATCATAGGCCACATGAGACCCCAGGACACAACTGCTCCAAGCAGCAGAGATATGTTGACTAGGTATGGACAGATCATTCCCACACCAACGTAAGTTGCAGAGAAATCGAAGAAGAATCTGCATTTGCAGTGATGATGATGATGATCACGAACCCGAGATTGAAACGACGCGAAAGGACACACTTGGGAAAGAGGGAAGAGGTGGGTTCTTACTTGTGTTCATAGGCCTGGAGACCGAAAGTAGGGAAATTCACGAATCCACAGCCATCCCCTGCAGTGAAGAACCACTGGAAGAAGCCCCACAGGAAGCTGAAGGAGAAGAATTTCCCCAGTGCTCTCACTTGCTTCCTGCATTGGGAGGACATGTGCTAGTTAGTGAGACTGAGACCCGACTGCTCGTTAGATCGAAAATAAGATAAGCAAGAACAGGGAGGAAAAAGAGTGTAGAAGGTCCTCACTTGGCTAGCTTAGCACCCTGAGGAGTATGGAAACTATTGATAAGATGAGCAGTTGCAGTGCCACTTGGATATGTCAACTTGAAGTCTACCACCATAATCTGAATCATTAACGCCAACTTTAAGTTAAATTAAGAACCCAAGTACTGTTCTACTGTATGTCTGTAACCCTGGCCTTTCCAAGTAGAGAAGCATGATGGATCTGTCAAGAGAATGGCAAGAACGCAACATATACAGACTACAGTGCCTTCTGTTAAGATTGTATAGCTAATGATAGCATATAGACCAAAATCGAGTAGATTTCCAGATCATCTCACGATTGCTTTGTTAGAGCTACTTCGGATTCGGAATCAATTTTATAGGCTTATGTGATGAGGACAATAGAGCGTATCTCGTCAGAATTCAACTTTGAAAGAGACTTGAAACCGAAGCACCATATTTGAGCAATGGAAAGGTACCTTTCTGAGAGGAACCACAGAGAAGAGGCCAAGAAAGCTGACTACAAAAAGGAACGCAATCATCCATCCCAGTGATGGGTCCTTGATATTCTGCGCACTGTTTGCTTCTTTGGATTGCTTGGCAACTATGTCACTCATCCCAAATAGATAACTTCCAAAACCACCTGCATCAGCCATAACAGAACTCTCAAGAACACAAAATCGAACCCCCCAACTGACAGTGACAACAGTAATCAGAACCAAATCAGAGTTCCACCAAAATTTCGCCTCTCATTTCCAGAAACTCATTTGACTTCAACAAGCAACATCGATTTCCTAGCAGGTTTCTTCACTAGAGATTCAATTTCATTATCAATTCACCACTACTTCCCCGCCGGTTGATGCTACCGCCTGACCAGAACAATTTTCAAGAACACAAAATCGAACCCCCCTAACAGTAATCAGAACCACATCAGAGTCTCACCAAAAAATTTCGCCTCTAGTTTCCACAAAGCTCAGTTGACTTCAACCAAGCCACATCGATTTCCTAACAGGAGAAACAACTAGAGGAGGTTTCCTCACTAGAGATTCGAATTCATTATCCATTCACCAATCACCATTACTTCGCTGCGGTTGATGCTACTGCCTGACCAGAACAATTTTCCGGCAAATGTTGCAATCTTACCGAACGAAAACTGAACTCAATTGCAGCAAACGAAAAGCAGATTCGAGAAAATGACACAAAGAGGACCCCTAATTTTGCTCCAACAACCAATTCAATCGCCATTTTCACTTCCGGAGAAAGCAATTAACTCAAAACAGGGAAAAAACGAAGGGAGGAGCGGTTACCGCTGAACGCGATTCCGGAAGTCGCGACGACGCAGGTCTGAATGACGGTGTTCTCCTGGCGAGTGAACGGCTGCTTGAGCATGCCGGCCTTCTGGATCAGCTTGGTCCAGGTCTTGACGAAGAAGAACCCGAGCAATCCGGCGGAGACGTTGAGCGACGGGATGATTCCGGTGGTGAGGTTGAGCTTCATGACTATGAAGGTGAAGAGAACCCCTAGGATGAAGCTGACGACGAACGCCCTGACCGTGAGCTGCTTCTGCCACGGCGGCACCTCCTTCGCCTCGAAGATCTTCTCCACCGAATCCAGCTCCAGTTCCATGGAAGACGACATCGTCTTGCCGAACTTGTTCCGCCTCATCCTCGTCTTCTCCTCCACTTCGTCGGCGTAGTAGCTTTCCTCTTCCCCGTCGCCGAAGTTTCTCTCGGTCGCCATTTTTGGGAGTGGGAGAGCAAATTGCCGGAGCCTGTGCTTTTTATATCGCCGGTTCCCCCTTCTTCTAATGTGAATTGGGGTAGGGGCATTTACGGTAAAGACGCAGAAGTGTGGAGGATTCGGATGGAGAGGGTGATAAAAAGGGGGTGAGATTCGTAATTTTCCATGGATTTTGGTGCGGGAAAATGGATAAATAGAGCAATTAATTAATGAATTATTGGCGGCCTCGAGATGCGGGCCCAAGGCCCGATTTCTACGGGTCAACCGTCAATCCTTGTTTTTAAAATTACGAAAATAGACAGGGCACTGGCTAGAGTGTGGACAGTGTAAATTTGTCTCCAGAAAGCCAGCCAGCCTTTTCCGCTTTGATTGACTTGTGAAGTGGCATTTTGGATAATTTGCCCTTTTTGCTTTTTGCTTTTTGCCAGCCATTACTATTGACTAAAATTTTGATGGGCTCGTAGCACGTGTAATTGCATGTGTCCAATGCAAATCCGGGCCGGTTACGTTAATGGTCAACTTTGATGAATTAAATTGCGTTTAAAGTTTGAAATAATAATTAATATAATTGCTTTTACGTCAATCTCGATCAAATATTTGTTGAAACCATCCAAATTAAAAGTGGATTGACAAAAACGAGTTATAAGAAGATTGCATAGGGCCTGATTAGCTAAAGTCACGCTCACGTAGTGCTTCCTCCACTCTTTGATAGCTTATTCGAGATACGTATACGTGTCATTTTTTCTTACTATTGATTTAGTGAAGTTTGTTTAGTATTGAAGATAATTTAAATGAAAAAATAACTTGATCGACGATCACGAAAAGAATTAATATCGTTGTATTAGCTATTCTAGATTTAAGTAGCAAGATTATTAAATAAATTAAAAGTTTGGTGAGCACTTTGTTTAGTGGCTGCGAAGTTGAGTGACGTTATTTGAGATTGATGCGTGCAAAAAAAATACTATAGATTGCTAGGCACGGCTGCTTTGCTGTATGGAATATGGACTAGTGGGGTGGTTTGAAAATTGAAATCGGGAGATTTTATTATTAATAATGGATTAATTGGGAGTTTTTACATATATATAATCCATTTTTATTGGGCAGTTGGGTTGTTGGAATCGATATTACAGATCTGCATAAGATCGTGACCTCACTTCAACTCAATCATTCATGCTAGCTAGTTTGAGATTCTACATTTTATATATGAAATCGAATTGTAATATAACATTACAACTACATCGACTTTATCCTATCTTCGATTACAATATTAATTTTTTTCGAGCCACTAATTCTGCTGCTATTTTCCTTTTCAACTATTTTTGTTTTTTGTTTTTTCCATGGGGTATCATCGTCACATCATAACCTTTGAACCTTACTACTCCTCTTCCGTGTATTTTAATTCCTTAGGTTAATAAACTATTAAAAGATTCCTGCTATAATACTTGAACAAGCTAATGATTCTTGCTTTGTTTCGACTTCAAAATCCCGATTCTGAAGGTGGAAGGAATCAAATACCGAACAAGATTACGGCTGGTCAAGAACCCACTGCAAGCCTCAATTTTCAAATTTTCATACACTTCAAAGAAAATGGGTTAAGTTCTTATATATTTTCCTACACAGGGGAGATTTTTATAGTTTCTCACCGAACTACATAACAGCATAATCGTGTCTATTACTTAAGGAAAATTAAAATAAATTAGAAATTTATTATTGGTTTTGAAAATTAGAGTCTTAATCTCATGATTTTCATTAATATATATGAGGATTTCAACTCTTATGATTGTTTAAAATAGAGTATGACGAATTTATGTTTAGTAACTGTCATTTTAGTGATGGTAATGAGGCAGGACGGAATCAGTGGCGGAGGGAGAGTGTAGCGGGGTGGGTCCCATTCGGAAGGAAAATGGTTAAATTAGGTACAATTTTTTATATCGAAAATTGGTGTATATTTTACTGAGAATAGTTGATCGGAATGTTTTGATGTTTGAATTTTGACGACCTCATTTCTTAAGCGCACTGTATTTAGATTTGTGCAAACTTCAATTTTTCGTTTAAGCTGACTTTCTTATGAGAGAGCATGATAGTAAATGATATAAAGTATGCTAAACGAATCCTTAACAAAGAACATTTGAAAGCTAATGACTAACTAAACCATAAATTATTGACAAAGAACACCTTTCGAAACAAAACGACTAATTAAATCATTAATAATTGTTTGGTACATATATTGATATTCTTGATGTTTTTGACTGCTAGTGTATTACAATTTATCATAATATTCAACCACCTTAGATGAAATCCTGGCTACGTCACTGGGTGGGGTGAGTACCTCAATATCGATACCCGCCTCGTACCAAGCGCGAGTTAGGTTGCATAATACCCGCGTATATATGGGTCAGGGCAATTCGACCCGTTCTTATATGTATTGAAACAAATATTTATTTTTAACCATAAAAATGAAGGGAAATTAGTTAATAAATGGAAAATAGATATAATAGGTAGACTAACTTAGTGAAATTAGTTGAAAAATGATGTGTTGCACTTCTCTAAACTATCATTGGGTGAAAATATGTTTTAGATTCGTAAAAATAGGAGAAATATAGTTAAATATTGAGACAAATCTAGTAAGAATGGGTCAAGAATAGGTCTGGTCAGAGCGGGGCGGAGCGAAAGTAGTACCATGCTCCACCCCTTGGGTCTTGTATTACCCTCCCCATCACGGGTCAGGTCGGGTAGGGGTGGGCATTCGGTTGGTTCGGTTCAAACCGAACCGAAATTATGCATACCGGGTCCCCGAATTCTATCAAACCTCAAACCAAATTCAAACCAAATTATAATTCGGTTCAGTCGGTTCAAACTGAATTATAATTCGGTTCAGTTTGGTTTTCATACAAAACCGAAATAGTGAGGTTAGCTTGTATCTTCTCTTTTTTAAATTATTTTTCGCCCATAATGTAAACAATAAATATGCATCATCAATGATAAAATCAAACATTTCAACACATAAGTCATAAAACACTAACATGATTCAAATATTTAAGTCTCATAATAAGCAGAAACATAAAAATCCACCATTTAGAGCTTGCAATTATAACAATTCGGTTTTTCGGTTCGGAATTCGGAAATTCGGTTCGGTCAAAAGGACCCTGATTTCCGAAATATGCCCTTTTCTCCGAATTCCGAACCGAATAACATTAATTCGGTTTCGGTTCGATTTATATTCGGTTTGGTTCTGTTTTACCGAACCGGATGCCCACCTGGACGGGTTCAAATTGTCATCACTATAGTAGATGAGTTCCATAAAAAAAAATTATTTGTTATTTTCTCATTTTTATATTTAATATATTTAATTTATCATTTTTATAAGGCAAATCATTCAACTTTTGTTTACTTTGATTATAAATAATATACTATCATTTCAAACAATATACTACCATTAAGATTTCTGATTCATAACTTATGAAAATTTTCAAGCTAAACATATTTTAATTTTTCAAATTTTATTCCTCTTGAAACAATTACGTTTTTTTTTTAATTTGTTTTCGATTACCACAAGAAAGCAAGTGAAGTAAGAGGGAATATTCAACTATTCAAACTTGGTCCACGCCAAAAAAAAAGTTAAAAAATAAATGTAAAAAAACCCATAGGAAAAGAAAGCTGGCCTGGCTCACTGAAATCAGTTGGGCCTGACTGAATCGGACTTGGAATTTTCGTGAAGGTGCATGTCGTACGCAGCTTCATAGAAAGCCCAAAACAGAATTGCACACGTACTTAGTAACAAAACAAGCTTTTTATTTATGGAAAATTCGATTACATACATATACTACAAAATTTGATTTCATTCGTTCTTATTAAAAAAAAAAAACTCCAAGAAGAGATCCTAAAATCCCACGATGAATCAATGCTAATGACATGTGCTCCATGTGTTATGAATGCTGAAACCCCACTGTTAGTAACTTCAGAGCAGCGAACACCGTTATATTACTTACCATTCAATTGCTACACTTAAGTAAATTCTCGTTAGTGTATACCAATTAATACATCACGATCCCTTATAAATTATAAGTACTTAACTCCTCTATTTCGATCTCTCTACCCACTCAACCTTTGATTTTACACATACGATTATCCGAATTCGATTCCTCCGCGCTCCTCTCAAATTGATCGATCGAGAATATATATACCATGAAGTGCAGCAGCCTAGCAACTCTCAACACTATTGTGTTCTTCCTAATTTCATTACAGAGCATTATTACTACTACTTGTTACGGCCGTGGTACCACCGGTGCACCAATGCTAATTATTGACGATAAAAGTAACATTTTCGACGTCACAAGCTATGGCGCTGTTGGAGATGGCAAAACGGAAGCATCTCAGGTACCATTCGATAAAATTGTAACGATACAGATCGAGGATACCATGTTTTTTTTTTGTCTTTGTGACCGGGATATTTTGAAACCTATTGCGACGGAATCGTTCCGTCGCTAAAGGAGAAGTGATTAATTCATTCTCGTTTTGATTTTCGTTTTATGTTATATATTTCCTTGTTGTGACAAAGGGTTTCTTGAAAGCATGGGGCGACGTTTGTGGCAAGGAGAATGCGATTCCGACGCTATTAATACCAGCTAATCAGAAGTTCCTCTTGAACCCTATTGTATTCAACGGTCGCAATTGCAAGTCGAATGCCATTCATGTCCAGGTAATTAATCATCGGAAAATTCTTAGCTCCAACCTTGATGATCTATTTTTCTTCCAAACCCTCAGTACGACCAGCTGCGGCGGCAAAGGGAAGGAATTATTGTATTGTTGTTGATATGAAGTTGCAAGGTACGATTCTGGCGGCGGACAACGTGGAAGCATGGGGTGATAAAAGGGGAGGGAACTGGCTTCGCTTCTCGGATGTCTTCGGTTTGATCATCGACGGCGGCGGCAGGATTGACGGGCGCGGCGAGATCTGGTGGCGGCTTTTCAGAGTAAGCGATTAATATATATAATATTTGAAATAGAAAAGTGTTAACCAGCGTTAACTTACTCTAACGACTCGAGTTGTTCGAAAATGACCAATAGTTGCTGGTTTCAGTTTGTATAGGTTGAACACTTCATTCCTTATGCTAAACCATTAGCGTTTTAGTTTGTACATGTTGAACATATCATCCCTTGTACCAAACCAATGTTCATTATATTGGTGGCCGTCCTATTAGACATGACAATGGGTAGACTTATTGAATAACTTGAGCTTGTTATTATGTCTCATATCATATGTGTATTGGGTCAGACTCAAATGTACACATATGAACTTTAATAGTTTTGGATCTGAATTGAGTCTTATTTGGATTAATTCATGTGGATTAGACCCACATGGGTGTAATTGGGTCCAAATGATTGTATACATACAAAATAATATAAACCATTTCATTAACTACTTTCAACCCAATTATACACCTTTAATGTACGCGTTTCCACCTTTCTATTTGTTACATAACAAAAGCTGAGGAAGAAAATCTCTTATAATTGGGTACCCATGTCCTTTTTCGAATGCTATGAACTCAATTTAGACCCAAACTAAAAAGTTGGATATGGATATGTCTCAAAAAGTGAAATTACTCAAACTTGATTTTATCCGTAATAAATTGAGTTTGGGCAACCCAAATATCAAGTCATTTTTGCCATCCCTAGTACTCGTGCATAAGGATAAAAGGCCATGACCTCTCAATTGAAAACCCTAATACTATATTAGCAAACAAATCATTTATTGTCAATAACTCGAGTTGTTGGAAAGAGTTTGTTAAGGTTTTTTTTTTTTTTACCTCTCTTACAAACAGTACAGTACATTAGCTTATAAAGAATCTGAACTTGATTGCATTGCAGGAGAACGATAAATTCGAGCGACCCAGAGTAAGGATACTGATCAACTCTCTAAGCTCTCTTCCATCTCTCTTAATACCACTTTTTTTTCTTTCTTCTCTCTCTTTCATTTTAATTTGATTCGTCCGTGCATGCATGCAGGCGCTGTCGTTCCACAACTGCAGCAACCTGCAGCTCAGCGGAGTGCACCACGTGAACAGCCAGAAGAACCACATCAGCTTGAACGGCTGCAACAATGTCCAGCTCTCCCATCTCACCATCACCGCACCGGAGGACAGCCCCAACACCGACGGCGTCGACGTCTCTTACTCCACCAACGTCCAAATCCGCAGCTCTTTCATCGCAACAGGTTCTTTGTTCACTCATTCCAACTCATAAATCTCTGGTACCACACACCGGCCTGATCGGTACCATGGCAAGAGCCAGTTGATCTCAATAACTCGAGTTGTTTAGAGAGGTTCAATAATAGATCTTATACCACTTTTCTAACATGAATTTGGTCTGATCAGGCGACGACTGCATCGCGATCAATGGGTTCTCGTCGTTCGTCAACATCTCCGAGATCACATGCGGACCTGGACACGGGATCAGCGTCGGGAGTCTGGGCAAAGGTGGGGCTTACGAGACCGTCGAGGAGGTCCACGTCAGAAACTGCACTTTCTACCGGACCCGGAACGGTGCTCGAATCAAGACCTGGAAGGTGCGTTGTATAAAGAAGTGGTTAAGATTCTTACATGTACTTTTTTTTCCCAACAATTTCAACATGCCGTGAACTAGTTGATCCCAACAACTCGAGTTGTAGGAACTAGGAAGATGTTCAATTATGGATTGTGTTCATGTACCTATTCACTAACACACATCTACAAACGAAAAGCCAGCTCATATGGGCTTGGAGCTTGCAGATACCATGTGCTTTAACAGAACATTTGGGGTCATCGAAATTCGAATAGAACACATCTCAGTCACAAAAAGTTCTGATACCGTGTCAATAGAACAAGTTGATCCCAATAGCTCGAGTTGTTGAGAGAGGGTAAATTACGTGTTCAAATCCTTACGAATCCCAAATATTAATGGTTGTCTAAAAGTACATGTTACGGTGAGACCGTGCAAACTTCACATCCATGATTTGGATTTCGTTTAGAAGGGCATGTAGTAGAGAAATAGTTAAGTTTCATACATGAACTTCTCTCTCGTTAACTCAAAGCTATTCAACTAGTTGGCTTATGACTAGCTGCAAATTAAGTGCAAAACTATACAATGGTGTTCATGACGTTTTGCTGCCATGGCAGGGTGGAAGGGGCTATGCGAGGAAGATAAGCTACGAAGACATCATACTGGTCGACACCAGGAACCCAATCATAATCACCCACGAGTACATGAACCATCACGTACTTCGTGCAGATCCCACGGCGCCGCCGCCGCCGCCGTCATCATCCGACGTGGAAATCAGGGACGTTTGGTTCCGACGAGTGAACGGGACTTCATCTGTTCGGAGGGCGATCTACTTGGACTGCGGTGGCGCTGCAGGGTGTACGGGGGTTCACCTTGAGGACGTCCACATTGTATCCTCTCCTACCGCGATTCCTCCGGTGGGAGCAGTGTTTGCAGAGTGCAATAACGCCCATGGAGATTCGGTTTCCACCACCCCGCCCGTCGGCTGCCTGTTACCTTGAATCTTGATTCAAATCGAGTTAATTGGTGGTTAAATTAGTCATACTGTAGAATGTGAGTGCTGAGTTTGGTAGGGTTTTGAAGTTCAGTGGCTATTTTGTAACAACAAGCAAAGTTTAGGGATCATTTCGGATATTAATGGAGGAAAAGGTCACAGACAGTCACTCTATAGTCTATATGCTGGTGGGGTGACAATTTCTAATTCAATCCATCAATTCATCATCCAGTTAAAATGTCCAATTAATCCAATTCATTTGTTCTAAATTCAATTGGATTGGTGGATTCATGGATTGAATTCTTGGATCTTTGTCAAATTACACTTTAATACCTATATTTTTATATGAAAAATGTTATTGGAAAATTACATTTTGCTACCTAAAATTTTTTATTGAAAAATTACGTTCTGCCGCATCGGGATTGACTATGGCCTCGGGTGGCGAAGGTCGTTGGAGCAGTAGATTCATAAATTAATCACTAATTCATCTATTTGACTATCCATTCCCGATCCGACCCGTTGATATTACCACTAGGCCAAGCCCATCCTCAATTTTAGAGGATTGTAATAAGTTATCACAAAGGGTTCAAGCTTGCGGGTCATTGCTTATTGCGGGCTTTCTTGATGAACTTGAGAAGATGTACCATCACTCGTGCGGTGTCATGAGCATCTGGAGACAAGTAGAATTGCTCTCAATAGATTATCAGCAATGCATACCTCTTCGATCCACTCGTTTAAGAGCTTCTGAGTCGAGCAGGAAGGGTTCGATTCAACATATCTATAGAGGAGGAATTTTACAATGTTATATAACATTGGTGCTATAGGTTTTTGCTTTTATGGTACAACTTTAGATTGTACCTATACTTTTTGTACAAATTCTTTTATGGTACGACTTGAACTTGTACTTTTATGCGATGGTACAACTTGAAGTTGTAAAGTTGTATCATACCATAATGGTATAAATTCCTTTATGATACAACCTAAACTTATACATTTAATATTATAGTACAACTTCAAGTTGTACATTAAAACACTAATACTATATAGCATAATAGAAATGCTCATGAGAAGCTAATTTTTTAGCTTACTACTTAGCTCATTATAAGGTTCACCCTGTTCTACCCTTGTACTTTTTCTATTTGCAGTTCAGATGATATTGCACATTGACTTTTGTAGATTCTATTGATGACTTTGTCATTCATTCTATTCATTAATTTGAGGTAATGGAGCGACGCACACTTGTTCATAAGAAAGGGTTTCCATGGCCTACCCTAAGAGGCCTTTTGTAAAGGACGCGATCGATCATATCGATTATTAGAAAGGACAAAGAGCTTTTAGGCGATGTATTTATTTATTTGCTGAAAATAATTTAAGGATCTACGTCTATCTACACAATAAATAAAAGTCAAATGAGAAAACTTAAATTCATATTTCAAATTTTCTGCATCCAGAGTGAAAGTAGAAAGGGTAGATTCATCTTCACAATCATTTATTATTTTCTTACTTACAAAAAAAAAATACACCAGTAATGAGATTTGAACAGTGGTCTCTTCGAACAAAGATAAGAAACATAACCCGTTACAATAAACACATTTGTTTGATCTTTTTCAATTAAAAACACGCAGGAAGATTAAATTTGAAAAACCCTAGGACTTTTCCATCACGGTTAGCAAGCGAAATATCATTGTTTCAAATATTGCATATCAAATCACACTCTTGAATGTGTAGAAGCGATGTAGAATTCTTAACATGGACTTAATTGTTATAACTATCATAAAGTAACAATATTTTTAAACACAAAACTTTTGAGTGAATATGGGGCACATGTGTCTTTAAGAGATGGGTAAATATGGAAAGGTTGAGTGATGTTGGTTTGCCGAAAGCGGATGGAAAGGACTCTACTTATGTAAACGGGCACAAGTAGTGCCCCGACCCACTAAACGCTCAACCATCGTCGTCTTTCTAAACTTCTCATCTTACTCAACAACTGGCTAACATCCTCTACCTCTGTTGTTATGCCAGAGCAATTTTAGAGGGATAAATATCGAAAGATTGAGTGTTGTAGGTTTCTCCAACGCGTATGAAAAATGCGCTACTAATGTAAACGAGCCCAAATGGTGTCTGACCGACTAAACGCTCAACCACCTGGGTTACTTCTGATACACCTAATATAATAGTGAAATGAGAAATGTGTTTCCCCCATTACAAAATCCTTGCATCCAATGAAAAAGTAGGAAGGGTAGATTCGTCTTCACTATCATTTATTATTTTCTTATTTACAGGAAAAATACATTAAGTGATGGGATTTGAATTGTGATCTCTTTGAGAAAAGACAAGAAACATAACCAGTTACACTAAACAAAAAAATTTACACTTTTTAAATGAAAAACATACAGGAAGCTTAAATCTGAAAAATCATAGGAATTTATCATCACAGTTAGCTAAGCCACTAACTCTCCCCTAAATATTTTTTAGTATTTGATACTTCTTTTTGCATACTTTGATTATTTTAATTCTAGTTTAATAATTAATTCTATTTCTATTTATCTTATAAAAGGAGAATAATTCGCAAGCCTAATGTCATTGGTGCAAATATTACACATTGAATTGTAGTACTGAATGTGTAGAAGCGATGCAGAATTCTTGACATAGACTTAAATAATATAACTACCATAAAGAAACAATATTTTTGAACATAGAAGTTTTTAGTGAATATGGGGCACATGTGTCTTTAAGAGGGGTAAATATGGAAAGGTTGAGTGATGTTGGTTTGCCGAACGCTGATGGAAAAGATACTACTGATGTAAACGGGCACAAGTAGTGCCTCGACCCACTTAACGCTCAACCATCGCCGTCTCTCTAAACTTCCCATCAGACTCAACAACCGGCTAACCTCCTCTACCTCTATTGTTACGCCAGAGCAATTTTTGGAGGGGTAAAGAGTTGTTGGTTTGCCCAACGTGGATGGAAAAGGCGCTACTAACGTAAATAGGCCCAAATTGTGTTTGACCGACTAAACGCTCAACCGCCCGGGTTACTTTCGCTGCACTTAATATAATAGTAAAATGGGAAAGGTGCCTCCCCTATTACAAAATCCTTGCATCCATAGCAAAAGTAGGAAGTGTAGATTCGTCTTCATTGTAATTTATTATTTTCTTATTTACAGAAAAATACTTAAGTGATGGAATTTGAATTGTTATCTCTTTGAGAAAAGACAAGAAATATAACCAATTAAAGTAAACAAATTTGTTTAAACTTTTTAAATTAAAAACATACAGGAATTTTAAATCTGAAAAATCATAGGAATTTTTCATCACATTTAGCTAAGCTACTAACTCTCCCCTAAATATTTGTTGGGTATTTGATACTTCTATTTTCGTACTTTAATTATTTTAATTTGAGTTTAATAATGAATTCTATTTCTATTTATCTTATAAAAGGATAATAATTTTAAAATCGCAAGCCTAATATCATTGGTGCAAATATTACACATCGAATTGCAATATTGAATGTGTAGAAGCGATGCAGAGTTCTTGACATAGACTTAAGTAATATAACTAACGTAAAGCAACAATATTTTTGAACATAGAAGTTTTGAGTGAATATGGGGCACATGTGTCTTTAAGAGGGGTAAATATGGAAAGGTTGAGTGATGTTGGTTTGTTGAATGCAGATTGAAAAGACGCAACTAATGTAAACGAGTCTAAATAGTGTCCCGACCTACTAAACGCTCAACCATTGTTGTCTCTCCAAACCTTCCCACTGGACTCGACAACCACCTAACCTCCTCCACCTATATTGTTATTTGTTACGCAAAGCAATTTTTAGAGGGGTAAATATGAAAAGGTTGAGTGTTCTTGCTTGGAGAGCTGACTAGTGGGTTATGTAGGTTCTTTGACAGTAACGGGTGATATCTTAACATCAGTTCATTTGGTTGATCTTCTAGGTTGAATTTTGAGTTGATTAAAGGTAAACAATGTCTCGGCTCCCAACCTATTAAATGCTCAACCGTCGCCGTCTCTCTAAACCTTCCCACCAGACTCGATAACCGCATACCTCCTCCACCTATATTGTTACGCAAAGCAATTTTCAGAGGGGTAAATTTGGAAAGGTTGAGTGTTCTTGCTTAAAGAGATGACTGATGGGTTATTTAGTTTATTTGACAGTAATGTTTGATCTCTTAACATCAGTTCATTTGGTTGATCTTCTAGGTTGACTTTTGAGTTGATTAAAGATAAATAATTATACTTTTTGTTGCTTGGCTACTTTCCAATAAACAAAGACTATTCTTATTAGTGTTAACATAGAGAATAGCTTCAACGATACCACTTTTACCCAAAATTTATATGGAAGAGCAGAGATTAGTGCCGAATTGAACTATTCAAGCTGTAATGTTGATCTTCAACATATAAAACATGGTTTCTTTTGAGTGAAATAACCTCATCATTGCATATAAGTTTTTACAATATGATGTTTTGTGATAGTGGTCACTTGCTTCCAGATTTAAAAGTGGGGTTCTAATTACTACAATATAAAAAGTACGAGTGATAGCGATAATTGGAGCAGATACAAGATGGTTTGATATCCTTCTCTCTACAAGGAATAAATGCATGGTGAGCATATGTTGTCATGGGAAGGAAAAACCGAATTCTACGTATTTGTAGTATAGCATATTGATATATACGCGTGTCTAGACCCAATCGATTGGACATCTCCACCTGAAATTTATTGACGGGATTTTTGCTCATCAAAACGTGTGCCAAGTAAGCTCCCTCCTTAATCCTTATAGGAAACATGTACGAAATTGTAATTTGGGTGCTTCATTAGTGTTGTTTCCATAAGGTTGTATTATCTACGGTGGTTGTTCTAGAATTGTGAATCGTGATTGTATCTCCTCTAAGAAATTGTGAAGTTAAGCTATAAAAGAGGCTAACCTAAGCTTCCTCTTTAATTTAGATGGTAAGAGAGCAATGACCCACGTCAAATCGATTGGGGGTTGACAATGCCTAAGAAACGGTTTAGCCTTCTTCAGAGTATCACAAGATCCTGATAGTATCTCAACCAAAGCAATTTTTGTTTTCTTGTCTGATGTTATTACAAGTTGTTTACCTAGAGGAGATCCCCAGCAAGTTAGCTTTTGGAGTTTCAAAGAGAAAATGGGTAAGGCATAAATGGTTTATACAAAAGGCCATACTATGATCATATAGAATGCGTTGATAGAGATAGTCATCCATCACATTTTATTGTCTTAGTTGCATGTATTTATGTTAAGGGTCAAATATAACTATGTGTTGACTGTTATGTTTTATTCATTATATAAATTGCGAATTGATGCATTAACCGAAAAATTTTCTCACGTAATGATAATGTGATTTTATATTGGTTAATCTGGTTAACCAATTAACCAAACCGATTAAACTTTAGTTTGGTTAATTTGGTTGTTGTATTAGTTTGGACGGTTTGGTTATGATATTGTATTCCATGGTTAATGAAATTTACCTTATTTGGTTTTGTAACAACCATGGTAACCATTTAACACCCTTAGTCATTATGCTTATGTTTTGTCTCACGGTAGTGTATATTGAATTATTGATCTTTTTCACCCTGGAGAATGTCTACATTTGTCGTTAAGTGAGAAGACATATCCACACTGCGGGTGTCTCCCTTGATACTTAAAAGCAAACGAACTTTCTTATTCGAACATTCTTCATTTCAAATGACACGGCTGCATCAAGTAGTCATACTAGCAACTAGGGCTGGCTATTTGGTCCTGGCTTTTTGGTTTTAACAGAAACCGGACCGTATAATCCGGACCGAGATCGGACCGGGACCGGATAGCAAACAATCCAATCTCATATTCGGGCTTAGATTTGAGGTAAAAAACCATTCGAGATTGGACCAAAACCGGATAAGAGAGCCCAACACTCAAAACTCCACTAAAATCAAGACCGAATTGGGACCGGACCCGGTCAAACCGGACTGGATCAAGACCTGAATGTATCCAATCCAATCTTTGATCCTTATATTCCCGAAAAGACCGGACTGAGACAGAATCAATTCGAGCCAATTTAACCGGACCGAACCTTATAACCACCCTGACAACCAATGCTTCTCCTCCCCGTTAATGGCATTGTTGTAAAGAGACGTGTTGTTGTCTGTATTTGCCGTCAAATTAGGAGGTGAAGACCTCTAATATTTCTCGAAATTGCAATACATTAAATGATTACTTAACTTATAAAGATAATTCAGTTAATAATTTAAACCTTTCATGTTTTCAATATTAGTAATCCTTATCTTTGTTACTGGACTATTGTATCCCGCGAAAACCATATGCCATCGTCGGTGCCGAATTCGTTTCTGGCGGTGTTGATTTGATTGTTTCGTGGTGGAAAGAAGATCCTAAAGTATTGTTTCACATAATTGGAATATTGGATCCAATTGTTAAAATCCATTAGTTGGGTGCTCTTACTTTAATATGCATTCTTAGGAGGGACGTATTTGTATAATCGCTTCCCTCCACATCTATATCCGAAGTCCGAACCAAATTCCCTCCCTTCGTCCCCCACTTTCCCTCGTTTTCTGCTCTTCGTTTACCTTCATCCCTCCCGCTTTTTTCCCCTTTTCCATTTTCCATTTTCCTCGCTTCCAAACACCCGTTTCCCTAACCGGCCAGATCTCCACGACTCCACCCGATTCCAACTCCAATTCCCCCCAATTCCAGTTCCCGCCATCGCTAACTGAACAATTTCCCCAAATCTCCTCCATCTTTGCCGGTCCTCTTCACTTCGTCGAGCACCACAGATGTCGAATTCCGAGCCTCCTACTGGTCCCGGAGCGACGCCGCCGCCGCCGAATCAACAGCAGCAGAGCACTCCCTCCACCGTCGTCTCGTCCCCGTCCTTTAATGTGCCGAAGCGTCAGCTGGCCTTCTCTTCCGTGAAGCCGCCGTTCTCGTCTCCTGGCGACTATCATCGATTCACTACCGACCCTCGCCGCGCCGCTGATCGGGAGCCCGAGGGGATCGTCGTCAAATCGCCTGTAACTTATTCTTCTTCTACTTGATTTCTTTTGTAATTCCACGAGTTCTTGATGTGTGCCCCCGACGGCTTTTTTTATGTGTTTTTAACGCTATTATTCTCGATGGCGGGAGATCTGCTCCTTTTTGGAATTCCTGCAATTGGTCAGCGAATTCGGGCTTTGTTCGAGGAGAACTTCCCTAGTTGCTTAGTGGTAGTTCCTGTTTTGGAGCTTTAGGAGTTAAGTTTAAGAGATTGAATTAGCGCGATTCAATGGTGATGGCAGTAAGTGTTGCTTACTGAACTACTGGAAGTGACTTGAAGGAATGGAACCAGAACTTATGAGAATAGTTAAGGCAACGAAACTCCTTTTATTGGGATAGTATGCTTCCGGCGGTATTGTAAAGCTATTGAAAATGGTTTGGAATTCTTCTCAAGATTGCTTCTGATTTAGTTAAGATGATACTTTGATCTCTTATGACAAAGTCGAGTGGTATGGAAAGATTGCTGTGCGTTAGCCATGTTTATTCTCTCTTACTCTGACCTTAGCATAGCAAGTAGATTTATATCGATTTTGTTTACGAGTTTCTCTAGATTCTGAATATGAAATATCTATGTGCTTGCGGCTGTAGAGACTTTTGCATGAGATGGTGGGGTTGCTTCAGTCTCTTATGTTCTTCCATGACTGGGAAAGCTGTTTGCATGCTGGGTACCTTGCTGAAATCGCTCAGATGCATTGAGTGGCACTTATAGGGGACATGAGCTCTGGTTCTCAATGGATCCACTTTTTGTTCATAGTGATGGACCTGTGAACTGTTGTGTCAAGTGCTTATGGGATGTTCTTTCTCTGTATTGGTGTTCTCATTTTTCTCTATCTGCTGTCTTGTGTGTATTTCATCAGCCATTAAAACAGTCGGGTGATACAGCAGCACACGAAACTGAGTCTAGCGAGTGGAATATTACTTCTGCATACACTGAAGTCGCAAACACTCCCATCCGCACACCGTTGTCAGGGAAAGGTGGAAAAGCTCCTAAGGCTTCCAAGGGTTCAAGGAGCACTAAATCTGCACAGCAGAATGCCAATGCAAATATTGGTGAGTGAATAACCTCATGGTATCTTGGCAATTTGATCCAACAGTGGTTATGAGCATTAGGATCTATTACACAATTATTAATGCTCTGGATCCATCCAGCTACTGAAGGAGGTTTTCCTCTGTGGTCTTACAGGTTCACCTGGCAATAATCTTACTCCAACTGGTCCTTGCCGTTACGACAGCTCTCTTGGTAACTTTCAGTATATCTGCCCATAATAGTTAGCTTCTATGACTCCTGAAATCGCTAACTAACCTCCCCCTAAAAATGATAAATTCTAGGTCTCTTAACAAAGAAATTCATCAATTTGTTCAAACATGCTGAAGATGGGATTCTCGATCTCAATAAAGCTGCTGACACTTTAGAGGTAATAATTTATTTTCTCACTGGTTGGACACTATTATTGAATTTGTATATTAAAGTTTTCCATTACTGCAGGTTCAAAAAAGACGCATATATGACATAACAAATGTACTGGAAGGAATTGGTATGATAGAAAAGAAGCTCAAGAACAGAATTCAATGGAAGTAAGGACCTCGACTCCTTGAGTGTCTTGCTCTATTCTCTCCTTATCCAGTTTCCAACCTATCTTCCATTATTGCAGGGGACTTGATGTCACACGCCCAGGAGAGACAGATGAGAGTGCGACTAGTTTGCAGGTGCGTAATGACCATTCCGTTGTCTGTGAACTAGTCGATAACTTTGGATATTAAAGAATTTACGTAACTAATGATTACAAAGTGGATGAATATGCTTTCTGGCATGGAGTCAGTTGGGTTTAGCTGTTCTTTTAGTTTTCTTCTACTAAGTAGCCGTCAAAGAGGTCCATGATTTCTACTTTGTGCTAGTTGCACCTAGATGGTTTGAAGCTTGTTGGATAATATGCATTTTTTGCTGCCAATTTGTAGAACTTAGATTCTTTCATCGTGCTCAATCAATTGTTTTCTTAAGCAGGCAGAAGTTGAAAATCTCACAATTGAGGAACGCAACTTCGATGAGCGGATAAGGTTTTTTCATTGTCTATTCAACAGTTTAATTTGTTTAGTTTCTGCTGCAACGTCTTGACATCTCTGATGGTTAGAAAACTTCTGCCAGGGAAATGCAAGAGAGGCTGACAGCCCTCAGTGAGGATGGCAACAATCAAAGGTTAACATTCATATAACTTCCCTGGTTCTATATGTTTGAAGCATATTGCGTGATTTCAATTTGTTTTTCGCTTTTATTGGTTTCAGGTTTCTTTTTGTCACCGAGGATGATATCAAGACCTTACCTTGCTTCCAGGTTAGTAAGATTTGCATGAGTATTTTCTGAGTTTCCAAGTCAATTCTCCATCAAGTCTTGTTCTTGTTTCAATATGCTGCTGCTTTTGGCAGAATGAAACACTAATAGCTATCAAAGCTCCACATGGTACTACATTGGAGGTTCCTGATCCTGACGAGGTAAATTGCTCAAGTACTTTAGAGAAAAATGTCTGTTTTGCTTCTGCAGAATTCTTCTTCAAAGTTATCTCCTTTCTTCTACCACAGGCTGTTGACCATGCTCAGAGAAGATACAGGATCGTGGTCAGAAGTACAATGGGCCCAGTAGATGTCTATCTTGTCAGGTAAGCCTTGCTTCCCAGCCTTCTATTTTTCCTCCTAGTTAAGTGACAGTCAAATCGACATTCATAACTTAAGTGAGTCGCCTACTTCTGTGTTTGAATGTATGTATCAGCAAATTTGAAGAGAAGTTTGAGGAGATCCAGGGAGTTGAACCGCCAGCTCCTAGCCTTCCATCTACCTCTGGCGTAAACGATAATCCCACGACTAGCACAGTGGTTAAAGAGGAGAGCCGTGAAGGAAAGGAGATTGCAGGAACGGAGCAGGGACAGGATGTTCTTTACTCTGAACAGGATCTTTTCAGTGGCATCATGAAGATTGTTCCTAGTGATGCTGATGTGAGTATACCATTATTTCTTGCAGAAGGAACTAAACTTCCTTTGGTTTGTTAGGGGTAGAGATTGACGTTTCTTGCTTTTCTATATGGTTATGCAGAGTGATGCAGATTACTGGCTTTTGTCGGACGCTGGTGTTAGCATCACAGACATATGGCGAACTGATCGTATCCTTTATAATAACTAGAAGTTCTTACCTTCAGTCTACAGAAACTTATACGCTAGCAACCGCTATCATGATTCAGGCTCATGAAATTATGAAAATTCCTTCACTCACGAATAGCCGGGCTTGAATGGAACGAGCTTGGTGGACTCCATGATGACTATGGCATTTCAGGTATCAGCAGCAGCATGCCAGCAAATCCTCAAACTCCTCCACCTTCCAATCCAACCACAGAACCGCCACCTTCTGCTGCAAACGCCACACCACGGTGAAACTATGTCACTCTGCTCCTAGATATCACATCACTGTAAAGAGAAGAAACTGCTGCAGAACGCGCCCAGTGGCAGCCTGTGTTCGATGTACAGCGGAAGGAAGCAAAAATGTCTGTGAATTGATTCATGTCTAGTTAGCTAATAAGGAGATGGCTCCTTTCCACTCTGTGTACATTCCTTGATCCGTCGTAGCCTGCACCTTGTATTCCTATTCCCCCGTCGTATTGTCTGCTTAGTTAAATCTCATAACCGTGTCAAGATTTATAGATGCAAGAGCTACTAGATGTAAGATACCGTCATCTGTAGAGCAGCTGGATTCCGGATCATGTAAATTTGTATCTCAATACAGAGCATTATGTACGTATTACTGTTACATCAGATGTTTTGTTCTACTTTTCTGCTTCTTTTTGGTCAGCCTTCTTCCCCATCCAGCCGGCGACGATCGGAGTAAGCGCCACTGTCGGAGGGAACCTGATCGGAGATGCAGCTTTGTGTGCAGCATAAGCCAATGCAAAGGTCCCGACTTTCTCCCCCGTGGCATCCGTAGAAATCCCCACCTGCAGAAAACTAAGCAAGGTGAGTAGAGGTTTTTATCAGCTTAAGCAATTTTGGGTATTTGGGTTATGGAAAATTTCGAAACCTTCTGCAGCAGAGCTTGAACATCGACGCCGGCATTGACGAGAGCGTAGCAGAGGGAGAAGGAGATGATGGAGAGGCTTATCGATGTGGCCAAGTAAGCTCCGCCATATTTGGTAAGCAGTTCTTTAGCTTGGTCTCCCTTTGATTTCTCCTGCGCGCCACCATCTACAGTTTTTTTCTCGTCCTTGGAGCTGAATATCTTCCACAGTCCGGCTTCGAGGCCGTACTTCTGTGTAATTTCGTCTGGGGAGGAAGGTGGAGGTGGGGTTTTGAGTTCAGCTTTTTCTCGGGTAGCTCGGATTCTGAATCGGGTAGAGATGGATTTGGGAGGTCTCAGAGAAGAAGCTGTGGTGTTGCAGTTTATGGTGCCGAAGAGAGTGGAAGATGCAGAGGTTTGCAGAGCTGCTGACATTGTCGCAACTGAAGAAAGGTTAGCTTCTTTTTTACTCCCGATAGATAATAGATAAGTGTTCCAGCTTACAGGTGACAGGCATAACCGGATTTTTGTATTCCCCCCTTTGGGCTATGTTGTTATGTTGGAGACGGTAAAAGTGCAGTGAATGGTGGCTGTCGCGTGGCCAGTAGGGATGGCAATTTCGACCTGACCCGTTTTACCCGATCTGTTTGATCTGTTTTGGGGCGGGTCCGACCCGCTCCGTAGGCGGGGCGGGGCGGGCATGGGTAGTCTCAGCGACCCGACCTGCCCTGACCCGCCCCATTCTCGACCCGTTCTTGTCTAAATTACATGTAATCTTAGTCAAATTACTTAGAATTTTCCTTTTATTGCATCATATTCTAGCTATAATAAAGTTGTAAATTAGTAAAAACCTCAATTTCTTCAATAATCTAACTACAATTGTCATAATATTGTTTGTTTTCTTAGTCTTGTAATAAAAATAACGAATATTTCTAATGTTTTCATATAAATTGCATACCCATTGAGTCGACCTGCCCCGATCTACGACCCGTGATTAATTACCCGACCTAGACCCGACCTGCCACAGAACGGGTCTGGGTACCAAGAAACCCGTCCCGGACCTGCCCATTGCCATTCCTAGTGGCCAGATTGTGTTCAGAAGTTTGGTTAAGTGAAGCTTCTTAGGAGGTCCGCAGTAGTAACTTGTGTGGGTATAGAAGCCCACTCACTCGCATTAGCCGGTTTCTTTCTGGACCGGATATGGGGCGTCCGGCCCACTTGGTTTACTAGAAGTGTAGGAGTCTAGGAGAGATTCACTTGCTTTCTTGGCCGGCGTTCTCATATCATATATATTGCGACAGTTTCGTGTGTTTTTGTTTTGTTGTTGTTCGCTAGGCGGATGCGACCATCTTCAATTATTATCAGTAAATCACTCATTCGCACCGTTTGGTACCAAATGAATCTAGAATGCATTTTATTTTAAAATGAATTACCGTATAGAATTCATTGTCAAATGAATTCTTGTGTTTGCTATGTCATATTCAAATCTTAAGAAATAAAATGAATTGAATTCCCAAACCATGTTTGGCGTACGTTTGTAATTGAATTGAATTAAAAGCTTCCAACTACGCCCTTATTAATTTTCGCTGTAAACAATATTCATTGAAAATTCATCTTCTAAAAAAATGCTTTTGGTCCCATACGTAAAATATCAAAGTGTTCTTGTGTGTTTCTATTCTATTCCTTAGTTCTTTCGATATTTTGTTAACGAACTCTGCGCTCTAGTTGTGCCTTCTCAACATAGTGATATAATCAAAGCAGAAATATCAAATAACCAGAATATGCTACTAGCGCCGCAATGAAATTCTTGACGACGTTCCTCATACTGCATGAGATGGCGTCAAATAATACATGTAGAATTAGTTTAGTTAATAAATGAGGATAATTATGTAATTTTGTTATAATTAGTAAATTCTTGTGGAATTCATTTGGAAATTCCATCTCAATTCCTCGGAATTGCTATAACTAGCTCCAATTCCGTAGAATTCAAAATGAATTCTTTTAATTACCAAACAAAAAAAATTCATTTATAAAAAATTCATTTATGTTTACGTTACTTATGAAACCCAACATGCATGAGGACATATTAGTTATACATGGAAAACACTTCTATAAGAAATGAATGCATCTTTCTGGTAATATGATGTTACGATATAATAACCATCTTTCGGTGCAAACTAATATCAAGGCGTTTGTAGTCCAACGGTTAGGATAATTGCCTTCCAAGCAATAGACCCGGGTTCGACTCCCGGCAGACGCAATTTTGTTTTCTAATTTTTATCTTATGGACTTATTGGCAAAAAAAAAAAAAAAAAAAAATTGAAGGATAAAGATGGGTCGAGGGATCTTATTAAGTTTGTATCTGATGAGGGTATTGTATTACAAACGCAGGGAGATGGCAATTAGGAGCTGCAAACACACCAACTAAAGCTGTAAAACACAACCAACAGACAGACAGAGAGGCTTTATGGAACATGAACAATTTGGAAGAAGTTTTGAAGATTGTTCAGTCAACAGAGACTGGCTGCATGTTCTCAGCTTCTTTCCTCAGCTCCTGGAACAGCACCGACGACAAGTACCTCTCCCCGAAGCTTGCATGGATCGTCTGATCACAACACACAGAAACAGAGTTCTCATCAGTAGATTGATAGGGTGGAGAATTCTGCCTTCTATATATGTTTTTTTTTTACAAATGACTTACCACAATAAGCTTCCCTTTGTTCTCTGGCAGCTGTGCCAGTTTAAGTGCAGCCACTGTATTAGCTCCAGATGATATGCCAACCTGCAACAGAATTTTGATCCACATCACAGGTTAAGAACTTTCCCCAGCTGGGAGGAAGGGAATGTTTGATAAAATTGATAGAGCCATTCATTCATTCATTCATTCATTACCATGAGTCCCTCCTCCACGGCCAGTCTCCTAGCCATGTTCACTGCATCTTCGCTGCTAACCTGAAATCGCAGTTTTGCAAGTGTTGTAAGATCACTTAGTATGGACATGCATATGGAGAAGTGAGAATTGGACCTCTGAAAGTCTTTTTTTTTTTTACCTCAAGAACCTTGTCCATCACGTCCATGTCCAATATATCAGGTTTGAACCCTACTCCATTGCCCGTAATCTGGTGAGGACCTATTTTCAATGACCACAAAATGAAAAACCATCAGGAACAGGCAGGAGCTTCTTCCAATTCACGGGGGGGAATGTTTTTTCTTCTCTATACCTGGTTTGCCACCATTCAGGATATTGCTTTCTGCAGGCTCAACTCCATATATCTGTCATGAAAACCCCAATCATAATCACTACACTCAATTCATAGCCAATATCAATAAAGGTAAACCAGCAGAATGAGATTCTTGAGTACCTTGACATTAGGGTTCTGTGATTTCAGATATTGCCCAACACCAGAGACAGTCCCTCCGCTGCCAATTCCCATCACAAAGATGTCCACTTGTCCCAGTGTGTCTTCCCAAATTTCAGGACCCGTGGTCTCAAAATGGATCTGTTTCCCCACCACCCATCTCATTTATGTCAGACATTGATCTAACAAATAAAAGCAAGATATGTGCAAAAGCGAGCTTATATAGGGACCTTAGTGTTGGCAGGATTGGAGAATTGTTGAAGCATGAATGCATCTGGAGTAGACTCCAAAAGATCATACGCTTTCTTCACTGTTCCCCCCATCCCTTTAGTTGGATCAGTAAGAATGAGCTCCGCTCCAAATGCTCTCATACATACCCTTCTCTCCATGCTTGTGTAAGACGGCATGGTCAGAACCATCTTGTACCCTTTCATTGCTGCCATGAACGCCATGCTGATGCCCATGTTTCCAGAAGTTGGCTCTATTAGGGTAGTCTGTTGCAAAGCCAGACACATATATATGCAATGACATGAGTCCTAGTTTCTCTACGTACTTCAAAAGAAGAGAAAGGCAGCAATCACAAAAGTAGCCATCCCTGGAATCCGAACTAACTAACCTTTCCTGGAAAAATCAAGTTCTTAGCTTCTGCATCTGCAAACATTGAGAATGCTGGTCTGTACAACAGAAAGAATAACAAGAGAAAAGCGGGGTTTTGGTCGGTCTCTACAACAAAAGGTCTATTCATTCATGGAGGATGGGCAACATTGTATTATGTAAACCTGTCCTTAACGCTAGATGTTGGCTGAAACATTTCTTGCTTGGCAGCAATGTAAGCTCCACAACCTTCAGTCACTTGGTTGAGGAACACAAGTGGAGTTTTCCCAATAAGCTGAAAATTCACCAAACCACATTCTATTTTAGATACAAATTTGATTGAATTATTTTTACAAAAATATATCAGATTGTGTTGTTTAATAAACAGAGATTAATTATTCTTTTGGAAATTACAGTTCCTAGCCTTAGACGTTCAGCAATGAGATGGTTGTTAGCAGTTGGCTGCTAAATCACTGAACGAACTCTGATATAAGTGGTTCATTGATTTAACTTTTGAATAGAAAATACTAAAATTTTAAAAATTATTACTGGATGCAGAAACATGAAAAATCAACAGTCCGTATTTTGTTTTCTCCCCCTCTATTTCCTCTTTCATTGTGCCTCCCACCAGTTCTTTCATCTCCTCTTTTTCTTCTTCTTCATTTCCAGTTTAGTCTTCTCCTCTCAATCCTAGCTAGTTTATTATATAAACAATTCTATAGGCAACTAAACATTGATTTTATCTCCATTTTGAAGATAATGATTTCCTAGTGAAATAAAACTACTTACCAATTGAAAAATTGGGGAAAAGGATGAAAAACACAAGGAGGATAAATATTAGGATTAATACTTAATTCCCTATTCTGCAATTACTTCTTTTTATTCATTAAAAAGACACTTACTAGGATTCGAACCATGACCACTTTAAAGAAAAGCAAGGATCATAACCAATCACACTAAGTACATTTGTTGTATCTTTTTAACTTAAAAACATATAATCACAGAGAGGAAAAAACCCTTCCCCATTTCAAATTCCCTGCTCCATGAGCGTTTGTAGGAAGGGTAGAATAGTGAGTGTCAATTTTTTTCTTTTTCCTCTATGGAACGGGCCAACTTACCGTACACATGCGGATTTAAACAGGTCCAGGAGTGTCAATTTTTTTCTTTAAGTCCTTTTATTTCTCCGTGGTGGTAAAATATATATGAAAAAGGCAAAAACAATACTCCTTTTTATTGCTAAAATGAAAAAATTTAACAATAAACTAATGCATGGATTCTAATGGGCAAACCGCTAATCATAAAATAAAAGAGTTGAATGAGCCTGACCTACACGGGATTTGCCCATCAAGTAAAACAAATGAACATCGTGGGTTTGCCATTCTAAAACAAGCTATATTCTCTAGCATAATATATATTATGCTATTATTTTATATCTTAGTGGCTAAAATATAATGTATTTTAAAGTTATCCAATGGTTCAACCTCGACCAGCCCAATTAGTCCAATTTTTATCATTAGAAATATATATTATGTAATTATTTGATATCATAATGATTAAATTATAGTGTATATTATAGGGAATCGTTTGGTATCTGTACAGAAAGATCTATTTGGTTATTTTTAACATTAAAACGATTCTAAACATTTTCATATTCCTTTCGAAATTCTATAGTTTTATTCCCGAATCAGTGATGTGCAAATGGCGAATTACAGTCATCTCTTTTCTTTCATTATTTTTTATTTTCAAATAGAAAGTTTAAAAGTAAAGAATAATTAGAGTTTGGCATGGGTCGGTCAAACAGGCTGAATTTCAAGTTTTGGGCCATTTTGATCAAGTCTAATTTATAATCACATGGTTCCCTGATACCTGATAAAAATCTCAATCCAAACCAGTTTGGCAGGTGAGTCCGTGTTTACCACCATTTTCTAGGGATACAGGAACGGTGATTCCTATCCCAAATCGTGTTGTTCATTCTTGATTTCTTTAGATTTTATCATGGCTTGGCAAAAAATCAGAAAGCACAATGATGACAAGATGAAAGTTTTATAAAGCAAATTAATCGACCAACGGGCCGAGTAAAAGCTAGCAACGATTGTGATATGCTCATTTCCCGAAAATCGGCGGGATAGGCGATTTTTTATTCGATTTTCTGAAATTCGGTTTCTATAAAACTTACTCCACCTCATCATATTACCAGAAACAATATTGTTTCACAAGTTAACAGGTACTTGATTTTGGTTCATAAGGCTGATTTTTGATTCGTTGCATCATTCATGTCTCTTTCCTACTAAAATTCACTATTTTTATCACGTGTTTTCCAAAAAAAAACTATACAACAATAAGCTACACACCACATTACATTATCAAATTTCATACCAAACTTTCCTCCGGGCAAATGGCCGGGGCCACGCTAGTAATCACAAATAGTCAAATATGACCAAATTCTCAACATAATGGACAACATTAGCCTGATTTTTAGGCTGATCGTCAATATTGACGGTTAGAAACATTGATTGTTAGTATTATTAAATATTATTTCAATATATTGGTGTGGCTGCGGAGCCACTAATCCAGATTAAAAAAAAAATGAGGCTTTTCTCTCAACTCTGTCTCTGTGTACATCTGAATTCCTTATATGCCATATTTCCAAATTTGTTTTTGCTAAAAAAAAACCACTTTCTTGTCGCTTTATTTACACTTTCATCATTTTTGGCAAGCTGCTTACCTGGATAGCTAAAAATCGTCCTAATAAAAATCCTTTTTATTGGAACCCAATATAAATATTAAATAGACTTTCATGTGTGGAGATCGACGCAGCACCACGCTACAACTTTAGAAAAAAGAAAACAAAAGGATATTCACATCACATCTCTCATATCCAAAAAAAAAAACATAGATTAAGAAATCGTTTGGATTGGACCAAGAAAAATCTGAGTGATGAAATCATATATTCATTAATGGAAATAAATTAACAGATTTTACTGTCTGAATAGACAAAATCAACGTATCCAAATGCAAAATTCACTGTCTGAATTCTTCACTATAGGTATTTACAGTATCGAATTGAAGGCAAATTAGCTGCTGCAATCAAAATCGAAGAGCTACGGCCAGCTGCTGCAAAGAGAGATAGCGCGCGCGAGCGAGCGAGAGAGGAAGAGGAAGAAAGCGTACCTTGGAAGCGTCGGGTTTGATTTGAGTGCCGGGGAGATGTTTGGGCAGATCTCTGAGCCTCTGCGCGAAGGAAGAGGAGGGGGAACCGGCGGCCGCCTCCGTCGACATCTTCTCCACGCTCCGGAGCAGCTGCGGCTGGTACTGGTGAGCCGATCGTCTCCCTAGGAAGCTCCTCAAAGCGGCCGCCATTGATGGAGGAGGGCTCTGTTTGTTTTGGGGAAAGGAAAATGCAGAGAAGATTTGTGTGAGAGAGTGACTGATGAGTGAGTGAGTGTGTCTGTTCTGTGTGTGGACGCCCCCCTCTTTAAATAAATCCAGCTTTTCGATTTTTCAAAAGTTTCTTCCACAAAAGAAAAAAAAAAAAAAAAAAAAGAGGAAAATCTGAATTTACCATTCCACCCTTCCTTCAATAATTTTACCGGCAAGAAGAGCCATGAACTGCATATTATGCTAAAAGCCATGAAGACAGTATACATGGATCCAAAACGTTTGATTGCAAAAGGATTTAGTTGGTTGATTGAACCCAGCAAAGTGCTAACTGACAGTAGAATCTCGCCAAGAAAACGAAACGGCATATTAGTGTTGTTTTCCAGCCGATCAGATCTTAATAATCAATGGTTTAAATGATACCCTGATTGGTACTTTCATGTTTATTAATTACATTGTACTAAGCGATCGCGTTTGTTGAACGTTGTTTTCGATCTTCTTTCAAAGACAAATCTGAGGGTGCAAGTTGGTTGGATATTACGTAATTAGATGTGCAATATATCACACTAACTAAAAGAGTCGTTGTCGCAGGAGGGAGATAAATTTGTACAATAACACTCTACATCAACATTGCCTTAAAAATTCGAGTTTAGTTTAGTTTAGTAAAAAGGGAACCTTACCGGGATGGGATTAGGTGCTAACCCTTATAGGGGTTAGCATCGTGATAACTAGCAAAAAACGCTACTAAAAACAACGAAATCACTACGGATTATTATAAAATCAATACAACATCTAAGCTAAATCACTACTAACCCTTGGTTAGGACGGTGCTAACTCTTGTACAATTAGCACCGTAACTCCAACCTTACCCATTCCATTAGCCGTACTAGCTGTAATAATGGAGCTATAAGAGTTGTGTCTGTGGGGGAGCTAAATTTATACAATAACACTCTGCATCAACATTGTCTTGAAAAAGAGTTGCCCACCTCGTGGCAAAAAAGACTCTATCATTGGGAGTCTGGTTCAATATGGACTGTCGTTCTTTATTATTATTATATGTCTTATAATTTGTTGTTCGGTCATGTCTTGTGAGCTTATCTTGCATAATTATTTTTTATTTTAAGAAAATATATAATCTTGAAAAAATTCTAGTTTAGTTTGGTAACGAGGAAATCTTACCCATTCCATTAGTCGTGGTAGCCGTTACTTTTAGAACGGAACGGGAAAACAACAATGCAAAATAAGTAAAGAAAACATAGATTTAAGTGATTTCCTAACAACAGCTTCTCCTGATAACCTAACCCTAATTCAACATGAAAAGAAAAATATTAGAACAAGCCGAAAAAATACAAATATGTATATAAACCCATACACCATGAGTGTTATTGCTACAAACGGAACGAGTTAGAAGAACCGGTTAAACATCTCTACGAACGCCTCAACTACGTAGCACCTGTTCTCCTTTATGTTCATCTTCAAGTACCATTCCAAAAAAATTGCTACCTCGCCCGTCGACCAATCTAACCCGGAAAAAAAAAAAACATCCACTGTTCCTAATCTATCTCAAACACATAGAAGTTCGAAAATCCGCTCTCGGGTCCTCGGTGTCCACCGCAGCCACCGTGCAGTCAGGGAAAGGAAGCTTGGCCGCCTCGAGTATCGACCTTGTAGCGCCTGCAGGCTCGAACACTAGCCTTTGCCAAGCTCTCAAGTAGTCTTGAAAGCAATGATCTGCAAGAAAGTTGAGCTAGCTACTCTTGATGCAGAATCATCATCATCATGGTGCGTTAGATTGTAGTAAGGAGGAGATGGTTACGTTAGGCAAATTAAATGGTTCATGATGTAGTTTTGTGTGGCAAAGTGTGTCAACACAGTAGGGTGGACTTTTTTTTTTTTTTAGTCTGAAAATCAATTTGGTCGAGCTTGTTCATGAAAGGCAGCCGAACGATTATTATATAGTGTGTATGTAATTTATGTTTCCGTCAAGTGATAATTAGGGCAGCAATGTTATTTATTTTCTTGTACGAAAAGGACTCTTGATTTAGACAAGTTAAGAGGGTGATTGAATTGGTATGAATTCATGTTGGTTTCGTAAGTATGATAGTGTGGTAAAAGTAGGGGTGGCTATACGGTTCGGTCCGGTTAAATTGGCCCAAATTGATCCGGTCCAGTCCGGTTTTTTTGAAAATATAAGGACCGAAGATTGGATTGGATACAGTCCGGTCCGGTCCCAATTCGGTCTTGATTTTATATTGAGATTGTGGGAATTTGAGTGGCCTAAGGCCTAAAAGGGTGAGGAGTTGGTTAAGTTTTGCACTAAGTGCAAAGGTTTGTGACCGTTTATGCAAATTACCCTTAAGTTTTGGGTGTTGAACTCTTTTATCCGGTCTTTATCCGGTTTTTTACCTCAAATCTAAGCCCAAAGATTAGATTGGATTGTTTATTATCCGGTCTCGGTCCGGGTTATACGGTCCGGTTTCCGATTTTTCATCCGGTCCCGGTCCAAATAGCCAGCCCTAGGTAAAAGAGTATCTTCTCTATCAACATAATGGAGGATGTTGACCCCATACGTTTGATACTATTTGAATCTTAATGAATATTTGTCAACTTTATAAGAGTCATGTTATTCAGATATTTTTAATAAAGCCTATTTAAATTTGACAGTGGGCCAAGTTTTTTCACCACAAAACGAATGATCTGATCTTTTTCCACTAACACACATCACCAATTCACCACCCACCAATGTACAAAATCCTTAACCTTAAAAGCATATCAAATTAATCAATTTAATCAAGTCGGAATTAATCAATCAATTAAATTGTGTGTATATATATATATATATATATTTATCAAAAGGCCTCTAGCCCATACAAGACCCCCGCATGCTTTTCCGGCCCATCCTTAACAAAGAAAACATCCCTCATCTTCTGAAACGCGTGCCAGGTCAGCAAGCTATCCGACCCAGCCTGATGACACTTCCCCACGGCCCGGCCCACATCCAGCATCCGGGCCACCCGGTCCAGCCCACCATACAAGCTATCACAGAACCTCATCATATGCTTCACGTCATAAACCCGGCCCCCGAAAAAAACCCGCAACAGGCCCAAGAACTCCTCCAGCCCGCCCGGCAGCGACCTCCGGGTCAGGATCTTGACCAGGTACCCGAAATCGTACGCGCTGTGGAACGTCACCCAGCTCACCGACTCATTACAAACCAAACCGGACGACATCATCAACTCAGCGAACCGACCCGAGTCGACCCCTTCAACTCTGTTCCTCGCGAAATCGATCCCCTGCCGCCTCAGCAGCTCGATGGAGTCCGGCGCGTGGGAGTCACGGTCCACGTCGAAGTCCCTGAAATTGAACTCCCAGATGAACCTCTGCGCCGCTCCGGTTCCCAGATCCGGCAGGTTGCCGTCGGAGTCGGAGAGGGTGAGGCCGACCTGGATGAGATTGAGGGCGTCGACGTTGGATTTGAGGAGCTTGTAGTGGTCGGAGGGGTTTTGGTGGCGGTAGGAGGAGTAGTGGTTGTTGTTGAACGGCTTGAAGACGACGCCCGGGAACTCGGTGTCCATGGAGATGAAGGGGAACTCGTCGATTGCGGCGCGGATGAGGTCGAATTCGGATTCCAGGTTGGAGGCCCAGACTTCCCTGATGACGATCGGCGGCGGCGGAGGAGTGGTGGAGAGCTTGGTCATTGCGGCGGTATGGGAAATGATTTGAGGTTGAGAATTGGGAGTGCGGTGGTGGAGGAATTGGGGGGAATTAGGGTTTTTATAATTAGGGGAAGAGTGGGGGAGTGAGAGGTTGCTTGGAAAGAGGGGGAAGAATGGGGGGAAAGCGGGGAAATGGTGGGGAGTTTTTTTAATTAGTTGTTAATAAGATAATAATAATGTAATTAATAATTAAGAATTAATTATTGGGAGGGGAAGGGGAATTTGATTCAATGGATGGAGTTTCAATTTCAACGCGCTGGGGAATTTGACTGGGGGAAAGGGTCGTGGCGGCTGCAGTCGCATAGTCGTAACGGATGGGGCAAATTAAATCAAAGACTAGTGTGAGTTGGGAAATATTTATTTATATATATAAGTACCCGCACATGTATGAATACAGGTGGGAGAAAGAAACAAAATGGTTTGTGTTGTTACATTTTGTACAAGGAGTTCTGGTAGGATGAGGAGTAGTGTGTTTACTTCTTAATTGTCTAATCAATTAATGGACACTAATGTGAATATGTTCATATGAATTATGTTGTTATTATTATTATTGATGGCCCAAGTTAAGAGTCAATACTTTTTTTTTTCTCGGGAATGAAAGGGTTGGAAAGGTATATATGAGAAGGACGGAGGAGAGGTACCAGCTGGCAGCTGCTATAGTACGAGAGATGGTCGTTTCCAATCCGACCCAATTCAACTATAAACAAATCGTAGGGTTCTAAACTTTTTAGGATGAGTTTGAATTTGGTATTTATAAAACTGTAATGTATGAGTCGAGCGATTAAAATAATCAAATCCAAACCAACCCAACAATGTACACTCTAATACTAGTGCAACTTATGGAGTTAAAACAATTCGTAATTACTGATCTTTCTTCTCTCTCTAAATCTTTTTCTTTGGTTTTTTATTTGCTCTTCCTGTTGGCTGATTGTTGGGGAGAGTGGGTAGGGTTCGGTTCTACAAGTTGGTTCACCTGGACACATGAGCTGCTGGGATATTTCTGGACCATTTTCAACGTACCTGGGCTTTTGTCAGTTTCTTCTCCTTTCAATTTCACATAAAAATTAAAGGGCAATGTCTATTTTTTACCCAAACCTTTTTTAGATTCTTTTATTTTAACCAAACCTATTGAATTCCTAAAAATTATCCAAACGTTAACTCTCCGTCAACTTTTCTGTTAGTAATGCTGACTAAGTATGACCATAATGAGTTGACTTCCTACGTGACAATCAGAATACCATCATTTACTATTTTTAATAAAAAGATTATCAAAAAACAAAACAAAATCCCACCCCTAACGTGGACGAAATAAGTAACGGTAACAGAATGAATGCCCAGACTTTGATAAATTATAATACGTTTGGATAATAAATAGAATTTCTATAGGTTTGGTTAAAATAAAAGAATCTGAAAAAGGTTTGGGTAAAAAATAGACATTGCCCAAAATTAAATAAGTCCAATGCACCATCTTTAGCCTCTGAAATAAGTTCATAAACCATTTTCAGTACTTGACTATGGAGTTAAAATTACAAGTAGTTTACGAGAAACTAATAAAGGCTTGATTCAGTGGCAGATGTAGGGATGGCCTCCTCGAGTTATGGCTCAAGCGCTCAGCCCTCCTCCGGATCCAAACCTAGTGTCAACAAATGAAATGGGCTTGTTTCCATTCCTTTATGTCTTTTCCGGACCAATATAAACCTGTGTATCTAATTTTCTATTCAAATATGACTCAATACTCTTATACTCTACTATATTCTGAAACCGTCGCGGCTGGTACGACTTCCTCACAGGTTTATTATACAAGAATTTTTTGTATAAATGGCTATTACTATCGGCTTAGTACGAGACTAACATGGCAAAAAGACGACAGAACATATTTTGTTGGGTTCAATTGTGTCAGATTAATATGAGTGCAAGCTGTAGCAGCACCCTTTACTAACACGTAGAAATTGTGCGTCTAAGCCAGCCTATTACACAATATATTACTGTATAGATTCCACCTCAATTAGGGAATTGGGCAGTGTGGTTGCGCTGTTAAGTAAAAGCATGCAGTTGCTGGAATATATAATAGTATAAGAAAAGTCGTAAGAGGAAATAGTGTTCACTGGTCTTTGGTTTGGTCAGTGGTTATATGCCAAGTGGAATGTTCAACGAAATCATCAATAAAAATATCCAACCATCCACTTGCTTAAGTAAATATATAAAGCGATATTGAATTTTAACCGAAGCAATCAAAACAAATGAACCAAACATGCGGGATTTAATTCTGGTTTTTCATTTTTCTTACATTTTTTATCCGATCATATCTCAATTTGGTCCGAGTCGGTACGAAATGGATTCCCCCGGGCTCAGAACTATGTGGGCCTTCAAAAGTACAAGACTCATGTCCTTTTTGGTGAGCTGAACCTAAACTGAATGGCCGGTTTGTGTTACTACTTACTAGATCGATGGTACGGACATCTCCAAAATGGTCCCAATGGGCTAAAGTTACTTGGGCCTGTTTTTTTTTTTATTAATTTATTTTTTATTTACAACCTTTTACAAGGCGGTGCACTTGAGCCTTTTTTCCAAAATTGTTCTAGCATAGATTGATGACTTAATGTCGGTATTTTCCTTCTTTGTCTTTTACAATAAGTTTAATGTCGTTCCATGGAGTAGTATTGGCGTTTTTTACATTTCACTTGTGCAATTTGGTAAATAGAATTAATGCGGGTAAAAAACATAGCGACATGCCGACATCTAGGGCTGGGAAAACGGTTGGCGGTTTGCGGTTAAACCGACAACCGCACCGAAACCGCGCGGTTATTGGTTAACCGCAAACCGCATATTTGGCCTATTTTGCGGTCGCGGTTGGAGATATGGCCTGTTTTGCGGTTTGCGGTTTAACCGCAACCGAAACCGCAAATCCATATAACCGCAAAGCTAACCGCGAAACCAGACCCAGCCCATAATTCACCCCCAGCCCAGCCCATAATTGACCCCAGCCCAGCCAGCAGGATTGTGGCATTGTGCATTTGTGCTTGTGGATTGTGTTATTTGGATATGCAGACAGATGTAGAGGCTTGATGGAAGTGAAAATAGACAAAACAGTAGCTGCTGTGTTTTTTTTCCATGATTTTTTTGCGGTTAGTTCGCGGTTAATTGTCGGTTAGAGTGCTAACTGCGGTTTCATATGGTGTTTCGGTTGTTGCGGTTTTCACAACCATAAACCGCGGTTCACCGCTAACCGCTTTCTGCGGTTTTTGGTTAACCGCTAACCGTTGCGGTCGCGGTCGCGGTTGGCCAATATGAGTGTTTTGCGGTTGCAGTTAACCGCAAATTGCGGTGCAGTTAACCGCAACCGCACCGTTTCCCACCCCTACCGACATCCTTGAAGTTACTATAATTTAAACTTTTTGACTTATAGCAGGTTTTACAAGTCGTATTACGTAAATCTAGTATTTATTATGTAACAATTACGTAACGCTTGTTAGTTGTTAGTCTTACGTAAAAAGATAAACTAGAAGCGTTACGGAAGGTTTCCGTAACGACTTATCTTTTTACGTAACGTTATTGTTAATATTCATTACGTAAAAGCATCGCCTATTACATAAGGCTTCCGCAATGACATTTTACAACTGTTACATAAAATACACACTCATTACGTAAAGGTTACGTAACGAAGGTTATTTCTTACGTAACAGTTAAATTTGAAGTGTTATGTGAGACTTTCGTAATGACTTACCACATTACGTAACTTAATTAATATTCATTATGTAAGAGGACCATCCATTACGTAAGGCTTTCGTAATGACACTTTACAACTGTTACGTAAAGTATGCATCTATTACGCAAAGGTTACGGAACGATAGTTATTTCTTACGTAACAGTTAAATTAGAAGCGTTACGTATTCTTCCGTAATGATTTAACAGATTACGTAACGAAAGGTTCATTACATAAAATGAGTGTCTATTACGTAAGGTTTCAGTAATGACAAATTTCAACTATTACATAAGATAAATACACATTACGTAACCTTTATGTAATGCCTATTGTATTTTACGTAATACGACTTGTGAAACCTGTTATATCAGTTCAAAATCATCAAGTTAGAATAACTTCAAAATATTGTAGGAATTTCCGAAAAAAACATATTGCAGCAGTTTGAAGTAACAAACTATATATAGTAACAGCTTGATGAGAAATAAAATGATCACACATTATTCTTCTTCAAAACTGACAAGTCATAGTTTTTCACTAGCTACTACATTTCACTTTGGAGAGTTGACGGTGGTGGGGCAAGGAAGTTTTTGAACCAATACGCGGAAGCCTTGAGATACCTCTTCAAATTGTCGTTAAAATCCACGTAAGTCATCCCAAAACGCACCGTGTAACCGCCATTCCACTCGAAGTCATCAAAGAAGCACCACATGTAGTAACCCTTCACGTTGGCCCCGCCCCTACAACATAGAAACCAACCACACCACTCGTTGTTTAATATCGCGGGCAATATTATTGATTAACGATTAATCCATTAACTTAAATCATTAGAGACAAATATAGTATACTCACTTAACCGCACTCAACAAAGAGAAGATGTTCATTGTGGTACTTTATTCTGAGAGTATCATTGAGCGCCATTTCCAACGACAATGAACTTTGGTCAGTCATTCCTGCGTAAAAAGAGGAAATTACTTCGAATTTGAATAATTGAAATATCTGGAAACAGCAAAAACACACCGCAAAAAGAGTGGACTATGCAATAATAAAAATAAAAAGGCCAACCACGGATGATTTGTTAGCTTAACTGAGATTATTAGACATTACAATCTTACCATTCTCAGTGATATAAACTGGTAGATTATTGTACTTGTTCTTGATATGGAGCAAAAGCTTCTTGAATCCCTTTGGGCATATGAACAGCCAATCTACAGCAGTCTGCATCCATAATTAACATATGAATTAAACATAAGAACATAAATTAGGCTATTATATAATAAGTAACCAAAAATCAATAGAATATTATACGTACATACCGGAGTGCCTATTGGGACGCCGTCCTTTTCAGCTGCATAAATATATATGACATCATCAGTGGAACATGAATTTCAGAAATATATATAACAACATAAATGACAAAATTGATATGTGGCTAAAGTATACGATAAAGAGTGGTATAAAATACATAATAATCTTCCATCAACAATTCGAGTAATTGGTTTTTGACATATACGTACTGGATTGAATGGCACGACTATCCGTAGAATAGCTAGGATTGGTCGCCGCGAAAATTCGAGCCGTCGAGGGCGCGTCCTCGGCATAATACATGGTGTAGTAATTCACTCCCAAGAAATCAATGGACCCTTTCACCAAGTCTGCTTGTTCCTCGGTGAACCTCGGGAGCCGGTCCCCCACGAGGGACCGCATGCTCTCGGGGTACTCCCCGTGCGCGATCGGGTGGGCGAACCACCCGAACATGAAGTCCAGCACCCTCCGAGCCGCCAGTTGGCTCGAGGGCAGGGCGCGGTACTTGGGCTCGAACCAGTGGGTGGTCGTCGTGATACCAATCTCTCCCTTTTGTTTCTCCTTGTATTTCTTCCGGTACAGTTTCACAATCTTTGCGTGGCTTAGCAGGAAGTGGTGGCCCGCCACGTACGGCTCGGTGGACGAGTCGCCCCGGGGGACCGCGCAGCCGGTGGTGGTCCCCATCCATTGGGAGCACCGGCCGGGTGCGAACGAGCCGAAGTCGTAGGCTCGCATGGCGTACATGTTCGGCTCGTTGATGGTCACCCATTTCTTCACCCTGTCTCCGAATGTCTCGAAGCAGAAGTCCGCGTATGCAACAAAATCGTTCCTATAGGGCACATCAGTAATTAATTAATTAATTAATTACAAACTACGTAATCAATGTATTATTTAATTTTGAAGCCTGGTGATTGATAATTGACTTACACGAATCTAGGGCTTAAAGGGCCACCGTATTCATCCTCCAGAGCTTGGGGTGGGTCGAAGTGGAGGAGCGTAACAAATGGTTTTATACCTAATTAATTAATCAATATATATATATATATATATAATATCACAGTATTAAATAATTATCGATACTATAATTAAATATTTATCTTTGTAGAATATAACTCACCGTTGGAGAGAAGTTCATTGATGAGGTCGTTGTAGAACTTGACGCCAAGTTGGTTCACTCCTCCGGTGAGCTTGCCGTCTGAAGATATACGTGAACTTAATTTAGTTCATAGATTACTAAACGGTAAGTGAAAAAATTAAGAATTCTTAATGATAATTAGTGATTGTGATTTAAGTAATTATAGTACTTGGGAAGATTCGGGTCCAGGAGATGGAAAATCTGAAGGAGTCCAAACCAATCGTCTTCATCAGTTGAATGTCCTCCTGCATATTCATGCATGCATAAGCTCATCAATTAATATAAGTAATTACACTTTACCAAAAAAAAAAACAGATCAATACAATGAAGTTTGGATTTTGGAAGAGTATAAATATACGTATGTATGTATGTATTGTAGGGTACATACCTTGAATCTGTGGTAGAAATCGTCGGCTATGTCTCCAGTACTACCATTCATTATCTTCTCTGTTGTATTATTATTATTATATAATAATAAAGAAAAATTAGTATGTACACGCGTCATCAGCAGGCTGGAAATTATACACGTAAGGTCGTCACAGTGGAATACATATAATGGGTCATAGTCATACTGGTATATATGGTCCAAAATGGAATACCTGAATTCTGTTTCATCGTTTTGGGAAATATATTTGAACACAAGTGACGACTGTCGACATTAAATATTTGACAAATAATGCATGCTATCATATATATATATATATATAAAAACCCCACCAACCAGTTCGTTATACCGTATATTTGCTTTCTCAAAGGAAAATTCAGTATTAATTAAGGTTGATAAGGGAGCGGGAGGAGAAACCTGGATGTTCTGTAACAAATTTATCCCACACATTTGGTCCCTTTCCGTACGTAGAAAATAACGCTGCTCCTTCAGACTGCAAATCAAGCACGCACAATTATAAGCAAAATGAAATAATAATAATAATAATAATAATAATAATAATAATAATCATAATAATAATAATAATAATAATAATAATAATAATAATAATAATAATAATCGATCGATCATCGATCGGTCGATGAAAATTCATCACCTGGTAAGCAGCAGTGCCAGCTCCAAATACAAAGCCACCGGGAAAGCTGCTTCGACGGCTCAAATCCTTCGCCGGCAGCCCATTATTCCTGATCGCTCCGGCGGCGGCGCCAGCGCCGCAGATAGTCGACGAGATCGTGGCCAAGACGCTGCAGTAGAACAAGAACAGAATCCAGTGACCGCTAACCATACCCATGAAATGAACCATTATTTATGCCGTTGTACAACAAGACTTGCAAGTTGCATGCATATATATTATATATATGACGTTGTATATATGGTCCGGCTGATGTGTGAGTAGTATGCGGTTCAACTTTCAGAGTGAAAAGTTTCATCGGGAGTTGTGTAATCTGAAAGTCGTAGGTCAATTGAAGCGAGCGAATTTTGGTTGTATTTGTAAGAGTGTGCATGGTATAATATCCAGCATAACCTTTTCTCAACAACTCGAGTTATTGGATCAACTGGCTCTTGACATGGTATCAGAGCCTAGAACCGAAAGGTCATGTGTTCGAATCTCCATGACCCCCAATATTAACAGTTTATATTAAAGCACAAGGTATGGTGGGGGCGTGCAAACTTCAACCCGTGAGGGAGATCGACGGTGTATATCATATTAACAGTTTAAGTAAATAACATCTTGTGTGATTATCAACATACCAATCGGGCACTTACAACGAACTAATAACAAAATACCATATGATTAGAATCTTGCAAGATCACGGTTTAAATCTAAAAGAGAAGCTACTTAATTACTCTCGTTGTTATACTAAGTTACTAACCATCATTCCGTCCATTTGAAGACGTCCGAATAAAATTAGTACAATACAATCCTTTGCCATAAATCCCCACCATTTCTTTATTTTTCATAATAAAGCCGGCCGCCACCCATTTGGCCACTTCTGTTCCTTTGCACTATATATTTCCTTTCTCTTCATAAGCCAATTGGCCTTATCCATCTAAGATCTAACCATGCAGTTTTACTGCTACTACAGTTTACAAGGGTGAAAGAAAGTAAAACATTTAGCCAAAGGTAAAGAAAGAGAAAAGTAAGGTCATTGGCCAAAGGGATTGATAACATGACTTAGAGATCCATTTGATGGATAGACTGGTATGAAAAAAAGAGAGACAGAGAGTTATCATAGGCGGTATTTCATTATTTCATTGCGACTGTGAAAATATTATTCCCTGCGGAATTGAGATTGTTGTCGGCGAGAGTCAATTCTATAAACAAAGTGAGAAGTATACATGCACAACCCCATACCGAAAACACATAGGAAATGGAGGAGAAGATTAAAATGCTCTTTCGTCGTCCACTTTGCTTCGTTCGAGTTTTTTCTCCCTCCCACCCCTCATCGAAGCTAATAGAAAGAATGATTATGTAAAAAGAAACAAGAGGAAAGTTTAAATAATCATTATTATATATTATTATTATTATTATTATACTTACAACTCTTTGATAAATGATAACATTTGAATTATCTTTTCTTATATTTAAGTATTTTTCTTTCCACATCAGTTTATTGCATGGTAATAGGTATGTTCGTATTTTATTAATCACATACCTCGCTACAAAGTGCGGATAATATATGATAATAAAGAAATGCGTGTTGTTCCGGATAGTTGTTTGTTTTGCGTAAATATGGAATATGTGACGGCAATATGAACACAAATATGCATATGAACCGCTGATAAGTAGGCATTAATAACACAATTAAGTTGCACGTTTTTTTTTTATATAAATTCCATTTTATTTATTTAAGTTTAAATAGGCTTTCCTGAAGAACAGTCGAATGTTGGGCTTTTAATTTGGCAACCGGCCTCGTCAAAGTCGATATGTGAGCTTGGTTTTGGGCCTGGCACTGGCAGCATAGGATCCAGTAGCCTGTTCAACGGATATCTTAACATGCCACAAATGGGAGTAGTTTGGTCGCAGTAATTCTGCTAGATCAAATCCTTATTCACCCGTCAACAAATATTTGAATGCAAATTAACTCTCTTAACGAGAACAATGCTCGTCTTATGACTAACCATATATCACTTTATGTAATTGTTTTACTGCGCGAAACTCGTCGTAACGATCAACGATATGGTAAATACAAAACTCTCAAGGATGCTGATGCGCTCTAAATTATTCAAATCAGTACTTATGCCAGTTGTGTGTGTTTGATTTGAAATGTCATAAGACACGGCACGGGGGAATTATAAGTAGAAGCATAAATTCTGCAGACCCCACTGGCGGCTACTAGGTAGAGAAAGGAAAACCATCATGATTCATGGCACAATTCCACGGCAGAGAGAGAGAGAGAGAGAGTATTAATAACGAAACCAGCTGCTAGCTAACTAGCTTCTTTCTTTCGTGGAGAATTTGGTTACCTTTTTCCGTAACTAAAATGGCTCTGAATATTCAGCTCAGGAGGGGCCTTAAATCATTGATTAGCACATATACTTACTACTGGTATTAAAGTTTGTGGCAACCCTATATACGGCTAGGACGGCCATGAGCAGGTTCGGGGCGGGTTTCTTGATACCAGATCCGCTCGTGACAGGTCGGGTAATTTATCATGGGTCGCATGTTGGTGCAGGTCGACTCAATGGGTATACAACTTATACGAAAAACATTAGAAATATTCATTATTTTTACTATAAGACCAAGAAAACAAACAATATTATGATAAATGTAGTTAAATTATTAGAGAAATTGAGGTTTTCACTAATTTATAACTTTATTATAGCTAAATTATGATGTAATAAAAGAAAAATCCTAAGTATTTGACTAAGATTACATGTAATTTAGGCAATAACGGGTCAAGAATGGGGCGGGTCAGGGCAGGTCGGGTCGATGAGAGTACCTATGCCCGCTCCGCCCCAAAACAGTCCAAACAGGTCGGGTAAAACGGGTCGGGTCAAAATTACCATCCTATATACAGCTGCCTGCAGGCAATAATACTCCTGGAATAGTAATGGCAAACAGGTGGGACATGGCGGGTATCTTAATATCCAAATGTATTACGCTCCAAGTACAAATCGGGTCGGGTAATACTCGACAGGACGGGTTCGAAATGTCATCCCTATCCTTACTAGGATAATGTGGATACTATACATTACTCAGTTGGGTAAATAATGCCCATTCACTCTTGGTGGGCAATTAGCTAAAAGCTAGCCTTAGTTTTTTCCTCTTGATAGATCATGTGAGCTGATGAATAAATTGCAGTGTTCCATATCGGTAATTAATAATGACGGCTGCTGGGGTTGATTGATTAACTTCGTGGCGGTGGGAGGAAGAAAAGTTGGTTCAACTACTGCTGCTGCCCTGCCCTGTGAAATGGTTGAATTTACATGCATTCATGTTGAAGTGGATGGCTTGAGCTGGACGTGAATCGATCTGCTTGGCCACTCTACCTAATCTATGAATCACATGGCAGAATATAATGGCTGATGAATAGACTTGGTAAATGAGGACCCGACTCGTTGATTCGATCCGAACCCGTCCGAAAAATAGAGAATGAGTTTAGGTTTTTATAACACGAAATCCGAATGATCCGAATCTGATTAATTAACCCGTAGTTTTTTTTGTCAGGTTGGGTTGATTTGTTGGTCGATCCGCTAGACCCGTTTCATTGAATATGTCACTCTCAAAATGATAAAATCACTCATACTTTGGTGAGATGTTGAAAACAATTTATTAGGATTTGAAAGACAAGCTTGGAGTCTAAAGATAATCAAACATCATTTGTTTATTGTAGTAGTATTACTTTTGTCATTGTTTTTTGACAATTTGTATTTATTTTCATTAGCATGGAGGGAGTTGAGCATTTGTTAATTGACATGTGCTAGACAAACTATTGTCACACATATGTAAAAATTTGTGTTTTTAAAAAATTTATGAAGCATGTTTGATATTGATTCTGAGAACGCTCATGACCCGACATGACCTGAAACCCGACCCGAAACCCGATGGATTGGGTCAATATTTGACCCGAAATAAGCAAACCCATCATGACCCGACCCATGAAGACCTGTAACCCGAGATTCCCAACCTGAAATTACCCAACCCGATCCGATTGCCATTGCCATGTCTACTGATGAATGTGTTGGTTTTCTGTTCAACGATCACAGGGGAAGAAACACTATTGGGTTGGGTTGGGCCGGCCGGCGGGCCTAATCTCCATTAATCCAGCGACCAGCAACACTTAGTGTCCGTACGTATGCTTATTGCTGGTGGTGGTGGTGATGGCTGATTTATGTTTCATCAAATCAAAGCATTTAAGAGTGGTAGTAGAACATTTTACAAATTGCATTCAAAACATCTTTGATTGTTATCTAGTTGAATATAGCGTGTTTTCATTTTTTTTTATTATTTCTAATGACAACTGTAATCATTTGGTTGTTTCATATTTTCACGATTCTATTGTCACTCTACGTTACCTTTTTTTAGTTGGATTAGGGTAAGTTTGATCAAGCCTCTCTAACACGATTTTAATTTTCCGCCCAAACAAAGGCACTTTCATTGTTAAGAAATAAGAAGCAGATATGTGTGATGTTTTTAATGACTCAATCTCATTGACACGTTTTTATTGTGTTTTGCACCTGATATATTTACCCAACGAATCGTTTCCCTTCTTTTAAAGGGAAGTGGCAAACTAGCTATATAGTAGTGATGTTACCACGGATCAAAAGTTTTTATTATCATTTCGGCCAGTGACCAATATTTAATATAATTTCTATGTACATATGGTATACATGCCTAGGTTGAGCGTGATTTGATCCACAATCTGGCTAAATCAAATATTAGACAGGAATAGAAAAATATATTTGTTGACCCTGTGATTCTATCCAATTCAGTATTATTTTTTCAATTATATTCGTTTTTTTCCATTTATTTATAAGAGACTCTATGACATTAATTAAACCCAAACCAAATAAGGATTCAATTCAACCCCACCGGTAACGGATCAAGTCAGTAAACCTTATGGTGAGTAACTATGAGTAACCCGCTCACATTAGCATGATATCAGCATCCTCTCTCTCTCCTGGAAAACCTTTAATTTTCCCCTACTTAATCTTTGACGGACGATTTCTCACTCGTTTTAAGTCGAAATTTAATTTTTTTTTTGCACAGTTAGATAAGATTAATTGTGCCCTTCAAAATGATATCCACTTTGATATATTTTTTGAACAAAAAAAAATTGAGCCATTTTTTACTAGTCTATACCATATGGTATTGACTGGTATTGAAATAAGAGCATACCTATGGTTTGAAAAGCGTACCATGGTGGTATGACACAAACCAAAACTGTAGGATGGTTGAATACATGATAGTAGAAGTATATTAATTGTCATTTACTACTTTTAACATTGTATACCATAAGATACCATAAGTCCCGTACCAGGGGTGGTATTGTATGGTATTGTGTGGTATTTTTTGGTCTTGTAATTTTTTCACCCAGAAATTTGTAGATCCAATAGATCATGATAAACTCGTCCCTGCCGTGCAAACGTTTTAAAAAATGAATTAAAAATGAAGAAGATAACATATGGTATGCAGTTGGTACCGAGAGGCCAAAATTTATTTTTCTCAAAAAATATTGAAAATTGATCTCATTTTGTAGAGCACGATGAACTCGTTCCATCTGTGCAAAAAAAATTAAAACGAAAAAAATATGAGTCAATTAATAAAGTTAGAAAAAATAAAAATGACATTTACTTCTCCATTCTTAGATCTGAATTTTCTAAATGAGTGGTCCAGATTTGGTTATTGATAGGTGTATAACCATGTCCTAAGCCCCGGTGGCGGTAACCATACATAAAAAAAATGTGCGCAAAATTACAGGAAACTAAATATCTATCGACAAAATGGGGGAATAAATATTCAATGGCAAAGAGGGAAAAAATAGAAAATAGGGGAAAAAAAAAAAACAAGCCGGCGATGGGTTTTGAGAGAGGGTCTCAGTTGCGGATTCCGGCGGCGGCGGGATTTTGTTGTCGTCGGTTCAGGAAATCATGGAGCAGAACCGAGCTCTTACACTTGGGACACTTGGGCTCCACCTCCGACAGCATCACGTACATCAGGCACCTCGGACACCCCACCACCATCATCCGCGCCGCCGCCGGAGCCGTCGTCGTCCCTTCCTCCTCGGACACGCACGAGCTCTCCCAAGAAGAGCACATCGACTCCGCCGCCGCCGCCGACTCCTCGTCGTCGTCGTTAGGCAGGGGAGACAGGTTCAGCCTCAAATCCAGCTGCTGACAGCTGGCACCTCGATTACTACGCCGCCGCCGCCCCATCCAACCTGAGAACAACAAATCATATACATAAAATGAAAAGGGAAAAAACTCAAAATTAAAAGACGGAAAATTGGAGAAAAAAAACATATAAACAGTAACATGTCATGTCTATAGCTAACGGAAGCAAAACCTGGTCGGGGGAAGAATAACGGCGTGTGGTCGGAAAGTATGGCCGGCGGCGGGGAGGGCGTATACTGCTTTGTATTGGAAGTTTGGGCGGTGGAATGTGGATATATATAGTAGGCTGAGGGGAAATTAATCTGGGTTAGATTAGATGAATGTAGTTGAGAAATTTGGTTTGGTGTAATATCTGATAGTTATGGATCGCGATGGCAATAATTAATAAGTTTTGGGGGTAAAAGGAGAAAAAAGGGTGGTTAGGGTTTTCTGATTAATGATGGTGAAGTTAATTAATATGGGGAAGGAAAATATAGTTGGAGATTTAATATTCGAAACCATATCCACCTCTCTGCTTTTTTTAGGCTTGTGTCTTGGTCTCTAGAGATGTTTTTATTCAATGTAAAAGTATGGTAGAGCGAGCATTAAACTTCAAATTTTGTGTGTCATACCTGTAGATGTTCACTATCATCTGACTCATTTATTGCTTCTTTACAAATTGGTTTAGAAAGTAAATGGTCGAGAGAATACTTAAATTGTCCGTTACACTCGAGACTCACCGTATTAGTTAACGAATAAAGGAAAAATACCCTGATCCTAGTGTCATACACATGTACATGAAAATCTGATGAAACCGCGCCCCACACAACTTGTGTAACGAGTCTATTTTAAGATAAAATGAAACGAATGAAATTAAGAGGGTGGTTTAGCTAACTAGCCAAATCAAATTCACAAGTCATTTATTACAAGGATTGAATGTTGACTACTGCATTGAAACGGTTGACAGGCAGGCAGCTATTGCCCAATTTTTGTGTTATCTACATATGTAGTTAGTCTTAGTCTTAACTAATCATGTGAAAGCTCAACAGAAATGGGGTGTTTTCCCCTCCTAATATTGGTGATAATCATATATGGTTCATTTAATCTGAGTTCATTGACTTTTGATTTTGACTATACATGTCTTCAAGAATCAAGATATGCATGCAAGCTAAGCTGTTTGGCAAGGAACCTGGACTTGTTATGATCCCTACATATATCCTTTCCCTTCCCCAAAATTCAATTATGTTGCAGAAGATATTATTGGCAACAGGTTCACAGACCTTCCCCATTTCTTTCTCCTTCACCGGTTTTCACTAATGGAAGAAGGTTCATCATCGTCCTCAATCAGAGATCCAAAGCTCAAAACCAGTAACTAACAACATTACTTTCTCCTGTTGCCCCTTGCAAGATTATCCGAAGCCACGACTGATGCGAATATTGAAATACACGTCCATCTCATTTCTCATACTTGAGCACTTTCGGCATCGAGAAGAGACAGTATATAGATATCCCATCTTCAACATTTTTGTTTTTTTTACATTTGAGGCTTAACAGAACAAATGCAGAGGTACAAGATTTACAACTTCTCAAGATGGAACAGTCAGCTAACTAAAAAGAACAGATGATTAGCTCAAATGAGGGACTTCTCCCAGTCCAATGGTGATCCACACAGGGGGCTGCAATTTGGGTGGTGTGAAAAAACACATCTTCGAAGCACATGGGAGAAGGGAACTAATGGTATCATTAGTATTACAAACAACAGCTTAATCCTCTAGAAACTGCTGTCTTTCGAGTTCGATAACATGTTCGGTCAAACTATTTGCAGTTGCAGTCGACGTTTCGTTGTTGCACTTGCATTCTGATAGTTGCTGCCTAAGGTCCCGAACCAGCTCGTTCAGCTTGTGAATGTTCTTCTCTTGTGAAAGGATAATCTGCGAGAAAAGATGTTCACAGTTATTACTTGAGTGAAAGAGGACCTGGCTTCACCAGGTTTCATGTCAAAGTATAATCCTTTCATTTCATTGTCTATGGTAAACCTACTTTCGACAGACACATCCAAGTTATTAGAAGGAAGAACATGTCCATTATTCAGTACTATAGTTCAGAACCATGTTAAGGAGTATATGTGAATGAGAACAAATCTAAATGTTAGCGAAGAACATATTGCGGATTAATTCCAAACTGACAAGTTGTGAGGATTACACTGCAGATCAGAATAAGCAACTGAAATACAAGCATTACTCAAGTTCTTCAAAGAAGGGACAATACAAGACGAGCTGACACAAGTTCTAAGGTTTCCAACAGTTAAGCTATACCATGGAATACAACTAACTAAAGACAATGGTCAAGGCAGGCACCACCATGGTAACCATAATCTTAATCACTTGTAGTTATTATTATCTTTCATCAAGTTAACCACATCTTATATATTCAGTTATAAAGACAGAACGCTGTCTCAAGACAATGTACGGAAGTTAATCCCAGAGTAACTAAAGCAAGTTCGGTTCGGATAAGCCTAACTTCAGCCAATGATACCCTTATGCTAAAATTAGCAGGAGAGTCGCTATATACAAACACCTAGGAGTGAATCTTGATACGCTATATTTGCACATAACTTTGCAGTGCTTATGAAACTTCTCCGACTTTTTAGTCCCAAAAGTAAGAGTATTGGTCCGAATCAGCATTCTAATCTACTAAACTAAGGCACAACAAAGTCATTAGCTAAAGATGCAGATCTCTCTTCTCCACGCAAATAAAATCCTACCAAACATCATGTATGAGGCCCAGAAAAATTGGATTTATGCAAATGATCTTGCCAAATCACAAAATGTTCACGCCAGTTACAAAAGCAAGTTGGATTAGATTCTGCAGAAATCTTTCTGCAACGGGGGACCAGCTCAATAGGTTCTCAAACACAAGATTAATGCATCGAAATAATCACATCAAATGTCCACCAATAGTTCAGTTGGGAAAGTCCAAAACATGCTTGCTACAGGAGCTCATGTGTGTGCTTTGGCAGTGTTTAAGAGTAAACAAAAGTCAGTCTAAGCTGAAGAGAACCTCTGACAGTAATTCATCAGAAACATTTCGCCTAACGATTAAGGAAAGCTAGTTGGCACGTAGCTGTATTGTCTGCTAACCAGGCAACATAAGGTTGGCCATGGAACTAGAAATCACCTGCCCTTTAGACATACTATCCCTTTGAGCCAAACACGAAGAAGTAAAAGATGAAAACAAGTGGATCTAACTTAACAAATCCCTGAAGCATTATGTATGCACAATAGTGATACAAAGGATTGCACAACAAATACCTTCTCCTTGACAGCTTCTTCCCTCTTTGATAGTTGTTGCTGTCTAGATGTTATCCCAGGAGTTGGGTCAATATCATTTACAAGTTGTTGTCTCCATTCAAACTGAGAGGTGATTATGAATATAAGCAGCAGAAAGACAAGTAGCATAGGCCTTGACATCGCAACAGGAGAGAGCTGGGAGTTCTCTTACAATACCTGCTCAACGACCAGATCATTAGTACAGTATACATCAATAGCCAAATCCAGAAATGAAAAGCAAAGGAAAGACCAAGCAGCACTACCCACTTGAATGTTTAGTTTACTCTATAAGATATGCTTGCATTCCAATATGAACTTCGACTTCAACAAATACCACCTCCCAAGCCCCAAAGAACCAAGTTCGTCTAACAAAACCAATGAGCCCTAGCTAAGCCCCTTTGGATAAAAAGTTCACAACTTCAGCCAGTTCACTATCTAATTCTAACCTAGCATATAGCAGTCACTAAAACAAAGAAATCCGCTTCCACTTCATTCAATTTCCGCAATTTCTTACGCCCCGCATGAAAATCGAAAACCCAATTCGAGGAAACAGAACATTCAAGAATCCAAATCGAAGCACGAGGGAGGACAAAAGGAACTTACAGATCGAAGAAGAGAAGAGAACCCCAAATTCATGGTCGGGGAAAAGATGCTTTCTTTCACTGTCTCGAGGCGGGAGAAGAAGGGTAGTTGGAGATGGATAGCGGGGGGGAAAAACTAACAAAAGCAGAAAGCTGGAAGCAACGCGCGACCCTGCTTCTTAGGGAAAGCCTACTCCTTTTTGGCTGTAGACTTGGATTACGATTAATCGATTTGGTGGCGGGAGTAAAGTGAAGTGTTTAGGAACAGGGAGTTGACAAAGAGATAGAGAAGGAGAGCTTAATCACAGAGCGGTAATGGCGGAAACTAGATTCGTTTAGGGACAGGAAAGACGGAGAAAACCGCGTTGCTTCGCTCCGTTGGTTGGTTGGTGGTGTGGGACTGTCGTTATGTTTCTGTTAATTCGCTCTTTTTCGTTTCGTTATGGCGGCAGCTCTTTTTTACTTTCTTAACTAAATACTTAACCTCTGCTAAATTGCCATTTCTTCCACATGAATGATCAAATAAGTCAAGTCAGAATTAAGCATAAGGCAAATAGCTACAATATAGACCGCAACAACTTGATTATATTGATTGATCGGCTCTAATAGTATAACAAAATCCATATTTGACGATACTACATTTTCATAGTTTCGAGATAATTAATGAGTTGACAAATTTTGATAAATGATAAATCTTTTTACACTCTCAATGAGACATTCCTTCTAATTCATTAAACAATTCCCAACTGACCTAATAAATCGTACATTCAAAGCATTCCGAATTTTACTTCATTCCGAGTTTTACTTTAGAGTTCATACATCTAACACAACAATGTAAAAATACGAAGGTAACGTCACACGTAACGTTCGAATTTTCATGACGTCACAACTTGTCATTCCTCTTCAATGCTGATTTCAGCAATCCACAATAGACCAATTGAATGCAAAAAACCACTATTTAAAAATCTAATGTTACAACAACCCAAGGTCAATGCTTGTACTCAATGGGAGCATTATCCTAAAACAAAATAGCCTTTGACTTTGTCATCCAATGGAATCTCCATCTTCCACATAAGAAAAACTAAAGTCAGCAGTCAGCACTAATAAACCCCGAAAGAAGCTAAAAATAATCTATGGTAAAGAAACGAAATGGAACTAAAAGAGAACAATAAATAATCTGAACAACCAACTCTCACCATAACCATGAATGAACTTCCTTCTTTTCAACTATGTATATCCCCACACCTTCCTAGTTTTTCTCTCAGCCTACTAAATCCCTAACATTTGTAAAAGAGAAACAATTCTGAGATAACAAAAAATTAATCTGATTTTGAACAGACAAGGTCAGTCACGATGCTTGAGCACCAATCCTGAAACTCTCTTCAAGCATTCACAAGCCTTGGTTAGATCAGCCTCCGTATGGCCAGCCGAAACGAACAATCTGATCCCCACGGGCAACCGGCACTTGTCAAGCACAGATCTTTTGGAGGTCACTACGAACACCGAGTCTTCCTTCAGAGCCTGCATAATGAAATGAGGAAGGATCAGCGATCAAAAACAGAAATTCAGTCCGTACACACTTGCATCGTACAAGCAGCAGCAACGTATAAAAGGTGGGTGATTGGAAAATGGAAACCAAGTTATCTTACACGTTCGGCAATTTCTTCGAGGAGTTCCATGTCGCCTTTTATCGATCCTGTGGATTGCTCCAGTTTAAGGAAAACAATTGGTGATTCTGGACTGCTTGTCACGGTGAGGCCTTGTATGCCGGACAACCCTGCAGTTGTGGAAAGAGAACTTATATACAAAATCTAGCCACCAAAACCAGTTTCATCTTCACAGCTATTCTTAGAAGGAATGCTCACATCCACATTAATTCAACTTTTTCTAAAACCTTTCCAAGCACAATTTTCATTCTCTTCTACTAGTACTAAAGCTTAAACAAAATACACCCAATACCAACTTATAAGGAGGCAATAAATGAAAATATGATCAGAACTTACCCTTCAACAGCAAAGAAATGTTCTTTTTCAGCTTTACTATCAGCCCAGGATTCTCCTCAATCATATCAATAGCAGTAATAGCTGCACTAGCGAGATATGGGGGCAACGATGCAGAGAAGACATAGCCAGAGCTGCTCAATCGCTGATTCAGAATAGAAACTGTTAGTTTTAGAAACTAGAAAGAGACCCCAGGCCACAGAATCATCATCCAAGTCTATAATTAGTTCGAAATTTAGATTTTGGAATATATGCCATACTTGGTGATCAACCACTCTACTACTGCCAGTACAGAATCCTCCTTCGGTTGCTAAAGCATGCCCCATTGCAGCAGTTACTATATCTATCTTTTCAACCTACAAGGCAGGAGCAAAAAATGAGAGTTTAAGGAAGAAACATAAAAGGACGAACAGTTTTTTTCTTTATTCGGTAAACTACAGATGGAGATTATGGCATACCGGAACCCCACAGTATTCAGTAAGACCTCTTCCAGACTGGCCAAGCACACCAAATGAGTTGCTCTCATCCAAAAAAACACGGAACCGGTATTTCTCCTTCAGCTTGATGATCTCATCCAAAGGAGCTATTTGACCAGAATTCTACATTTTCAAGATCAGAACAAGTAAAGCTTGGAAACACCTTTTGTCGTTGAGAACCATAGGGAAAGAAGAAAAAATATCGCTGCTGGAATACCAGCACAATCAATAGTTATGTAAGCACACAACACAAGTAAATGATCTTCGCAGCATGAGACAAACAAAAACAAGAAAAATATGAAAAGGAAATTAAACAGCCAAACATTCAACAGATATTGCCAAGAAAGGTCAGAACAAAAATGTAACACAATACATATATCTCCCTTTGTTCTTTTTCAAAACTCACAAGCTATAAACTAGTAAGATAACTAGAAACATATTAACTAAAGCATGTTGTCCAGTGACACTATGAGACAAGATGTAAGAGCTCATCAGGAATCACAGAAGAAAAGTACCTGGTACACAGATTCAACAACTATGTAGCGCCGCAACTTCTTGACACGTTTATTATCTGCAGTAATTTTTTCTAATGTGTCGTGCAGAGACTTCATATCATTGTGCTTGAAATACACAATGGTGCTTCTTGACAAATGAAGTCCATTTTGTATTCCCCAGTGGACACCTTCATCCCTATAAGTAGGCAAGAGTCTCGAAAACTTTCATACAGAGTACATAAATCACTAACAAATCAGACTTAATACCTAAGATCAACCTTTAAATGTCAGGTCCTAAAACGGCAATGTCTTGAACAAGTATTAACTTGATGCATGAAAACATAGATAACTAGTAACGTTTGAGTGACTGCCTAAAACATAGCCCGTCCATTATTAGCAATTAACTTCGCCGGAAAATAACTAATAAAAGTTGGAAGATGTGTACGACAAGAGGTTTGGTGTTGAAATTTAGAACTGAGAATCCTTGTAGCTGGGTAAAACATGAACTAACTAAAAGGATTTTAGCTCTAAATTTCAGCACCAAACCTCTTCTCATACGCATCTTACTACTGTAGTATAATTTTCCAGTGAACTTAACTGCTAATAAATAAAAAGAGTTAAACACTGCTGATACTCACACAACAATGACGTCGCCCTTCTTTGCAAAACATGGAATTGCACTGAACATGGTGGAAAGGCCATATGAATATAGAATTGAGTCTGGTGTTCCCAAGAATTTTGATATCCGGCTTTCACAATCGAGGTGGACATCTAGAAGAAGAAAATCTATTAGACCACAAGCAACGCCAATATATGCTATCAGAGATATGCTCACTTAAGTCTTACCAATGGTCCCGTAGAAACCACGAGGACCACAAGAACCGACTCCATACTTTTCCAGTGCAGCAGTGCACGACTCCTGCATTACAAGTTTGCTGTTAGCATTGTGTTTATACAAGAATCGTTCAAAAGAAAATGAATTCACGACAGTAACAGATTTTCTAACCTGAACTTTCTCATGTCCTACTAAACCCAGATAATTAGCAGTGGCAAAATTTACAACTTCTTTCCCATTGATTATAACATGCGGGCCTGCAGCACTGTATCAAACGACACTAGTGAGCAAGGATGGTATTTGCAGAAAAAGAGAGGGGGGGGGGGGGGGGGGGGGAGTAAGAATGGTGCATGTGAACCATTATCTGCAGTTCTGCATACTTGTATTATTATAATCAGCTAATCACTTACAATATCTATGCAATGCATAGGTTAGGTTATAATCCTAGGCAAAGTCATATTTCAGAGAAGACAACATACCAGATATCATGTTAGACACATAATTTAACAGGTGACCAAACTGGATAGATAGCCCCTTTGTAAGGCACAACCTAGTTTCAACAATAACTTTCCTTCTGACTATAAAATGATATATCGGGGATGCACCTTCTGTTTCGGTAAGGAAATTATTTGTATCACCTAATCAGGAGATGAGTGGGGTTCATTCTTCAATATGTATACATAAAGTATATTCCTAAAGATACTGCCACAATATTCATCTATTAAATCATAGCAAAGCCATGAGCAGTCTTCAATAACATGATACAGGAGATAGTATATTGAAAGGTTAAGAAACGATAAAGATCATCAGAAGAGTAATTCTGAAAGGAGTCAACAGATCTGCAAAGACAAAAAAAAGTACACAAACCTTTCCAGCACTGGTGGCTGGTATTCCATCTCCTTAGTAATGGAAGGAATCAGGGGCTCCGGAACCCAATCGTCGCACAATTCATCTATTTCCTGAACAAAACTACATTATGTTAGCAATCCCATACAATTCTCTTATATTTTGACGAGTATAAAATGCCATCCTTGATATTGCATCTTCTGCAGGTTAAAGAGAAATTTAGTTCGAAAATACAACTCCATCTTAAATTGAATGAAACGAAAAGCAAAGAGCCACAACAACAGTAACCTTTTTCGTCAAAGGCCGTTTAGGTGGCTTGTAACTTTTCTGGGAGAGCAGGAAAAGGATCACAACTAGTAAAAGTCCTTCAACAAAATAATGACCTGCACCAGGAAAAGAAACCAAACATCACATATGAATTCCAAAACATAACTAGCATGGATCTGCAAGAGATAAAGAGAAAAAGGAAAAGGAAAGAACAATCACCTCCAATATGGACTCCAAAAACAACTGCTCGAGCAGAAGGAGCATCCAAAGCCTGTGTTACCCAATTTACAGTACTATTCAACATGTTCAACCCATACGAGGCCATTGTACTGAACTGCAATTCAAACCAAATGTGATTACTTGAGCATTCCCTATATGACGCAATAGTTATAGTTTGCAACAATCATATCAGATATGCACCACAAGTGCAATATGAGGCATGAGCTTTGGAAGGCGAGCTGACATACTCATGGCACCACCATATCATAAATCATCACAACTCAAAACCAAGTCACGACATGCATATGGATCTACCATCAAAATTAGCTAATTTTACAAAAAACAAAAATGGAAGCAAAAGAGCAGCAGTGGGGAAGAAGAGGGCATGGAGCTGATGAACGAATTGAACACCAATCAGAAAAATGTAAGAGGTCCATGATACAAAATTCTCATAACTGAATCCTGAATCGATAAGGAAAGAAAGTAGGGGTCCTGAAAAGTATGCTCCTTCGCAACTAAATACTCAGCTTATATCACTTCCAAAACAAAAGAAGGAATGAGAAATTGGGCAGAAATCTGGAAAAAAACCCAGTTCCAGGAATGGAAAGAGAGGTCATATTGATCAGCACAGGTAGTTTTCAACTCCGTGCTAAAAGAAGCGATGTAATCAGAAACTTTGGGCACCCATCACCACACAAAATCAACTTAAACAGCAGAGCTCCGCTTCCAGATTGATCAACACAAACAGACAGTTGCTGGATCTCAGAATAAGCAGGAGAAATCAGCCATCAATTCACACCCTAAATCTGCTCACATACGCACTGAAACTAGATTGAACAATGAGGTCAGAGAAAGAATTACCCACCACCAGGAACGGCCAACCAATGTGGCAGGCAGCGATGCTTGACCGCTCTCAATCAGCTCCGTCCGCCTCCCTTTCGATCTGCAACCGAACTCGCTCCCCCAAGCTAAGCTTCTATTTGTATAAGCAACTCCCTTTCCAAGCTCAGCTCTCTTCGCTCTCCGACAAGCAGTAACGCCCAACGGAGTTCGACAAGAAAGCCGCCGTCTCCGCGGAACCTCAATTTCAACCCCGCCCTTCTCTCTTACTACCAAAGATCGCCGGAGCGTAATAGAAGCGTGCCGCAGTGGCGCCGGTTGCAGCCGCCGACAGAAGAAGACTAAAACCCTGCTCCGGCGGAGTCCCTCTTGCAATCGATCTCCTCCCGCCTGCTTCCCGCGGATCCCAGAATCGGCTTTCTCCACTTATGATACGCTCTCTCTCTCTCTCTCTCTCTCTCTCTCTCTCTCTCCACTGGATTCAAAATTCCGAACTTGGGATGCAAATTCAAAACCAGTCCTCCGAACTTAGATTTATTACAAAATCATCATCGAACTTCTCAAAACTTGTCAAACATGCCTTCCCTGTGGATGATTTTCCGCAACTTGAGAGGCGGACGACATGTCACAAGAGTCCTTGAGTCGGCATTTCACATCGAATTGTATTGTTCTTCTGAATTTTGGTGAGACTAAGACGTGAGATCAACGTAAGATTTCTTTTACATCTAATTACACCAGACAACGATTTGCAAACGCACCAAACACGGGAATGGATCAGGTCAGTAACCTTATGGTGAGTAACCATGAGTAACCCGTCCACATCAGCATGACATCAGCATCTTCTCTCTCATAGAAAGCCTTTAATTTTTCCCTTTTTAATCTTTGACGGACGATTTCTCACTCATTTTAAGTCGAAATTTAATTTTTTTTGCACAGTTAGATCAGATTAATTGTGCTCTTCAAAATGATATCCACTTTAATATACTTTTCGAACAAAAAAAATTGAGTCATTTTTTACCAGCCTATACCATATGGTATTGACTGGTATTGAAATAAAAGCATATCTATGTTTTGAAAAACGTACCATGGTGGTATGAACAAACCAATACTGTAGGATGGTTGAATACATGATAGTAGAAGTATATTAATTGTAATTTACGACTTTTAACATTGTATACCACACAATACCACCCCGTACCAGGGTGGTATTGTATGGTATTTTTTTGTCCTGTAATTTGTTAACCCAGAAATTTGTAGATCCAATAGATCATGATGAACTCGTCCCTTCTGTGCAAACGTTTTCAAAAACGAATTTAAAACGAAGAAGATACCATACAATACCACCCCGTACCAGGGTGGTATTGTATGGTATTTTTTGGTCCTGTAATTTGTTAACCCAGAAATTTGTAGATCCCATAGATCATGATGAACTCGTCCCTTCTGTGCAAACGTTTTCAAAAACGAATTTAAAACGAAGAAGATACCATACAATACCACCCCGTACCAGGGTGATATTGTATGGTATTGTGTGGTATTTTTTGGTCCTGTAATTTGTTCACCTAGAAATTTGTAGATCCAGTAGATCTTGATGAACTCATCCCTTCTGTGCAAACGTTTTCAAAAACGAATTAAAAACGAAGAAGATACCATATGGTATGTAGTTGGTACCGAGAGGCCAGATTTTTTTTTCCTAAAAAAATATTGAAAATTGATCTCATTTTGTAGAGCACGGTGAACTCGTTCCATCTGTGCAAAAATAATTAAAATCCGAGTTAAAACGAAAAAGATATGAGTCAATTAAAAAAACTAGTGAAAATAAAAATAGTCTTTAATTCTCCATCCTTAGATCTGGATTTTCTAAATGAAGGGTCCAGATTTGGTTATTTATTGGTACATAACCCATGGTTATGCACCCTATCTTGAGCCCACCAAACACGTAGAAATGGATAAGTAAATTCGCAACAGAATTTAGGTGTGACCGTTCTACCTCAAAATGACACTAGCTATTCCAAACAGCATAAGAAAGAAGAGCAACTGTTCATATATGGCGGAGACCTCTCAACCATCCTCTATAAACGGACAGACACAAAAAAAAAGAAGCCATAAATACACAATACTAAAGACGGCAACACTTCTTTCTACCCTTCACAACCCGACCTGCTATTTACATCATCGTCGCCATTGTTTGTCGCAGTAGAGCTTCAGGTGCCTGACCTGAAGGACAACGACGGCAGATGGGCGACCTTCCTGATCTTCCCCGAAACCTTGTCGTGCCCAAACAGAGACCCGAACAACGTCAGCAACACAGCCACAACCAGCACCGTCGCCACGAACAGCGCCGCCACACCTTTCCCGCGCTTCTTCTTCACGAACATCACCAGCCCAACCGCGCAGCTCGGCACCTTCTTCTTCTCCCTCTTTTTCACTTCGTCTTCCCTTTCCTTCTTCTCTTTCGCTTCTTCCTCTAATTCTCTCGCCGCGGCAGCCACATTCCCAACCCTTCTCCGGCTCTCCAGCTTCACCCTCCGGTTCGCCGTCCCCTGCTGCTGATGCGGCGGCACCACCCACAGCGGCGCGAACCCCTGCATTGCGGCGGCAGCCGCCGAGACCGACACCGCCGGAGCAGCTAGCCCGCCGTCGTCGTCGAGGCTGACGATGTCGTCCTTGAGAATGTCGGCGTAGAAATCGTCCTCGTGGTTTTTCTTCGACAACCCGATCCCCCTGCACGATTCCTCCAGCATTTTCAGCTCGAACGGATCGTGGCGAGCCATACGGCTCGAGGACTCGGCACCGCCGCCGCCGTCGCGCTGCTCGATCGAGTAGGAGTCGGAGCTGCTGTCCGTCGTCTTCTTCGAGCTCTCCGCCCCATTATTCTCCATGCCGGTTCCGTTCCCATTGTTGTTGTTGTTGCCGGAGATCACGCCGTCGCAGTTACCGTGATGTCCCCTGAAATCCATGTTCTTCCTCAGTCGGCACACGACCAGAGAATCCTGCAAATTCTGTTTTTTTCCCCCACCAAATTAAAAAAAACCTCAATCTAGAATTTGAATAAAACAGAGGAATCGCAGAGCGACGAAAGAACAGGTCGGGGAAGGAATGAACGAGAGAAGGTTGAAGAGGATTCGATTACATGGCCGGCGCCGGAGTACGTGCAGTACTCGTGCATGATCCACTCGGTGCGCTCGCCTCTGGGGGCGCGGCCGATGTGGAAGACGAGGGTGCGTTTCGTGCCGATGACGGCGGAGCCCGATCGGACGCTGCGCTCCTTGCCGGTGGCTTTCCAGTAGCCGAGCTGCGTCGCCCTCTTGCTCTGAGAACCGTTGGGGTACTTCCGGCCTCGAGACGAGAAGAAGAACCACTCCGTCTCCGATTGGACTACCGATTTGGCTGTTCAGCAAAAAGACAAAAGTAATAAAAAACAAATAAATAAATAAATAAAAAGGAATGCTTCGTCATCGGGTAATTATTTTCGGTGGCGTGGCAGAGCTGGATGGCCTGGAGGTAACTCCACGTGGTAGCAAGTGTGGCACGTGTCATGGTTGCATTCAACCACATCACAAAAAGGCTACGTGTCACTTCGGCAAGAGAGAAAAAGTGGAGGCAAAGCATTGGGTGTTTCGATTGCATTCATCCCCATTCTATCTGAACTATTTTCTTTTTAATTAAATTCAAACAATAATCACAACAGTAATTATCCGATGAATTATCCAGAACAATGAACAATTACAAGTGTAAAATAGTGAAGCTATTAGCATTTCAATCTGGAAGTTTTCAGTTATTAAAGAGCTCCTAACGACGTTTGGAAGTTGTGAGGAATGGACAGGGCGAAGGTGCGGAAGAGAGAAAAAGAAAAGAAACCTGGCAAGTCCCATGGCTCGTGCCGACAGATCTCCACCTGAGGAATCACCTCCACGCATTTCTCGTCGCCGTCGATCTTCTTCCTCAGGTAGTAGGAGATCAGCTCGGCGTCCGTCGGCGAGAATCTGAACCCGGGGAACATCGACGACGCCTCGATCGACATCTGCGTCTCCCTCGACATCCCGCCGCCGCTACTCGACGCCATGTCTACCTTTCTTTTTCCCTTCTTCCGATGAGTGTTTTTTTTTTTTCTTCTTTTCTTTCAGGGGTTTGCTTTGTGTTCCTGAGAAAGCCTAGCTAGAAAGGAAAGCAAAGGATATGATAAAAAGGTTTATGTTTTACGTGTACTCTTCTCGCCGGCAAAAGCCAGCCAGCTGCTTTTTGTTGGCTTCACGATTTACAAGACCAAAAAAAAAAAACAGAGAGGGATTGAGATGGGATATTGGGCCTGGACTGGACCGTGTGGGTGGGGAGTCGTCTGCTTGGGCCGGTCGGTTTTGCTTTTGTACTGTTTTCCCAGTTGGGAGTTCAGTTCCCCTCTCAATGGCGGTTGTAGCCTCTCTGACAAAGTATTACGTAACGTTCCCGCTTTCACGCCACGTGTCCACCGGCTTCACTTCACGTGGCATCCACGTCAGCCTCGATTCAATCCACAGCCCGTCCACCTCATCATCGACGACGACAGCCATGTGACTTCTGCATTATCCCATTATATCTGGTTCTCGCCGGCGACTTCCACAACCAATAAGAAGCCAGTGAGAGTAACTACAAAACAAGCTTCTGGATAACCAATCAAAAGAGAGAAGCACGTTGGTTCTGTTAAATGAATGGTCAGGGTTGCATTGCCAGCGCCTGGACAAGGTCTCCAAGATACTTCTCGCCGGCTGCGTACTGTCTTTTCTTCTCCTCGATCGCCAGAGCCGCCAGAGCTTTGTCCTGCAATTTGTCTCAAAGATCAGATTTTTTACACCACAATGGAACCAAACGTGTGCACTGCTTGTTTTTTCATTTTTGTTTTACCGCGGGCAAGTCCTGGTAACTCCTCAGTGTATCCAAGATGGGTTTGGTCTCCTTCTCGAGCTCCTTTCTGTGCTCGCCTAATTCCACCAGCACCCTGTGGTTGATCTCCGGCGTGTAGCCTACACGGTTCAGCAGCGCCTGCCAGAAGACGGACGGCGACGACGGTTAGGAAACATTTATCCAGCAGCCAGTAAAACAAAAACAACACTCCCTGCTAAAACCTGACAATCACAATGGTAACCCAATAAAGACAACGGAAAGATCATGTCTTGGTTTCCTAGTAGTAAGCAACCCGCCTTTACAACGGGGAATTAAAAGCAATCAGCCAATCGGCAGGTGTCATCACTATCTGCAGATGCAGTGAGGCACCGCACACCAAATAACGTCACAGACAAGTTGGGAAAGGAAAAATGAGCCAATCCATCTACGTAGCCTTTGGAACTCGTTATGAGTGGTTCACTTTCCCCTGGGATCCTGTTTCTTTTGTTATCATCACAGTGAAGATCGGAACAAATTTCCTAAAAACACCGCAAGAACACCTCCAATAGGACCACTGTCCACTGCCATCAAACACCATTATCATGTTGATGCCATAAGGAATCTTCCCTACAGACCAGAGACTCAATAGATAAAAACAGTCGCCAACACTTCAAACAAGATGCAGGTGGCAGTGGATCTTTCCAATCTTAAACCTTTCCCACAGTTTGCAATGGGCAGGATCATCTCCGCAAACTGGTCTCAACAAGAGCAGGGCAGGAGCCATCTCTCTTTATGTCCCTACAAGTTGGCTACAACAACTATCTTTTCAATTCAACTCATATTATCTCTTGAGGTAGGAAATACCTAACTGACCCCCTCGTAACAATGAGAAATGCGACCACCATATAACTATCTTCTTCATCAATCCACATTATAGAAACAATATCCGAGAGAGGAGTGTCAGATCAACAGGATGGTACGGAACTCTAGTTTTAGCATAGAGAAATATGTCTTAGGAAGTGGAACCGATTCCAATACTTGCCATCTATACATGTACTCGGTGTTCATTAACAATGTTCCGTTACAGTACTTGGCTAATTACCTATTGCCATGGACATATTCAACACCATAAATAATTGGTAAGGAACCGAGAGGAAGCTCCAGCTTAGATTCAAAATATGCAGGCCTAGTTGTTGATGTAGCCGGGACTGGACAACTAATAATGGCGAAATTAAGCAAAGAAGGTGAATACTTGACTTTTGTGTTAGTTCCTGAACCATTACTACAATAGCTGCAAATGATAATAAACTCCTCAGCTGCGGAGATGCAAGTCACAGTCACACTGAGACTGGCACTAATGTCACATTTATATTGGGATAATGTAACAATGAATTTAAATGAATACTAACCTTGTAATTGGAATGCTGTTGAAAATACTGTCGCTCTTTTGATGCCATTACTGCCAAATTGGTCTTCCAGCTATCCATCTGATCCTCACAAGGGGCAACATCATCCTCGAGCTGTGCAAGGGTTCTACCAGAATAGAAATACCAAATGGACAACAGCAAAACAATCAGTCCATAAACCAGGGCTCTGAACTAGTAAACAAGATGAAAAGATCTGGAATTGAACAGCAAGGCATACCTTTTTAAGTACGTAAGCCTCGCAATCGCCTTTCGGGTGTAATCCAGCAGAACTTTGGAATCGTTCCTTACTTTAGCCCTCTTTTCCTCTACACCGGTCTTTCTCAAGGAAATGTCAGCAGCTGCTACTAAAAAACTGCAGAATTTCCCGTATTTCAACCTTCATATCCAAAAAGAGAACCTGATAATACACCCCGTTGAACTACTGAAACATACTACAACCCTACCTGCTTAGTTCAGTGTCTCTAATGTTCAACAAGTTGGCCACATTTGCAAGAACTTGAGCCGAACCCACCACATTGGAAGGTAAACTCTCTTGTGCTAGTCCAACATGCTCCAATATCTCTCTAACCCTCGCAGCTAAAGCAAAAACATTTTCACCAAACCAAATCGGATCACAAGACTCAATCCAAATAATGGTCGAGGAATTCATGACTAAAGACCAAAAATGTACGCTCTTCTTCGAAGAACCCTAATCATACCTTGAGCACGGTACTCGGCCGCTTTCTGGCAGAAATCAGCGGCGACGATGTTCGCCGCCTTGGTCTTTGCCTGAGAGACGGTGGCTAGATCGTGGAAATGAGCGATGGTGCGAGGTGTGTACTCGAAATCAGGAACTTCTTTCCCGATCGCATCGAATTGAGATGCGAGCCACGCCTTAACTTCCCCCATTCTTGCTGCGTCCGCGCCGCTTTTCGACTCGGAACCCGGGGAATCGGCCATCGGAAAGTACGTCGCTTATTCTATTTGCTCCTTCTTCCTACCCGATATCTCAATCAATCAGTCGCCGGTTGAAGGCAATCAGCAGAGGAAATTAATCTCCGGCGGCGGTGGCTGTGCGGAATGTGCAGATCTATTTGAAATTCAACTTCGCGGAAGCCGGAAAGGGATTGATGCATTTTTTTTTTTCCTTTTCTTTATCGATTTGGCATATTTAATTTTCTCTTTACGTTATATTACACGTGGCATTTTTCATTTTTGCAGCCAATTGGCTACCTAACAAAATCAACAAAAAGAATCCAAACAATAAAGTTTCCATCACAGTCTTGCTCTCGCACAGCCACCGCCGGCACTAATCCACGATGTCCCTCGTAGCCGCAGCTCCGCCCTCCGGCGGCCCTATCATCGCCGAAGTCGATATGGGTGCCGATTCCTCCGCTCCCGTCGTCAGAGCCACCGTCGTACAGGCGTCCACCGTCTTCTACGACACTCCCGCTACTCTCGGTAAGCCCTCTTTTTCACTGCTTTATCTCGATTGAGTTAGAAGAATTCGGGGGTGAGGAATTAAGAATTGGGTTGCTCGCTGGACTTGGGTTTGGCTTGCCTCGGCTTGATTTGGTCCAAATAGACGATGATTGATGGATTGTTTTGTGTATTGTGGATTTTCCATATTAGAGAAGGCTGAAAGACTGCTAGCTGAGGCAGCTGGGTATGGCTCTCAGCTGGTTGTGTTTCCAGAAGCGTTCGTCGGCGGCTACCCTAGGGGTTCCAATTTCGGGGCTGCCATTGGGAATCGAACACCAAAGGGCAGGGAAGAGTTCCGAAAGTATCATGCTGCAGCCATTGATGTACCTGGTGAGTGATTGAGGGCTGTGCGAGGCAATTTCATTTGATCTTTTATGTGACTTGAGATTGATGATGAGTTTGTGGCGTTGATTCAGGTCCAGAAGTGGATCGATTGGCCGCCATGGCTGGGAAGTACAAGGTGTTCTTGGTGATGGGTGTGATAGAGAGGGATGGATACACGCTCTACTGCTCGGTTCTGTTCTTCGATGCGCAAGGTCATTACTTGGGGAAGCATAGGAAGATGATGCCAACTTCGGTGGAGCGAATCATCTGGGGGTTTGGAGATGGATCGACCATTCCTGTTTTCGATACCCCCGTGGGGAAGATAGGTGCTGCCATTTGCTGGGAAAACCGAATGCCCCTCCTAAGGACTGCCATGTACGGGAAAGGTGAAAGCTTTTTCTTTCTTTCTTGAACAAACAGCCATGAGCCATAGCAACACTTTTTGGTGCAATTGTTGCTTGATACTTCTTAACCACTTGTTGCAGGTATTGAAATCTACTGTGCACCAACCGCTGATTCGAGGCCAACTTGGCCAGCATCGATGACTCACATTGCTCTCGAGGGTGGATGTTTCGTGTTGTCTGCAAACCAATTCTGTCGGCGCAGAGATTACCCTCCCGCTCCCGAGTATGTGTTTGCAGAGATAGAGGAAGAGCTTGGCCCTGATTCTATTGTGTGTGCAGGAGGCAGTCTCATTATATCTCCAATGGGGACTGTTTTAGCTGGACCTAATTACGAAGGAGAGGCACTAATATCTGCTGATTTAGGTATCTCTATCTCATTGTTCATCCTTCAGCTCAATAGTGTCGCCCATGAATGCCCTCCACTTTTCATACTTCAGTTAACCATTATGCTCGTGGTTGACCAGATCTTGGAGAAATTGCAAGAGCAAAGTTTGATTTTGATGTGGTGGGGCATTACGCAAGGCCTGAAGTTTTGAGCTTGACCGTGACGGACAATCCAGTCAGTGCCGTTTCATACACTGCATCATCAGCTGCTGTAAAAATTGACAGCTCTCAGACGAAGAAAAAGTCTGTTCCCAGATCATCAGCTGTTTGATTGGATGGAGAAGGGAGCCAAGCTATCTCACGTTTTGGCTGTCAAATGTATGATAAAAATTAGGGGACTTGCTTGTATGTTATTAGGTTCGTGTTGTACCATGAATCTGTTATGAGAAACTTCTCTTGTCGATTCAATGTAGAGGACTGTTAAAGCTTAAAGTCAGCTGCTTTCGTAATCTGTGTTATGAGAGAGAATCGATCGATTTTATTTCACCAAAAAGTAAATTACACTGTTCAGCTTTTACAATATATATTAGTTCTATTCTACCAAATTATAATACGATCGATTTTATTTCACCAAAAAGTAAATTACACTGTTCAGCTTTTACAATATATATTAGTTCTATTCTACCAAATTATAATACAATACACAAAGTAAACAAACATTACAAATTGATCCTATAATTACTCTATACACTAACACCCTCCCTCAAGCTGGAGCATGGATGTCAAGAGTGCCCAGCTTGGACACAAGACCTGAAAACACAGCAGTAGGCAAGGATTTGGCAAACAAGTCAGCAATCTAATCATTAGTAGAAACATGCAGTAGCTTAATCAAACCAGAAGCAAGTTTATCGCGAGTCAAGTGACAATCTAACTCAATGTGCTTAGTACGCTCATGAGCAACAGGATTCTCGGCAATTCTAATGGCAGACTGACTATCAGAAAACATAGCAGTAGGTTTAGTAAAAGATAAGTCTAAATCAGCAAACAAATAATGTAACCACTGAATCTCGCAAGTGAGATCAGCCATGGCTCGATACTCAGCCTCGGTTGATGATCGAGAGATGGTTTGCTGCTTCTTGGAACGCCATGATATTAAAGAGCTACCTAGGAAGACACAAAAACCTGTTGTTGACCTCCTGGAATCAGGACAACCTGTTCAATCACTGTCAGAAAACGCTTTAAGAGTAAGATCAGTTTGTGAGGAAAAGAATAAACCACACCCAGGTGATCCTTTCAAATAGTGTAATACTCTGTGAGCGGCTGCCAAGTGAAGGTAAGTGGGTGCACTCATAAACTGAGTCAACTGATGGACAGCAAACGCAATAGCAGGTCGAGTATTGCACAAATATAGTAATCGACCAACTAATCTTCTATAAACAGCAGGGTCATCTAAGAGAACACCAGATTTAATAGAAAGACGAACACCAGGATTACATGGAGTTGCCACAGGTTTGGCTCCAAGTAAACCAGAATCTTTTAACAAATCTAGCACATACTTTCGTTGGCAGAGTGAGATTCCTGTTTTGTTCCTAGCTATCTCAAGACCTAGAAAGTATTTAAGATTGCCAAGATCTTTTATTTTAAAAGCAGCATCCAACTTCTGTTTAAGAGACTCGATTTCACTAAGAAAATCACCAGCCAATATAATATCGTCAACATAAACCAAAACAGCAAGAAACAGACCATCTTGATGTTTTGTAAACAAAGAATAATCAGCTTTTGATTGAACATAACCAGCTTGTAGGAGAAATTCAGTTAATTTGTGATTCCATTGTCTGCTAGCTTGTTTTAGACCATAAAGAGATTTATTGAGTTTACAAACTAGATTAGAAGTATCACCAGGTATTTTCAGTCCTAAAGGCAGTTTCATATAAACATCCTCAACTAAATCTCCATGAAGGAAGGCGTTATTTACATCAAGTTGATGTAAATGCCAACCTTTAATGGAAGGTAAAGCAAGTAAGGACCGGACAATAGTTAACTTAGCTACAGGAGAAAAAGTATCTAAGTAATCTATGCCCGGTGTTTGAGTATAACCTTTGGCGACAAGGCGAGCTTTTTCTCGCTCAACTGTACCATTGGAATGAAATTTTACCTTGTAAACCCATTTGTTTCCCAATGGGTTTGACACAAGGTTGTCAAACCGGTTTATACCGTTGTGCCGGTTTGGCAAATGGAATGGTACGACCGGTGGTATAACCAGTTTGTGCCGGTTCATGGCGGTTTAAAAAAATGTGAAAACAATTAATATCTCATGTATTTAATCATATATAAAACATATTTGTGGACAATTTAGTTACAATCCAACAAATATCATCAACTTTTAACTATTACATTCATAAAATGAATAATAAATTAATTTTTTTATTCATTAAACTCATTAAAATGATGTCATTTTACTTAGAATGCGTAAGTTGATCATACCGGTCATATCGGTGGTGTCATGCCGGTTTCATGACCGACACAGGTTGAACTAGGTTCAACCGGATGGCATGCCACCGACGGGACAACCATGGTTTGACATCTGGTGGTTTTAGTGTTTGACACCGGCATGCCACCGACTGTGAAGGTGTTTGTTCGAAGCAGAGCATCTATTTCCAGATCCATAGCTGCATTCCATTTGTCATGTTGAGATGCTTCTTTATATAATTTGGGGACAAAAACTGTAGACACGGCTAAAGCAAACTTGGAATGATGGTCAGCGAGTTTGTTAGTAGATAAAACAGAAGATAAAGGATGAAAAGTGCTAGAATCAAACACTGAATTGCAAATGTATTCACGAAATTTAAAAGGTTGTTGTCTCTTTCGTGTAGGTCGAGTGTCTAGTTCATCATCAAATGATGGAGGATACTCAGGATGAGCTTTTACAATATATCTTAGTTCTATTCTACCAAATTACAATACAATACACAAAGTAAACAAACATTACAAATTGATCCTATAATTACTCTATACACTAACAATCTGCGTTTTTAGACTTCATTAGTGATGGAAGGAGCAAAGAAATATGGTTTAGTGCTTAATGCGGCAATGCCTATTGAGAACTAGCTTATTACCCGGCCCGTTGGCCGGATTACTTTATGTTACCCACTTGTGGAATGGGAGAGAAAGCAAGTGAGAGTGAAGAGATTGGGATTCCACTTGATTAGGACCGACCCACTAATCCGATTCTTCCCGACCCGCCCCAACCTAAAGGGTCAGAAAGAGTCAATAAGAAATTTCGAACGGAGAGGATTAGTCATATATCTTGACTCTTCAGAAGTGGGTCAAACAGGATCAAGGTTGGGTGAGGGCATTTTTAGCGCTAAGCAGAGTTCTGGGTTGAATAACTTTACTTAGGCCTAGAAATTGGTACTGGTGCAGACTGCAATTTTTATTATACCATCATCAATCATTCATTGAATTAGTCCTGGGTATCCCTCCCCATTGTCGGTCTGAATTCTAATGATGGCTTCGTTCCTTGCACCAACCATATCAGCGAGTTGTCATCTAGAGCATGATTTGTCTATGTACAAATGATACAATTAGAGTATGAAACTGAATTTAAAGAAAAGGTGTGGTTCCTCTCTTATTAAACCTCAAGCCTCCACAAACGATCCTTGAACTGTAATCACCAACTCCAAACCCTACCAACTTAACCTGAAAATCACAATTCATATCATCGCCATAGCATTGACTGGAACATTGTTGCGAAGCTTTGACTGGAACAACAAATGTTAGAAAGATTACAGGTTCAGATTTTTCTCGATAGTTATCATGAAACCGCATTTCGGCCGTTATCCTCCCGAAGTCAATTAACAGTTTACTCTTAGCAAAAATTTAAAAGAGAACAGAGATTTTAAAATAGAGAAAACTACATGAAACTCTTGAATATTAGAACTAAAATACCCAAACATCAAGGAAGAAGCTAATGTGGATTACATTAGTATCAATGCCAACATGCAGTAAACGAATTGGACTAACATTCAACATCACTGGCCACATATAATAGCATTAGGCTTTCAAGCATCTTCCAGAACCTTTGAATTGAGAATAATTTGAAAGCCAAAACTCATGGAAGACCATAACAAAATGATAAAATATAAAGTACATAAAAAAGAAAGAAGGATCTCTGACTGTATTAAAATTAAACTTTCATTGAAAGAAAAATTGATATCTCAAGTCTAGAACGTGAAAGGGCAACATATGATACAACTCTACGAAAACTTCATGGAAAAAAATGATTTTGGTCACAGACGCAAAAAAAGGAAGAACTCAATGACAAAGAAAAGCATGTAAAGTATGGCTGGAAAGCAAGAGGAGAAGGATGTTGAAAGAAACAATAGTCACATTCACCATAGTAAATTCAGGACACTGACCCCAGAATCAAATTTCAGAATTGCTAATCCAGTACACACTATGTCAACTATCAAGATCGAACCAAGGCAATAGACACCTAAGCTCCAGCGACACAGCTTTGACAGACCCAATTCTACAACCAGAAGAAACTTGCATGCATTTCAGACAATTGAAGCAGATGAAAGTAAACGAAACCTGTTAGTTCACTAACTTCACCAATCTCACTTCCCACTGTTTACCATCTCAATCAAATTAATTTCTAAACAAACCACCTGTAGTAAGAAAGACCATCCACATAGTTATCACTTAATTACTCTATACACTAACAATCTGCGTTTTTAGACTTCATTAGTGATGGAAGGAGCAAAGAAATATGGTTTAGTGCTTAATGCGGCAATGCCTATTGAGAATAGTCAATTTCGCGAAAATGGTAGAAAAAGGAAAAGACAAACATAGCATATATTTGGGAGAAGAGGGAGACCAACTGCGAATTCAGATAAGCTGTTAGTAAAAACTACAGTCGGAAATGGACATGCAAGCCAAGTCCGCCACCAGAGATACCGTGCGCGCCACCGTGGTTCAGGCGTCGACGGTCATGTTCGACACTCCGGCCACTCTTGGTTTGTTTACTCTCTCTGCTTCTTCCTTCTCATCGCATTACGAATTTCCACATGAAACAGTGAAACTAAGACTCGCGTCTCTGCAACCGTCCATTATTGCAGATAAGGCCGACAGACTACTAGCTGAGGCGGCGACGAACTGCTCCCAGCTAGTGGTCTTCCCTGAAGCTTTCGTCGGCGGGTATCTTCGAGGCTCCACTTCCGGCTCCACCATCGGCAACCGAACTCCACAAGGCAGAGACGAGTTCCGCAAATACCACGCTTCAGCGATCCCTATACCAGGTAGTGCGATCTACATTTCGTCGAACACTTTTGAATCAATGTGCGATCTGGGTCATCCACATAACCCTGGTTTTTTTGCTGAATTCAGGTCCTGAAGTGGACCAATTGGCGGCAATGGCGGGGAAGTACAAGGTTTACTTGGTAATGGGCGTGATAGAGAGGGACGGTTACACGCTTTACTGCACGGTGGTGTTTTTCGATTCACAGGGTGGTTATTTGGGGAAGCACAGGAAGCTGATGCCGACTTCAGTGGAGAGGATAGTGTGGGGATATGGAGATGGGTCGACGATGCCGGTTTTCGATACTCCGTTGGGGAAGCTTGGTGCTGTGATTTGTTGGGAGAACAGAATGCCCCTTCTCAGAACTGCAATGTACTCCAAAGGTTTGTTGTTTCCTTTGTTAACTTGGGGAGTTTCTGAGGCTCAACCAATTGCAGATGATGATTTCCAGCTAGAGAAATGGATTTATCTTGAATTGTCTATGGTGATTGATGATGAGCTACTATGGGTTGAGAACAATTTTGTTACTTGGTGTTTAGGAATTGAGATATATTGTGCACCTACTGCTGACGACTGGGATTCATGGCAAGCAACAATGGCACACATTGCAGTCGAGGGCGGCTGTTTTGTACTGTCGGCGAACCAATTCTGTCGAAGGAAAGACTACCCGCCTTCTCCGGAGTATCTGTTTACCGGGATGGAAGCAGAACTGGAGCCAGATTCTGTTGTGTGCAAGGGTGGGAGTGTTATCATATCACCTTCAGGAACTGTTCTTGCTGGGCCTAATTACTCTGGAGAGGCATTGATCTCTGCTGATCTCGGTAATGTACACGAGTTGGCTCTTTCTCGTTGGAATCTTGGGATTGTGATGATAGTTTTTTGCTTATTTGAAATACTGATACAAAAGCTGTTGATTGTCTGCAGACCTTGCAGAAATCGCTAGGGTGAAATTCGACTTCGATGTGGTGGGGCATTATGCAAGGCCTGACGTTTTCAGCTTGATTGTTAAGGACCATCCGATGAACCCAGTTACCTTCATGTCCTCGACTGGTGCGGAATCAGAGAAGCCTGTAGCTGGAGGTTCTGGAAAGTAAGAGTAGCAGGGATTGCAGGATGACTCTGTCCAGAGGTTACAATGTTTCTAAGCACTCAGTATCTGCAAGCTTGACTTATGTGGGAGGAGGAGGAATTCTCTCACTCCCTTAATTCATTATCTTCTGATTCTTCATTACTCTTTTAACACATTTACTGCCATTCTATAACCTAAGTGCCTGCCTTGCCTGATTGATTATGTGAATGAAGCACATCAAATCAAAGACACAAGATTTGATTTATTAATGTCCATTCATTCATTACCATATACATAAAACACAGTAGACGCCAATTCAAGTCACATTATAGATGGGGGAAATTGAGAGCAGCAACCCACTTCATTTCTGGAAGTAATCCTCAGTCCTTCCCTTCAATCCAATTTGCCCAAACGTGAGGCAGAAGAACAATCCTAAATGCCACGATACCAGCCACAACTTTATAAAAATATTAATAATGTCAGGTCAAGAAACTTAACAAAAATGGTTCCATGGTCTAGTGGTCAGGACATTGGACTCTGAATCCAGTAACCCGAGTTCAAATCTCGGTGGAACCTTTGCTTTTCTACGTTTTTTCCCCAGAATAATGAAATTCTGAAAAGAACGGCCCATGGGCTCGTGGCCCAAATTGAGAGTGGTTTTGGTGGGTTTACCTGAACTGAGAAATGACGGGGGGAGGAGCAGGGAAGTGGGCCAGCTCAGTCCCAATGCTGTCGAAGAAGAGGCCCGTCAAGCTCTTGCCGTCGATCGCCGGAACGCTCAACGGCGCCAGCCATCCGATCAGCCCGAAACCTATAACGCTCAGATCCCTCGAAAAGCTACTGCTATCCCCCGAAATTCACAGCAAACCCCAAAGTCTAATCTTAGTTTACCAAACAACTTCATAAAATTTAAAGGATTCTGAAAATGTTCAAAATGAATACATATATACCACACTAGCGTGGGCCCCGCCATTTGGCCGGACGAAGATGAGGTATGAAATTTGATAATGTAATGGGGTGTATAGCTTATTGTTGTATAGTTTTTTTTTGGGAAACACGTGATAAAAATAGTGAATTTTAGTAGAAAAGAGACATGAATGATGCAACGAATTAAAAATCAGCCTTATGAACCAAAATCAAGTACCTGTTACCTTGTGAAACAATATTGTTTCTGGTAATATGATGAGGTAGAGTAAGTTTTATAGAAACCGAATTCCAGAAAATCGAATAAAAAATCGCCTATCCCGCCGGTTTTCGGGAAATGAGCATCTCACAATCGTTGCTAGCTTTTACTCGGCCCGTTGGCCGATTAATTTGCTTTATAAAACTTTCATCTTCTCATCATTGTGCTTTCTGGTTTTTTGCCAAGCCATGATAAAATCTAAAGAAATCAAGAATGAACAGCACGATTTGGGATATGAACCAACTTTCCTGTATCCCTAGAAAATGGTGGTAAACACGGACTCACCTGCCAAACTGGTTTGGATTGAGATTTTTATAGGGTATCAGGGAACCATGTGATTATAAATTAGACTTGATCAAAACGGGCAAAAATTTGAAATTCAGCCTGTTTGACCGACTCATGCCAAACTCTAATTATTCTTTACTTTTAAACTTTATATTTGAAAATAAAAAATAATGAAAGAAAAGAGATGACTGCAATTCACCATTTGCACATCACTGATTCAGGAATAAAACTATAGAATTTCGAAAGGAAACTGAAAATGTTTAGGATCGTTTTAATGTTAAAAATAACCAAATAGATCTTTCTGTTTAGTTTTTAACTAACAAATACCAAACAATTCCCTATAATATACACTATAATTTAATCATTATGATATCAAATAATTACATAATATATATTTGAAATGATAAAAATTGGACTAATTGAGTTGGTCGAGGTTGTACCATTGAATAACTTTAAAATACATTAGATTTTAGCCACTAAGATATAAAATAATAGCATAATATATATTATGCTAGAGAAAATAGTTTGTTTTAGAATGGCAAACCCATGATGTTCATTTGTTTTACTTGATGGGCAAATCCCGTGTAGGTCAGACCCATTCAACTCTTTTATTTTATGATTAGGGGTTAGCCCATTAGAATCCATGCATTAGTTTATTGTTATTTTTTTTTTCTTTTTAGCAATAAAAAGGAGTATTGTTTTTTCCTTTTCATATATATATTTTACCACTACGGAGAAATAAAAGGACTTAAAGAAAAAATTGACACTCCTGGACCCGTTTAAATCCGCATGTGTACGATAAGTTGGCCCGTTCCATAGAGGAAAAAGAAAAAAAATTGACACTCCCTACTCTACTCTTCCTACAAATGCTCCTGGAGCAGGGAATTTGAAATGGGGAAAGGGTTTTTTCCTCTTTGCAATTATATGTTTTTAATTTGAAAAGATACAACAAATGTACTTAGTGTGATTGGTTATGATCTTTGTTTTTCTTTAGAATGGTCATGGTTCGAATCCTAGTAAGTGTCTTTTTAATGAATAAAAAAAATAATTGTGAAGACCAAAATGTCCTTCCTACTTTCACTCTAGATGCAGGAAATTTGAAATGGGGCTTCAAGTTTTCTCATTTTGCTTTTATTTATTGTGTAGATGAACTTGCCACCTATCCACTTCACTTGGAGTTATTTGTGAGTTGATCAATGTCAAATCGCGGATTAACCATCACATATACATGCCTATGCTACTGACTATTCCGCTTTTTTGTAGGTTTGATTGTTGGGTGGAAGCTTCTACTTGTAAGTTGTAACAGCACAAGCCCTAGGCAGGGAAGGGCAGGTCTGACCTCTACTGAGCTTCAAGTCAAGTTTTGGCAGCAGATTGTGAAGAAGTTTGATTCGTCCTACCCTGTTGACCAGGCCAGTGTAGAATGAATCTTGGACCGGTCAGTTTTGGCCATATGCCCGAGGCCTAGCTAGTCTACGGGCATGCAGCCGAGTCCACTACCAGTGGGCCCAGAAATATGCGTGCAAGTCCAGCCCAACTCCTTCGATACACGGTACACACGATCGTAGACTGACCAAAACGCTATTTCAGTATTTCCATTTGAATTTTCTTTTATCTACATTTGCTTTATGTTCAGTTTCTTTTGCTATATAATTTTCTCTTTGTACAACTCTCGGGGCTCTCTCTAACCTCGATTTGATGTTGAATGAAAGGTAGGATGCACTTGCATACATTTATAAAAAAAAGTCTTAAAATAATATATGACGAAGGAGTTTTGAAATATTTTCGGCATTCAAAAATCTGTCTCTACTACTTTTTTTTCTAGTAGGGGCATATTAGCCATAATAATTTCTTAAGTCTTGCACAAAAGATATGATGTTTTTTATTTTATTTTTTACTCCGCACACAATACGGTTTGCAACTTTCGGTTTGGTACGGCTCAGAGCAAACCAGGATAAAGACCATACAATCATTACATTGATTTTGTTTGGTTCGGTCAGAATACCAATTCGATCCAAAATCTCTTCAATATTCACAAAATTCCAAACTATGTAACTCATTCTTATTTCGTAATGTAACCAGGTTTCGTAAAAAAAAAAACACTAAAATTTGATGAAGCTTCCTCTCCCAAGTTTGAAATACCCGTTTAACCAATCCAAAAAAAAAAAAAACAAGAATTGCATCACTCGCAAACACAGAATGAATCGACTACAGCAAGTTGCACAAATTTGGTCCAAACCCCTTAAATACAAAAGGATAAATAATCAAAGTGTGTGTATATCATTAATGAATGATGATGCAGAATGCTATTAATACAAAGATCTCCGGGCAACCAAAATCTGCAGAAACAGGGGAAGGAAGGCGGGGGCAATGTGCAACAGCACAACTTTCGTGGCTTTGGCTTGCGGGAAGTGCAGGTCAGAAAGCTCCATCGCTGGTGAGTCGGGGGAGCAATCAGATCAAATTAGACCACCCAAATCACAATCAAATCAATCACATAAATTATAATTGCCATGCCCACACAGTTTCGCATCATGTAATAAAGTGCCCAAGCCCCATTTAGCTACCGATTAGTGACCATCAAAGTTTCTTATGGGTTAAGATAGGAACGGTGTGGGGTTGGGTCGATCGGGTCTAAAACCATACAAAATTCTAAGTATTACGGAATTAAAATAGAAGAAATAGAAGGGATTATAATGATGAATCGTAGCAAATGCATGTTTGGTTCGAACTGGTCGCGGACCAATTTTATTGTTATGGCTAGTATGAAGAAAAGGACCGGTGTAACTTCCCTTTACCATTGCCTTGGTGTTGACAAACTGAGCAACATTCGGATTCTGCATGTGGATCCTAATGAGGGATCTACCTCTCGGCTGGTTTGCTTAGCAGATGGTGCAGTAGTCTCAACATATTTTCATGCGACAGCAAGGTCTGGTGGTTCAGAGGACAAGTCAGGGGGGCTGTGTTGTTTGCTCAAGAGGATTTCATTATGCAGATTTGACATATTCATTTTTTTATCAAAATAATGTCTTTTCTGGGATGCGAGTGGTGCTCTCTGAAGAGGGTTTAGTTGTGGTTGCTTTCCAAGGGATGCGAAGGTAGTGATAAACAAAGATTGCTGCTAAGTAATTCCAAATGCACTAAGAGGGGTTATCCTTTGAGAAGATAAGCAATGGAAGAGGAGGTATCAAGTGTTCTCAATACATTACGTTGATAGACAACACAATCGGATGATTCATTTTAGTGATTAAAAAGGTTCTTTTACTATTCCTGCTAGTTTGTTGGGTTTTAATTTCGTTCTTAGTTATGAGTGTCACATTGTATCTTTATTTCCTTGTTAATACTACAAGGTAATTGATGTGTTGGAGAGGAAAACATAAATTGAATTTCCCTTTTTCATATATGTAAATTCTACACAAGATTAAACCAAAACTGACTGTAAAAAGTGTAGTTACTAATCTACCTCTAATTCTCCTCCATTAGCTCACATCAAAAGAAAGGCGAAAAACGTCAAGAAAAAAGCGACCCCAGTGACAAGGCAGAGCGTGTCCAGCACCTTCTCCCTCCTCTCCACGCGCCGCTTCCACTCCCTCTTCCGCTCCAAAAACCTCTCGTACTCCGCCTTCCCTTCCACCCTCGTCCCCCTCCGCCGCCGCCGCTCCCCTTCCGTCGCCCCTCGCAAAATCCCCAAACTACCCCTCCCGCTCAAACTCCTCCCTTCCATATCCTCCATCCCCAAATAGATCTCCCGCACGTGCACCTCCCCACCTTCCTCCCCGCCGCACGTGACCACCACCCCCAACTCCACCTCTTCCACCCCCTCCGCCGCGGCCACCACCGTCGAAAATTTCAATTGAACCTCCCCCGTCAGCCAGTGGTGCCGCACCGACACCGCCACGCCGCTCGACACGTTCGCCGACCGTTTCCCCGCCGGATCGATCACGATCCAGCTCACCCTCAGCTCCTCCTCCAAGCTTTTCAGCCACGCGCCGTCCTTCCCTCTTCCCGAGGAGTAATCCCTAATCCCCGTCGACACCACCTCCTTCGCCTCCAGCAGCTCGATTCGAAACGGCGCCGTATTGAACCACTCCGTCGTCGTATCCGTCTCCGCGACTTTCGAAAAAATCGGGGAGTCGCCGTAGTAGATGTCGACGGCGGAGATGATCCGTCCCGCGATTTCCAGATCCGGATTAGGGGTGGAGAGGCGGCGGTGGTGGTGGACGGCGGGGAAGGAGTCGGAGAAGAAGGATCGGTGGCCGTGCTTGAATGTCGGGATTAAGGAAGCTAGGTCGGGGTGAGCGACGGAAGGCCACGTGGCGGCGCAGATGTTCCGCCAGAGGTCGGAGGAGGAGGATGAGGAGATCAAGGAGCGGAGGTCGGGGGATGTGCTGGCGAGGGCGGCGAGGGTGGCGCCGTCGAGGCGGTTGAGGATGTGGGACCGGAGGATGTCCGGGTGGACGGTGGAGATCGTCGCCGGTGAGGCTGAGGAATTTGATGACGACGAAGAATCTTCGGATTGTAGAGCATCCATTGTTGTGGGTTTAGTTTAGTGTAAGGATGGTGTTGTGTTGTTTTGTGGGAATTTTGAATTTGGGGAAATTGGGGGAGGAGAGGGGTTTATTTATATAGGAATTAGGAAGGAAGGAAGGCGCGGAAATGGGAGACGGGAGGCCAGTTGTGAACTTGTGATAGGTGAGTGGGAGAAGTCGTCAAAGTCAACAAAAATTTTGCTCTCGTTTTTTCTTGCATTGTGGTTTTTTTCTTCTTCTTCTTCTTTCTTTGTGTTTATTTTTGTTGTTGATTTGTCGTTTTCTTTGTTGCGCTTTTGAGAAGTCAAGAGTGGCAAGTTGGTTGATTTTTAGCTTCTTTCTTTATTTTATTTCCTTGATTCCCATATAACAACGTGCCATGCCATGTAGACTAGCTAGCAGCAATACTTTATGCAGATTAGCTGCACATGTGTTCGATTTATGAATATTCGATAAACTCATGTGAATGAAAGATTTTAGTGTACAAGCTTGTTGATGATCGATTGATCGTTAAGAAAATTTGAATTTAATAGCAATAACACCTATGTACCGGCAAAAAATATCTTATCGTATTAGTAGTTGGATAACTGAGAACACCTAATTACTAAGTTGATTTTTTTCCAGCTTGAATTATTGTCTCCGTTAATTATTTTAGTCACAATTATTATCGCGATAATAATTACATTATTAAGAGAGGAGCGTGCTATTTCTAGGGGAGAAGAAGAAAATGGCCGTACCATCAACGGTTTAGACGTCAAAGGCGTGTGGTTCACTTTGGAGCTCCCGAACTCCTTTTTTTTTTCTTTTCTTTTTTTTCTTTCTACGTCGCTTCATTTTTTCTTGGGTTTATTGTTGACCGAAACCTTCCCCCATCTGCTTGGAGTGACCTTTGCGGTGATTGATTGGGCATGCCTTTTTCACGCACGGGATAGGTTTTTGGATGTTACCAGACAATATTATCGTAGCGTGTGTAAGCAGGATTAAAGCCCATTTAATTACCGTTTAATTAAGGAGCCCATGTATCTTGTAGTTGGACTAGTTTCCTGGATACCAAACCCATGCAGCCCATGCAGGCAGACGTGGTGTAGGTGCTTAGGGTTTGGGGTTTTGCCCTCATTAGGGTTGTATATATGTGGTTAGCGGCTGTAGGTTGGGGACACACAACATACACGAATAATCTCACTAGTAGCTGAAGAGTTTTACCTCTTCCGTGGATTAGTCCTGGATTCTCCAGGGATACCACGTAAATCTTGGTGTTCGAGTTCTTTCAATTTCGTTATTTCCTATTGATTATCATGGTATCAGAGCTTCAAGCAATGGAATCTGATCGCCCATCGGTTCGGTTGACATCCACCAATTTCGCACTCTGGGAATTTCAATTCAAGGTGTTCATTGAAGGCAAAGGTCTATTGGGTATTCTCGATGGAACAGCTCCATCTCCGGCCGCCACAGCTCCGGCAAAAGACATCTCCGACTGGCGGCAATGTGATGCACGCGTCCGGCACTTCCTCTTGGGATCAGTTGATTCCTCAACCTGTTTAAGTCTCCGACTATTTCCTACTGCTCATCAGATGTGGCGCCATCTGACCGCAACCTACTCTACTGTCAATCCAGCCCGCCAATTTGAAATTCAACTTGGCTTGGCTCGTCTGGAGCAAGGAGATCACTCCGTCACTGAATATTTCAACCTCGCTCAAGAACTCTGGACTGAACAAGATATCGTGACCGCCGCGCTTCGTCCCCAACCTGCGTCGGCCGACGCCATTCTCGAGCGGCAACAAAATCGCCTGCTAACGTTTTTAATGAGGCTTAGGCCTGAATTTGAAGCTGTCCGGTCCACATTGCTGAATAAGGAGGACCTCAAGTTTGATGGCATCATCCCTCTTCTCGTCCGAGAAGAAACCCGCCTCCGAACGCAGGCGCAACTTGATGTGCGCCCTCATGCAAGTGAGTCGGTTTTTGCTGCTGCCTCTCAAGAATCGGCGGCCTTTGCGGTCCATCGTCCACAATTCCAAAACCGGGGCATGTCATCTGAGATTGAGTGCCATTTTTGTCATGAGAAAGGCCACCCAAAGAAGCTTTGTAAACAATGGAATAATTGCATATACTGTAAGCGCTCTGGCCACATAATTTCGGAATGCCGTACTCGGCAACGCAATGAAGCGCGCAATGCTTCTGGAGGTGCGCCTGGTGCTGGGGGAGGCCGAGCTTCTTCATTCCTTGAGCGCTCTTCGCGCGGCAATGGCCCTCGCCTGGAGCAACAGTGGCGACAGCCAGCTGATCGGTCAGCTCACTCAGCTGTGCTCGTGGATAATGGCAGCGGTACAGGTAGCGGGGCAATTACTGCCGCCACCGTCGAGCAATTGGTAAATGCTGCTCTCCAGAAATCTTTGCCCACGGCCATCAGTTCCGCCTTTGCAACCTTCCACGGCGCAGGTAATAATTCTCCATGGTTACTTGATTCAGCCTGTTTCAATCATATGACATCCCAATCTGCTAGTTTAACGAATCTCGTTCCTGTTGATGACATGACTTTGAGTGTTGCGAATGGTGGAAAATTGAAAGTACAGGGATCGGGAATGATGACTAATGAGCATTTATCTTTACCCAATACCCTTCATGTTCCCAATTTGGTTCCCAATTTAGTCTCTGTGGGTCAACTTACTGAGCAAGGCTGTTCTGTGTTGTTTGCACCGACTGGATGTCTTGTACAGGATTTGAAGACGGGGAGGCAGATCGGAAAAGGGAGTAAGCGGGGAAGACTTTTTCACTTGGAGGAGCTACATGGGTGCCATCCCTCGTCGACTGTCAGTAGTCCTTCTAATAGGCTTGTCGGTAGTCCGTCGAAATCTTTGTCTTTACCTTTGGAGTCATCATCCTCTGTTTGTTTTTCAAGTGTGTCGAATAATGATGTTTGGGATCTTTGGCACTCCCGTCTTGGTCATCCTCATTCTGGTCGTCTTGAACAAATGTTTCGTCAGTCTTTACTTGATAAATGTGATGTTCGTTCTTTGTCAAAACATTCTTGTACAAGCTGTGTTGAAGCCAAAACCGTTAGTTCATCTCATCCACCTAGTACCACCATCATTTCGGAACCATTTCATCTCATCCATACTGATCTCTGGGGCCCTTCTCCAGCCATCTCACGTCGTGGATTCCGATATTTTGCTCTGTTCATAGATCATGCCACTCGGTTTACCTGGGTTTATTTTCTTCGTCTTAAATCTGAACTTAAAACCGTGGCCACTGATTTTTTGAAAATGATTCATACTCAGTTTGATCGTCCTGTGAAAATTATTCGCTCCGATCCGGGTGGGGAATTTAGCTCGTTTCCTTTGTATGATGTGTATCGGTCTCTTGGTGTCTTAACTCAGCAGTCCTGCCCTGGGGTATCGCAGCAAAATGGACTAGTAGAACGTAAGAATCGCCATGTGATGGAACTCACGAGAGCTATGTTGCTCGCTTCTCGTGTCCCTGATAAATTCTGGCCTGAAGCTGTTGCTACTGCCGTTCGACTTATTAATTATCAGGTCACCCCAGTTTTGAAGAATACTAGTCCATTTTTTGCTCTTTACTCCCGTCATCCTAGTTACTCTCGACTTCGTGTTTTTGGTTGTTTATGCTTTGTTCTACTTCCAAAACGCGAACGTACCAAATTGTCTTCCAAAACTGCTCGTTGTGTATTTCTTGGGTATAACGATATTCACAAGGGCTATTTATGTTATGACCCATTGTCCCAACGTATACGCATTGCCAGCTCAGTTGTCTTCTTTGAAAACATCATGTTTTACACCACACAATCAGTCCCATCTCAACTCGTGGCACCCGGCGCTCCTCTTCCGAATTTCAGTGATGATGATGACGAGGTCTTCCCGCCCAGTGATCCCCCTGATACTCCAGAGCCCGATCTGTCCTCCCCCTTGCTGCATTCTTCTTCGTCCGACTCGTCTTCAGGCCCCAGTGCGTCCGATTCGTCTTCAGCATCTGGCCCCTCTTCACCGACCTCACCTGTTTCATCTTCTAGCGCGCCATCTTTATCCGAGACTGCATCTAGTCCCTCGGCCACTTCATCCAGTTCGGCCTCTGGCCACTCGACCGCCTCGTCCAGCTCGGCCACTGCTCCTTCCCTGGCCTCGTTGAGCTCGGCCCATGCCCCTGCTCCCCGTCGTTCTGATCGCACGACGAAAGGTATTCCGCCTATACGATTTCATGATTATCATGCTTATGGAGTTGATTCTTTTGTAGTCCCTACCCGCTATCGTCAGGCTCAAGGTGATCCTGTGTGGGACGCAGCCATGCGTCGTGAATTAGAGGCTCTTCATGCGAGTAATACATGGACCTTGGTTCCTCGCCCACCTTCCTCTACTTCGGTTGTCGGCTGTCGTTGGATTTATACCGTCAAAATGAATCCTGATGGTACGGTTGATCGATATAAAGCTCGACTGGTTGCTCAAGGCTTTACCCAGGAGTATGGGGTGGACTACAGTGAGACATTTGCCCCTGTTGCCAAAATGTCGACTGTTCGGACTCTTTTAGCAGTTGCATCTCTTCAGAATTGGCCATTGCATCAGTTAGACGTGAAGAATGCCTTTCTTCACGGGGACTTGGACGAGGTTATCTATATGGAACGCCCACCCGGTTATGACCAGGGCACTCCTGATCAGGTTTGTCGTCTGAATCGTTCGCTCTATGGTCTCAAACAGGCCCCTCGTGCCTGGTTTGAGAAATTTCATACCACTATCGCTCAGCTTGGCTTTCGTCTGAAAGGAGTGCATTAATTGTCATACTTAGGATTTAGGAAATAATCATCCTTTGTTATTAAAATTGATTTTTGAAGTATCCCAGACTTTGGTTCTCCTGATCTCCTCTCTAATCTTCAGTACTCTGTTAGTCTGTTTCCGCAGTATAGTATATTCGACCTGCTCGGCTCGTGACGTTTTAGCGCAGACACGTAAATATATTTCCACGAGCGTATCTTTGGGTGGCCAGCTATTATTTAAGGAATTTTCAAAGCTAAGTGATGTCGTCAAGAGTTGTACTGACTGGAGAATATAAATAACCGAGTCCCGGCCGGCGCTACTTTCTCCCGGAGGTTCCCCGGCCTATCAAATCCATTAGGCTGGGCTGGGCCGGGCCCACCACATTTATAACCAGTGTATTCTGTCCATTTGAACTCAATTTTTAAATATTTCCCACAAAAGGATCGGAATTGAGGTGTATAAGATTATACCAATTTTCATTTATTTTGTGGAAATAAATTTCTTCTCGTTTTACATCCTTTATTATTTATAACATTGTGTTGCGATGAACGCCAAGAAGGATTAATTCGATTTAAAATGCATGAGGTGTAATATGTCAACTGTTAAGCTAGGATTAGTACACATAGTAGTTATGCATCGGGGTTATCTCGGCCCCTAGGCTGGCCCAGGATGGACCCAACTGGTGGCCCGGCTCGACCAGACCCGAAACACGTTTTTCACGATGCGAGTTGCGGCCCAATTAATATACACGGATACCCGCGCCAACTTTGCGGATCTTCACGACTCCGTTTGCCCGGTTTGTTTCCACGACCCGAGGTTTCCCTGCTTGTACACACGGTCGCGCTTTTCGAATTAACCACGAGTTTCATTTGGAATCATGAAGAGAGATGTGATTTTAAAATTCCCGCCATCACATGCATGTCAGTGCAGTACTTGCAGTGTTTCGATTTGAGTTTATTCTCTTTTCACTCCGTGGCACATGCAAGTTCATTGAAGCTTCTCTGGTTGCACTTCATCATTTTCATAGTCTGGATTCAAATGTTAAAGCACTAGTACTGATTTATTTTTGGTGATAGTTTGGCTGTGATTTGTTACAAACATTTGTATTGTTCACAATTAATGCATTATTTGGTTCGGATTGTTAAATCGATTTTATTGTGATCAATATACATATTACATTATGCATATATTGTTGAAACTTGTAGATTACAACGTTTGGTATATGTAATTGTGTTTTCAATAGGTAAGAAAAGGAAAGCCACTTTTAAATGTAAACCTCATAAACATCTATTTTATGTGTTCTTATCTCTAATAAGTTTTTACATATGACGCAATTGTTGGAGAATTATTGTTAAGACTCCAATGGATGAAATGCTTTTTACGAGTAGGGGTGGCTATACGGTCCGGTCCAGTTAAATTGACCCAAATTGACCCGGTCCAGTCCGGTCTTTTTTAAAATATAAGGACCAAAAATTGGATTGGATACAGTCCGGTCTTGATCTGGTCCGGTCCCAATTCGGTCTTGATTTTATATTGAGCTTGTGTGGATTTGAGTGGCCTAAGGCCTGAAAGGGTGAGGAGTTGGTTAAGTTTAGTACTAAGTGCAAATGTTTGTGACCGCTTATGCAAATTACCCTTAAGTTTTCGGTGTTGAGCTCTCTTATCCGGTCTTTATCCAGTTTTCGATCCGGTCTCGAACGGTTTTTTACCTCAAATTTAAGACCAAATATTGGATTTGATTATTTACTATCCGGTCCCGGTCCGGGTTATACGGTCCGGTTTCGGGTAAAACCAAAAAACCCGGACCAAATAGCCAGCCCTATTTACGAGTAACTTCGGTGAAAAAACCCATATGTGACTAACCCCAATTGATGTTCCAACTAACCTTTGTTCGTCTCGTCTCAGTTCTTAAAACTTTCAACTGAAATATGTAACGTGATATAAGATTCGCTCTTGAACACTTTTTTTCAAAAAAAAAAAAAAAGAGTTATAAGGATGCAACTCAACTACTTTTCGTCATTTAATATATCAACTTTTTATTTAATCAAATTATGTCATGTTTAGTCATATCCAAACAACCTTTTAATATCAACAATTAATTTAAGCATATAATATGACAACGCTAAACAAATTTTCAAACTCGTAAATTATCTTTCCTTTTTGAGAATCCACTCAATAACTCTTAAGTCTTACCTTTCCAAATCAATTAGAAACTCCTCAAAAAACCAAACCACTCTTTTACTCTTTGATGTACTAATTTCAACAGCTTAGACAACACCACCTTACCCTCTTTTTTTTTTTCCTCCCCACCCCATAAATGGAGAAACCCTTTGTTGTTGATAAATCAAGGCACACCAGACTGTTCCAACCGCTACAAATGCCAGAAGCTAAGCCACTTGCTATAACCTAGGCCGGCAAAAATGTCAAAACTTTGTGGTCACATATCAAATTAATAATGACGTTAACCCAAAAAATGATGATTTAGATTTTTAGAGTCCAACCTCTCGTGATGAATAATACCTAAGTCAGCCTCATCTACATTACATGTATATGCACCATTTCGTCAACTCCCCTTTTATGGACCTATTCCTTGAGACTGTTTTCAGCACTTAAAAATGAAAATGACAAACGATATAACGCCAAGTCGATATAACGCCAAGTCGATATCACGATTTATTATAACTAACTACTTTTGAAAATTCAATCTCTGCAAATCCATCCCATTATATGCTCTTCACTATAATCGTACGTAATTAAGTATTTGTCTTAGCTTGACAACATATTCTTGTCTTCAACTTTAAGATTAACCGTGTGAAAGTACCGATTTAACTAGATTCGTTGTTAATGGTGTTGTGAAGTGATTTACAATTATAACGTATAGTGTATAATCTTCGTCCATCGGTTTTATGTTTTGGACTAGAGGTACCACATTCCCATTTAAATTGGCAACAAAATTGTAACACTTTCTTTCCACTTGGCTAGAGGTACCACATTCCCAGTTGCTAATACTTTTGCAACCAACAATGATTAAGGTCAACTGCAATCACATTCGCATATCTGTTTGTTGTGACGTGATTAGAGTCCATTCCCAGCCGGCAGTTTTACTGTTTTGTTACGTGCATTATCTGTTAAATCACCTTTCTGCTTTACAAATCGCAGGTGCCAAGATTCGTGATTCATCAGTAGTAAACACGACGATTGATATTCGGATTAGATGCCAAGCGATACTAATTTAGTTCCATTGCGAACTAATTTGATGTCGTAAGTAGTAAGGCTCCATGGATGATGACAGAATGAAGCACTTCAGTTGCAACAGCAGTTGTTCGGTCCTTAAAAAGTTGTAATCTAACTTCATGATTAGCTTTGTAAAAGTCACAAGCAGCAAGAAGAAATGATAAGCTAATAATACACAATCCTGAAATGATAAGCTAATAATACACAAAAACTGTCGGATCAACACAACGAGCACTGAATCTACAGTCGTGCAGAACTAATTTTTTTGGGATTTACATGTCTCAGCTTCTCAACAGGATGAACAGCTACTTCCAGAAGTGCACTCTATCTGCTTCAAGTCTCCTGGGTTTCAACTACAACTAGAATCTCAAGTCTGTTGCGTCAACATCTGAGTTAGATTTTCTGATCCAATAAGAGCTCGAAAAGTTATCAAGCCAATCTTGTTGAGAGCAGCAGCATGATTATTCATCACCCCATATCGACGGCCCACCTAGCCCGATCTCGACCTCTGCAGACAACTGGGCGATGAGATTTGGATCGCGGTTTTTGTTCCTGTTCTTTGTCGAGGTTGTAACGAAGCTAACTAAAGATCGGTCGACTATTTTATCCTCAGGAAGATGTTCTGACCTTTCCACAGCACCATTGGCAAAGAAGTCTGCAAATGACGTTTCAGCACTGTCAATAATATCAAGTTCCTTCCTTGCTTCCTTCACCTTTGATTTCTTCTTCGCCGTTGTATCATCCTCGACAGGAGCCTCTTTTCTGTTTAGTTTCTCTTCGTTACTCTTCTTTCTTTTTTCCTTCAAGGGGTTTTTTTCTACATCACGATCATTACTATCATTGTTCTCTCCCTGCTGTACCTTTTCCCTCTTGCGTTTCTTGTCACCTTCAGTTTCAGCTGTTTCTGGATAACTCTCAGTAGCATTATCAAGCTCGCCGCTTTCGTTTTGCTCCTTAGTTGGAACATGCAACATGTCATCGAATCTATTATCAGTCTTCCCACTCTTCTTGGATTTGTCAATTGGTTTAGAATTGAAGATTTGCAAATTTGGCAATAGCTTCTTCATCTACAGTAATAACAATCAATTAAGGTGAAACAGAGGAAACCAGGGGAAGTTACTGTGAACAAGTGCAAATTGAGACGAAAAAAGAAAATACCTTCTTCAGTAGCTTATCCTTGTCAGCAATAGGATTGCCTTGCAAATTGAGGTTTCTCAGATCGACCAATGAGCTCAGGACCTACAGTTGTTGAAAGCCAACAGAAATTAGGATTCCAAACCAATGCTGCACTAACCTGTTAGTAAAACAAGAAACTAAGTTTCAAGCTATATAACATACCTTCAGATCTGACCATCTTGTGATGGAATTATTCCCAATGTCGAAATTCTGTAGTTTTTTGTTATACGCCAACTCGCTTGGAAGAATCTGAGCAATTCAGACAGGTCAATGAAAAGTGAAATAGCAATTTGATGAACAGAACTTACAACTGAACCTGAACTAAAGGAACTCACATTAATTTCATTATGAGAAAGTCTAAGTTCTTTGAGCTCACTGCAAGCCTTAAGGGAAGAACCAATGTTCTGAAGTTGGCAATGTGACATAGAAAGCTGCACATGAGAAAATAGATCTTTGTTTTAACAACCTCTTCCAGTAGCAGCAGATTACAGAATTTCAAACAGACAGTAAATGACTAGGGAAATGGTTACCTTTGTTATGGATTTTGCCTTTGTCAGGGATTGACCAATTTCACGGACCGGGTTCCTAGAAAGCACTGCACAAGGATTCAAAAGGCCAGAATGATGAGCGAGTTTCTGATAATTTCCCTTTAATCTGTTCTATATGGATCCACATTTAAGACTTCGAGCTGATGTATGCACTGAAAATTAAAGGCATAATGGCAAGTTCCTCAAATAATGTTAACAAAGTAATATAACTTGTGGTAGCGATTCCTCAAATAATCTTCTGCAAGTAAAGCAGAGAACCAAGTAAAATCAAGAACATATGGAGTGTCATCTCCAAAGTTTCCTTGCTAAGTGAATTCGATAGTCAGTCATTCGTGGAAGCTTTTATCACGGGTTCTCCCGTTAACATTCTATTGAGTGACTTTCTTTTCCTCCCACCATCCCTTCATGAGGGAGGGAGATAGGAGAAGGGTGTGGGGCAGCAGCGGTAGAAAAATCAGCAACACTGGGAAGACGTCAAACTTAGCCTAAAAGGTGAAGAACTGCTTTCATGGTGTAATCAAATGGCCGAGTCTTTTTCGTTCTTATGTAGTTTGTCAGAAGTGACTTAACATACAAATCAGCATGGAACAAGCAAAAGAGCAAACTACATAATATTGACGAAGTATAAAAGTGCTAAGGGAACACCATACCAAGAGTATTCAACTCTTTCAATTCATCCAGCTTACAAACCGAAACAATCTCATTATCTGCAAAATCCAATCAAAGTCAGAAGCCGAGAGGTACACATCGATAAAACAACAAAAAAGAGCATCTTCATCATAACAGCAAATAGAAGCTCACCATTTAGGATTAATGCTCTCAAGCTCACTACAGATTTGACCTCATCTATTGACTTAAGCTTGTTTTTCCCAGCATTTAGAACCTGATCATTCACAACCCATTCAATGATTAACCATCCTAACAAAACACTAAACAACCCAGTAACCAAAACCCCCAAAGATCACAGATTTCCGCAAATGCACACAAGTTCAAGTTGGATAACCACAACTCACGGTGAGATTAGGAAGCGCTTCGATTCCTTTCAAGCTCTGCAGCTTGTTTTGCACGACTGACAACCACTTCAAATTGACACACGAATTCAATCCCTACACCAAATAAACCAAATAAACCAAAAATGATCAACCAGATTACCTAATAAACTTGCAGGCAAGCAAACTAGGAGCGGGGAAGAAACATTGAGAGAGTAACGAGAGACGAGAGGTACCTCGAGCGAAGTGAGACTGTTGAAAGCAAGGTCGAGCCTTTCCAGGTTCTTGAATTCACCGAGGCAAGAAACCTGCAATAACAATTTGGAAAGTTTAATTGAAGAATCGAAGAAGGGAAATGGAGGGGAGACGGAAGGAAGGAGAGCGTATTATTATCATACATCAGAAAGAGCTTTGTGAGTGAGGGTGAGAGACGTGACGGAGGCCGGGTCGGAAGTCCGTTGATCCTTCAACACTTGGTCTCTGCTCAGGCGAACCATGGCGGCTAAAGATACAAAAGCTTTGCAACGGGAACCGACTCCTCGACGGTCGGCAACGTTTTTGGACCTTCGTTGTGCTTTGCCGTTCAGCGGCTGCGGCGGCCGAGTGGTTGATTACCTTGAAAGCGCGACGAAACGAACTGGAACAGAAATGGGCTGCTAGGCCCACTAACCTACAGCCCCAAGGGCCCAACATCAATATGAAGCCTACTTGGCTCATGCAGTAGCAATGGTCAAAAAGTTCAAACCTATTGCTACAGTGATTTCTGGGGCTGGGCATGCAGGCGGATCACTCATGGGTTTTGGCAAACCCATCCGCATTTGACCCAAATTTCGTTATGTGGGTGGGTGTGCGAGTGACCTTCTCAACTCAATAGCAAAAAGAACAAAGTCGTTGACCCCGGAGAGGGGAGGGTGGAGACGTTAGAAAGGAAACTAGGCTACTTCTGAAGATTGAACCTCAAACCCAACCTTCCAAATCGGAATCCCCTCTTCTTCCCTTTATTTTTCCTCTGATTATTGTGCCTAGATCACCTCTCTTTTCCTCCGTTGAATCATTTTCCTTAGTTCTCTGCACTTGATAATCATCTCTATCTGTAGAAAACACCTCCATAATAGAATTTTTACCCAATTTCAAAACTAAATCGACATTTTTTTCCTTCATATTCCATCTTCTTGTTTCCGCCAAATAACTCTCTCCACCGATTATCATCTCAAGTTGACTCCTTTGTATTATATACATTGTGATGTGAGTGAACCCGCAAACCCACCCGCATCATCCACCATCCTCCCGACCCAAACCGAGACTAAATATGGGTAGATAGTGGGTTAAAAATTATCAATATCCACCCGACCCACCCAATACCCACCCTTACTTTCTACGATATTTCTCGTCTGACATAATTTTGCTCCACAATAGCATTGTATAAGTGTACTTGCCAGCTTACTAACAGTCTAACACGGATGTTTCTACAGGTAGCTAGCGTTAAAGATTTTTCCAAAAATAGCACTGTTTAATTTTTTTTTTCAAAAATAGCATCCAACTCCAAAAAATTCCAAAAATAGCACCCTTTTTGTAAAACCGCCACCCGGAGGTGCGTTTTTCGATGAAAACCACAACCCGGGGGCGCGTTTTTCGATGAAAACCGCACTGGTAGGGGGCGGTTTTGCAGACCGCACCCCCACGATGCAGTCTGCTTTTTTTTAAAAAAAAAAAAATCCTAACCTAGGTGGAAACTTCAAACGAACGTATCTTTATGTTCGGGTATCCGATCGTCGCGATTTTTTTTTTTTGATTCTGTATAACTTTTTGAGATCTTGCAAGCCGAAGACTGCCAAAGGTGGTTTGGTCCCGCTTTCGTCCCAAAAATGTCGTTTGCTACCCCGAACGAACTTTTTTCCGATTTCATCAAACTTTGGACAACCATAACTTTGTGCTCCAAAATCCAAACAACATGAATTTTTTTTTATTTCGCATAAATTTTTAAGGAATACAACTTTTATCATAGACATAATTTCAAAATGTACGTGGATTGCTGAGAAGGGAAGATAAGCTATCCCAAAATCCTGTATATCCAAAAATAATTCCTGTTTTGAAAATTCATTCCTAGTAAAAATTGTAGTCCTTAAAATGTTATGCGAAATAAAAAAAAAATTCATGTCGTTTGGATTTTGGAGCACAAAGTTACGGTTGTCCAAAGTTTGACGAAATCGGAAAAAAGCTCGTTCGGGGTAGCAAACGACATTTTTTGGGACGAAGGCGGGACCAAACCACCTTTGGCAGTCTTCGGCTTGGAAGATCTCAAAAAGTTATGCGGAATAAAAAAAAATCGCGACGATCGGATACCCGAACATAAAGATACGTTCGTTTGAAGTTTCCACCTAGGTTAGGATTTTTTTTTTTTTAAAAAAAAGCAGACTGCATCGTGGGGGTGCGGTATGCAAAACCGCCCCCTACCAGTGCGGTTTTCATCGAAAAACGCGCCCCGAGTGGCGGTTTTCGCCTAAACCGCTAGTACGGGTGGCGGTTTTGCAAAAAGGTGCTATTTTTGGAATTTTTCGGAGTTAGGTGCTATTTTTGGAATTTTTTTTTAAACAGTGCTATTTCTGAAAAAATCTCCTAGCGTTACATTCGATTTGCTATTGCTTCTAGTCGTGGGTTCATACTTGACAGTCATTGATATTATGCTCTTCTAATTTCTGCCTTCATACTCTTCTACAAATCACACCCTATAAAAGACCAACTGCCACGGGACGGGTATGGGTATCGAGATACCCGCCCCGAACCTGGCTCATTGCCATTCTTAGAGACGCCCATGGCTGCAAACAATCGAACCGATTCTCAACCTTCGCGACTAATGAAAACAATGAGTAACGAAATGTTGTTACTTACTACCTTCCCGTATGTGCTTCTTATCAATGCCTTATATCCTTGGGGTCAAACGTAATGCATCCTTGAGGTCACTTATTCGGAAAAAATCCAAAAGTACCACTGTTTAAAAAAAGAATTCCAAAAACACCACCCAACTCCAAAAAATTCCAAAATACCACCCTTTTCCAAAAACCGCCACCCCGCCCTGCGGTTTACACGAAAACCGCTTGTCGGGGGCGCGATTTCTATGCAAACCGCAGGGCTAAGGGGCGGTTATAAAAGAAAAAAATTGGACCAAACCGCTGGGTGGGGTGGCGGTTTGGCCCAAAAACGCCACCCCACCCAGCGGTTTGGTCCAATTTTTTTTTTTTTTTTTTGTTCGATCAACTTCTAACTTCGGCCGAAACTTCAAAGAATGTACCTTTGCACTCGGGTATCCGATCGTAGCGATTTTTTTTTTTTTGAAAAATCAGTTTTCGTGTAAACCGCAAGGTGGGGTGGCGGTTTTTGGAAAATGTGGTATTTTTGGAATTTTTTGAGGTTGGGTGGTATTTTTGGAATTCTTTTTTTAAATAGTGGTATTTCTGGAAAAAGTCCCACTTATTCGTTGTAAAGCTGCATGCAGTGGATTACTAACATCCAACAACAATTATCCACCAACTTCTCTCTCTTCTCTCTCTCTTCTTCTTGTGCTCTGCCCTCTCTCCTGTTTTGAATTTGGTTTCTAGCCGTTGCTGCTTCCCAGACCTGGTCTGAATGTTGATCTTCCTCCCCCAGTGAGATGATTTGATCCCCTTTATGGTTGCTGCGGTGACTGTGAAGATGTATTATACCCCTATATCCCCTGCAAAGAGAGTTCTGTTTCTGACTGAAGTTGATGTTGAGGTGATGAACCTAACCCAAGCCAGCTGGGAGCGCAGAAATCGACTACAGCTACTGCAACAAAGAGAGTTATGGCTGATTTACTTCCCTGCATATGTGGTGGGGGTAAGGCATGGGATCTCTGTAAGGTTGGTGGGGGGAAGTTATTGTCTCCCTGGATACAAAGGTATAAAAAGAACAAAGGCAGATATCAGTCTCTTCAAACCTCCATTAATAAGAGGGGGAAAGGTCATCGAGCCACTCAATGTAACAGGAACAGCTAAGATAGCCAAGGGGGTTGGGGAAGTCTTAAAACCTGGTCTAATCATACCAAATACTGGAGTTAATGCAGCTGTGGGAGTGTGCAGGAAAGCCAAGGGCTTGAAAATAAGGTGGGGACTAGTTGCAAGCATAAATAACATCAGCTCAATTCTTCTATTCAACTACAAGCAAACAGCCAACTACAAGCAAACAACCATATCTGAGTACCCTGGAAAAACAGAGAGTGGGAAGGAAAATATCAAAAATATGAGTGTGAACGATTTGATCAGCCAGGCTGGGGATTGGGATATTGAAATGATTCCAGATGTTGAGAGACTTACCAATCGATTCTCCTTGGTGGTTAAAGTTTTTTCTGAGCGTAGTGTGAGCCTAAGGGCCTTGAGAGGGATGATTAGAGCTGCCTGGGTGTACAACCCCAAGCCAAAAGTGCAGGAGATGCCGAACATTCAGCCTGTCTACGAGAACGTCTTCACGCTGGACTTCGAGAAGAAGGAGGAGATGGAGGCGATTTGGCTGGAAAGGCCATGTCCTATATCTGGCACGCTGATGCAAGTTAGGAAGCTGACGGGGCTGGAGATGGCACGGGAAGTCAGCTTCAAGATGGTGGACTTCTGGGTGCAAATCCACAATCTCCCTGAAGCTTACAGATCCGAGAGCAACATTTCCCATGGTGAACAGAATGTTCCATCAGATTATGGACATTGATCGGGCTGCCCTCCAGTCGCAAATCTACAGGAAATATGTGAGGGTTTTTGTCCAGATGGATACCTCGAAGCCGATTCCAGATGGGTTCTTCATCCGCCATCAACAAAAGAGGACCTGGGTTGAATTCAAGTACGAGAAGCTGTTCTCTCTCTGCTACTACTGCGGTGGGCTTGAACACACCAGACTGGAGTGTGACCAGAGGAGAATCGACGAGGAGAACGGTCTTCAGCCACCAGCGATCCAGAGGTGGGGTCCTTGGTTGAGGGCTAGCTCGCCGCTGGTCTCACCGCGAACCAATCAGCAGCAGGAAGGTGAGGGAGTGGTGATCAGAGATGCGGCCTCGACCTCTGATTCCCCCGGTGGAGCTTGCCGCCAGTCGCCGCCGATCTCCACGGTCGGAGCTACTTCTTCCCAAGCTCAGAAGGCCCCACATCCATTGGTAAAGTGTACTAATACCGAGATGTCCCCTCATTCCAGCTTTGCCCAGAACTACTCTCTATCCCCACCTACGAATCTCGTCAATAGCCCTGGTTTTCTCTCACCCTCCCCCCAGAGCTTCAATCCTTTCAATCAGAACTTTGGATTTTTTTCATCCCCGTCACCAGGAGATGGTGTTGTGAGGAATCTGTTTGGGTTCCCCCACTCCCCGCCGCCGCATCAAACACTTGACCTAAACCCTAACAGCCAGTTTCCTTCCCCGGGCTTTGGAACCCCTAACCTAAGCCCACTTCCTGCCCAAGCCCAAAACCTCTTCACAATTAATCACAACTATTTTCCTAGCCCATTTCGAGCCCAGCCTGCTCCTATTCCTTCTCCACACAGACAAGGGAGACAGATCCTGAACAGCAGCCCACGAGCCCAAAAAAAGAAGAGGAAGACATCTGGGCTCCATTCGAGTGACCAGGGGGCTGAGCTGACCATTGGTGCCCAGATTGATGCTGGGGAAAATGCTGA